ACGCTCCAACGCTCCTCTCCTCGCCAACGCTCCAACGCTCCTCTCCTCGCCAACGCTCCAACGCTCCTCTCCTCGCCAACGCTCCAACGCTCCTCTCCTCCCCAACGCTCCAACGCTCCTCTCCTCGCCAACGCTCCAACGCTCCTCTCCTCGCCAGCGCTCCAACGCTCCTCTCCTCACCAGCGCTCCAACGCTCCTCTCCTCGCCAACGCTCCAACGCTCCTCTCCTCGCCAACGCTCCAACGCTCCTCTCCTCGCCAACGCTCCAACGCTCCTCTCCTCGCCAACGCTCCAACGCTCCTCTCCTCGCCAACGCTCCAACGCTCCTCTCCTCGCCAACGCTCCAACGCTCCTCTCCTCGCCAACGCTCCAACGCTCCTCTCCTCGCCAGCGCTCCAACGCTCCTCTCCTCCCCAACGCTCCAACGCTCCTCTCCTCGCCAACGCTCCAACGCTCCTCTCCTCGCCAACGCTCCAACGCTCCTCTCCTCGCCAACGCTCCAACGCTCCTCTCCTCGCCAACGCTCCAACGCTCCTCTCCTCGCCAACGCTCCAACGCTCCTCTCCTCGCCAGCGCTCCAACGCTCCTCTCCTCGCCAGCGCTCCAACGCTCCTCTCCTCGCCAACGCTCCAACGCTCCTCTCCTCGCCAACGCTCCAACGCTCCTCTCCTCGCCAACGCTCCAACGCTCCTCTCCTCGCCAACGCTCCAACGCTCCTCTCCTCGCCAACGCTCCAACGCTCCTCTCCTCGCCAACGCTCCAACGCTCCTCTCCTCGCCAACGCTCCAACGCTCCTCTCCTCGCCAACGCTCCAACGCTCCTCTCCTCGCCAACGCTCCAACGCTCCTCTCCTCGCCAACGCTCCAACGCTCCTCTCCTCGCCAACGCTCCAACGCTCCTCTCCTCGCCAACGCTCCAAAGCTCGCTCCAACGCTCCTCTCCTCGCCAACGCTCCAACGCTCCTCTCCTCGCCAACGCTCCAGCGCTCCTCTCCTCGCCAACGCTCCAACGCTCTTCTCCTCGCCAACGCTCCAACGCTCCTCTCCTCGCCAACGCTCCAACGCTCCTCTCCTCGCCAACGCTCCAATGCTCCTCTCCTCGCCAACGCTCCAACGCTCCTCTCCTCGCCAACGCTCCAACGCTCCTCTCCTCGCCAACGCTCCAACGCTCCTCTCCTCGCCAACACTCCAACGCTCCTCTCCTCGCCAACGCTCCAACGCTCCTCTCCTCGCCAACGCTCCAACGCTCCTCTCCTCGCCAACGCTCCAACGCTCCTCTCCTCCCCAACGCTCCAACGCTCCTCTCCTCGCCAACGCTCCAACGCTCCTCTCCTCGCCAACGCTCCAACGCTCCTCTCCTCGCCAACGCTCCAACGCTCCTCTCCTCGCCAACGCTCCAACGCTCCTCTCCTCGCCAACGCTCCAACGCTCCTCTCCTCGCCAGCGCTCCAACGCTCCTCTCCTCGCCAGCGCTCCAACGCTCCTCTCCTCGCCAACGCTCCAACGCTCCTCTCCTCGCCAACGCTCCAACGCTCCTCTCCTCGCCAACGCTCCAACGCTCCTCTCCTCGCCAACGCTCCAACGCTCCTCTCCTCGCCAACGCTCCAACGCTCCTCTCCTCGCCAACGCTCCAACGCTCCTCTCCTCGCCAACGCTCCAACGCTCCTCTCCTCCCCAACGCTCCAACGCTCCTCTCCTCGCCAACGCTCCAACGCTCCTCTCCTTGCCAACGCTCCAACGCTCCTCTCCTCGCCAACGCTCCAACGCTCCTCTCCTCGCCAACGCTCCAACGCTCCTCTCCTCGCCAACGCTCCAACGCTCCTCTCCTCGCCAACGCTCCAACGCTCCTCTCCTCGCCAACGCTCCTCTCCTCGCCAACGCTCCTCCTCGCAAACAAGGTGAAAACAAGAAGTACCTGGAAGTGGCACGCTATGAAGCACCGTCAGTGCTCGTCCCGTCGTCGCGCGTCGTACCTCCCGTCGACATTGATTGCCGCCGCGCCGCTGCTGCGCCGCCCGCTGTCGTCCCCCACGCCGCACGAAACAGCCCCTGCCGCCCGAAACAGCTCCTCCCCCGCCGCCCCCAGCGCCAGGGGGCAGGCCTGGCGCTGCTCCCCTCTTTGCTTCTGACCAGCTCCCGCTTCTGCACGGACGGACGGAGACAGCAGAAGTCGCAGCCAGTGAGAAACCCCATGATTGGAATGGAACGGAAACGGAAAATACGCCAGACTGAATGAAGCGAAACGGGATTGCCAAAAGATCAGAAAATAGCGACCGAAAGAGATAGATTAACCCTAAGAACACCGTTGCCTAGAAACAAGCGTTCGGGGTTTGGACGAAAGCTTACCACAACCAGGTAGCGGCGCGAACGTCGACGCATTCGCGGCCAGGAAAACGGCGCCTTCGTTAGCTCTCGCATCGGCGAGATTTACAAGGCCCGCATTTTCGCACGGTCGTCGCGGGCTCCTCCGCCGTCGCTCACGACGAAGCTCCTTTCCACCGTATTGAGAGCATCTCCCGACGCTCCTCCGCCTCCGTCGTCCCACCATCGCGAGCGTCGACGGCCTCGCGAGCTCTTCCGGTTCGACCAAGAGTAGCGGAGGCGACGAGCTTGACCAAAAATGCTACTCCGTCAGCATTTCGCGAGCTTGGTCAGAGCAGCCGAAGAGCGTCCACCGTCGACATCTTTTCCATGAAGCATTTGCGAGCCTTCGCGAGCGTCGACGCATTCACGAACTCTACCGCCGCCTCTTCACGAAGCTGCTCCTCCGCAGGAACCTTATTCGTCGCATGATCATCTTCGTTAACGTCGCAAGTGTTTACGTCGGACGTCGGCGTAGTAGTAGCGTCGGTTGAAAGCGGTGTTCAGACGTCAGATGTCTTCGCGTGTCTACGTCGGACGTCAGAGTCGGACCGTATTAGTTGTTGAGAGCGTAGTCATCAGCGATCGACATCAGCGTCGCGTCGCCTCTTCGGAGGAGACAACGAATCGTTGTTGGACCATGCATGCTTGTTGAAGAAAGATGCTGCGAGATTCGCACTCTTGAAGATGCTATATCATGCTTCATTCTATACGAATCAAAACCCTCCTCTTCCGTCGCAACATCGCGAGCGAGAAATGCTGATTCGCATCGTCCTACGAAGAACCCTAACCACGCGAACGGCGTCGTAGGACGAAGCATGACCGACGGGAAACGTCATCGCGGAAGGAATGTTCAAGTTGCGAGCGGGACACGAGATAATGTCTCACGAAACAGCTGATGCGCGTCGAGTACCTGACGAAGAGCTGATCGAAAACCGTAGTGATGGGATATCAATTAATGAGTTCTAGCTTATAGATTCGGACTAGGAATAACTATAAGAGCGGATCGAAGGGATTGATTGATGGGATCTCGTTCGATGAGTCCTAGGTTCTAGTGTTGATGAACGTAACGAACTGATCGTCGTTAAAACATATCCACGCGATGATTCGCATTCTACCAAATGGTCGTCCAGAAAACGATATGACGGTCGTCCAGAGCAGAGCGTTTTGACCTGAAACCTAAGCTTAGCTCAAGCGATTGCTAGTTATGACGCACGAGTCACTACTGAAGAAGCGGCCATGGACGGACGGACCGAGTTAGTAAGCGCGCCTGAGAGAACTCGCGAGCAGGACTAAGGGAGAGGATCGTGGAAAGGAATGGGAATGGAATGGAGACGGTGAGAAGCCACGGCATCCGCGATGCAACCAAGTCACAAGGCGGAAGGAAAGCTGAGGTGGAGGGGAGAGAGGAGAGGGAGAGGAGAGCTGAAGAGACGGATGTGAGGGGAGGGAAGCGAAGAGTCGAGTCGCCATGCAAGCCGAGGGAATCCCAAGGCGGGAGACGCCGCTGCAGAGTCGGGTTGCGGGAGATTTGCGCTGACAAGGCGGGAAGCTTTGGGAAGTTGGCGGAGGGGTTGTGGTGAACGGCGGGGAGCCGCGAAGGCTGGCGAGAGGTTTGAGCTTTCGCTAAAGATAGGAATTTACCTTACCCCGTTGTGCAAATCATGTAACCGTGTTTTTGCGGTGGAGGTGCTCCTGACATCTACGGCGTTGGATGGGGTGGTGATGGTGAGGTGAGGCTTGCTGACAGGCAGCAACACTATTGGGTCGGATCTTGTGCAAGTGTCAGACCGCGGATTCGAATTTGAGTTGGCCGTCACGTCAACCGTCTGGAGGGAAAAGACGTTTTCCGGCACCATGCCCCCTCGAGTGCACTACGACATACGGTATTGTGTGTGTCGATATACAAATGTTGCTGTTCACATGTTAATTCAAAGCAAGCATACGGATAAATCAGGGACTAAAGCGTTAACAAATATGTTATGGGTCCAAGGTGGCTAACTATCAGTTTTTGTGCTTCTCATAATTGCGAAATGTCGCAGAATCAGTTATAGACAACGTTGTGAAATAAGGCAACCAGCATATGGTCACCCTTTATGCTTTATATCGTAGCTCAACGCTGCAATAACATGGTGCATTGTGGATAAGACGCCCTCAATAGGGGCAAGACCCCAGGGTGAGCTTTGAGTAGAGGCGAAGAGCCATGGGGCAATGGAGGCATTGAAGTCTTCAAAGTGAGACACGAGTAAAGCCTCCCAGTCCACCTGGAAGTGACAAGGTGGTGTATGAATGAAACTCATACGATCAAAGACCTGATCATGTGGTGACTGATCGTACCAGGGCAAAAGACCCACTTTAATGAACTGCTAAAGACTCCGGACTAGAGTCAGAGCTCAAGTGTGTGTTCTTCCTCTCACCCTGCTTCTACCGAACTACTATCTGGTGCGTATTTGCTGGTTGACTACAAGCCACTCCTTACTGCATACAATACCATGTGTCACTGCAGGTTGCAAATAAAGAAAAGTGCATCCCAGCCCCAAGTGCAACTACCTCGCACACCTCAGCCTACCTGCACCCCATGGGGGACGAGCGTAGTGGTTTTCATGTCAACAGCCATAAAGAGGCCATTTTGGAGGCGCTTTAAAGAAGCAGCACATCCCAGCCTACCTGCACCCCATGTGGGATTAGCGTTGTGGTCTGCATGTCAGCAGCCATGGAGAGGCCGAGGATGGAGACCAGCCCCACCATGGCAGAGCCACGAGTCAACGGCATCAGCTGGAACCTGTTGTCGTGATGGCCGAGAGGGAGAGAAGTACGGTGGAAATGCACAGATGCGTGAGGGTGATGTGAGCATGACGGGTGACAATCAGGTCCAAGATGGAGTCCAGGATTGTTGTGAGCTTATGACGTGTATCTCTGTACAAGGGGAGCTATAGACGTGACCTCTCCCACACGTATGCTGAGGGGTAGAGGACCCAGTGCATACCAGAAGTACCCCAGGCGGAGGATGGCATCTTGAATCCTCTGGCGGTAGCGATGGGGATCCACTGCTTCTGTGTGTGCGTCCAGCACTGCCGCACACAGCGCCTGGTGGGAGGGAGGATAGGGAGTCAGGAATGGATGGACTACAATTTCAGAGGCATCTGTGCGTGCAGCACTGCCACACACAACGCCTGGTGAGAGGGAGGATGTAAAACCAGGAACAAATGGAATATCATATCAGATGCATCTTTCCATGTAATCATTGCATGAATGGGCAGGGGGAAACCGCATGCCTGACCTGCCATGCAGCAGTGAGCTCTTGGTCGAAGTCGTGCCACCGTTGAGGGCTCACTGGTGTGTGCGTGTAGAAGCTGAAGGCATGGGTGCTGGGATGGTGCATGCAGACAAACAGGAGCGCGTGAATGTGGTGAGTGAAAGACAGATGGAGCTTCAGTGGAAAAGGAGGGGGGGGGTGAATGGACAGGGAAAGATGGTGTGGAGGGATGAGAGAGTATGTGAGGGGAAAATGCGGGTTAGCACATGGCCTCACGTGTCATAGATTCAGTGAGTAAGCGGCTAATTACGAGAATGTGCAAGCAAAGAAAGCTGATCAGAACTGGGCGGTAAACAGTGTGCTCTAGCTGATGCGTGGGGGAAGCGGCAGAATTGAGAAAGCATGAGGCAATGGCTTACTTACCTCTTAAGGATTTCAAACATTGACCCGGTCAGGTCCTTCCTGCATGGGCATGGGCGTGCATGAGATGGGAAAAGGTGAGGAGGTTACCGAGACGATGTGATGAGAATACAGAGCAATACGTGCGGCATGGTGTGCACTTTGAGACCTCATGGCTGGGGCATGGAACAGGACATACAGTACTGCTCAAATGCTCAGCTGTAGCAGCGAAGGCGTACCCTGGAACGGCATGGCTGTAGCAGGGTGCTTGCACGAGAAAGTCCTTTCCCACAGCTTGGTGAAGTGCCTGCAGGTCAGCCGCTCTGGTGATCTGAGGAAGGATGGGGAGGCGAAGAGGAGGGGACGGGAGACGGGCGCAAGGTGGCAAGGTTGAGAGGAAGTCCTTTCCCACAGCCTGGTGAATTCCTTTCCCACAGCCTGGTGAATTCCTTTCCCACAGCCTGGTGAATTCCTTTCCCACAGCCTGGTGAATTGCCTGGAGGTCAGCCGCCCTGGTGATCTCAGGAAGGATGGGGAGAAGTGGGCGAGAGGAATCTAGTGTTGAGGCGCCTGAACACCAGAAAGTCCTTTCCCACAGCCTCATGAAGGGCTGCACCGCCCGCTCATACGCTGCACCGCCCGCTCATATGCTGCACCGCCAGCTTATACGCTGCACCGCCCGCTCATACGCTGCACCGCACACGCTCATACGCTGCACCACCCGCTCAAACGCTGCTGGTGCTCATGTGCTGGTGCTCGCCACTCGTGTTTCAAGAGACATGCGCATTTCACTCGGCATATCGCCATGTGTGTTTCATGGGACACGTGCACCCCACGCACCATGTCGCCACGTGTGTTGCGCGGCACAGAAAATGGCTGGTTGTTTGTGAAGGCCTGCTCTGACTCCAGTAGAGCCTCACGCATGGCCTCAAACGACCTGCCACACATTGAACCGGATTTCAGGAGTGGAAAACGTGGCGAGGGACCACAGAGAAGCGGAGGCAGTGCAGGAGAGGTGCGCTAGGAGGTAGCACTAGTACTCACTTGTTGAACACAGGGTAGTACTTGACGGTCTGCAGATCCCACACCTTGATGGGCGTGGACGACCGAAAGCCCTGCGCAAAGCGATTCCTGCAGAGGAAAGCAGATGGAGCAGCGTCACACATGAGACATGATATGATCACATGCTATCAGAAAACCATACAGTGTAATAAACAAAGAACTGAGACGAGAAACCATAGTGGCTGTACAGGGCACAGCCACTTTGAGCTGGTCCTTCCAGAGCACAGCATCCGTTGAATTGTCAAAACCCAGAGAGTTCTCATAAACCGACTTTGAGCATTCTCAGAGACCACAATGGCATGGCATGGCATCACAGAGGCAATCACAGTGGCACGTACTTGAGTTGGTCCTTCCAGAGCACAGCATCCGTTGGATCGGAGATCTGTCTCCATCTCGTGATCACCTCGTACACATCCCTCCACCCCTTCAGCACCCCACCGCCCGACCCCTTGCCTCCGCTACTGCTTTTCCGACTGCCCTTGCCGGAGCTGTCACTTCCCCTCTGACTCTGCTTCGCCCTGCTTTCTATCCCTACGCTTCCTCCTCCTCCTTCTCCCCCCCCTCCTGGTGCATCAGTTTCCATGGTTGTTGTGGTGTCTGGAACTGTGTCACCAGCCGCCGACTCCCCCCTCCCCTGCTGCTCCTTTGCCATGGCATCCCATGTTGCCCTTGCCTGCGCCATGGCACATGCACACACGGAGAGACAAATGAATGGCACACATACATAGGAAGGCTTGTAAGCTTACATAACGACACCAGCTCCTTCAGTCACAAGGCACTACCAGCCAGAGACTACCTTGAATGCGTAAATGTACGCACACCTCCTACACTGTCCTTAGAAGACAAGCGTTGGGAAAGGGCAGCATTGACTAACCTGCTGCGTCACGTCAAGAGCTGCCAGGCCTGGGGATGTACGAGTGAACTGAACACCATCAAAGTGAATGGGGGCAGATGAGAGAAGGGCGAGGGTGGAAAAAAAGGGGAAGAATCTCACCTGCTGCATCACGTCAAGAGCTGCCAGCCCTGCCATGCGCAGCTGAGGGGTGAAGGGAGGAGGAGGGGGCGGAGTCAAAACAGGAACAGATTTAATGAGGGCAATAAGGGGAAGTGAGAGGGGGAGAGACAAAAAGAAAGAGGGAAAAGCATCTTGGCATATCTCTGCTGTTACCTGCTGCCTGTTACCTGCTGCCTGTTACCTGCTGCCTGTTTGCCATGAATGCATCGCAGTGGTAGTGGGCCCGCTGGCCGATCCTGTCCGCTGCTTCGATCAGATCCAACGCTTCACGAGACAGCGTGGGCAGGGACTGCAACGTGGCGCGCTGTGATTGGCGTGCAGTGACTGAGAGGGGTTGGTAGCCTGGCAGCGTTGCTATAGGGTCCTTCTTAGTCCATGCCTCCTGTTGTGGTTGGGGGGGAGGGTATGTGAGTTATTGGAGAGGGGGAAAATACGTATGAGGGGGAGGGAGAAACATGGCAATAGCAATAGCAAGCAAACAAAGAAAAGCCACTGAATATGGTTGTACTGACGGAAATAAATGCAACAGGTGATGAGGACGGCTGTGTTGGGGGTGGTAAGGGGTGGCCATACTCTGAACTCAGCAGTGAAATCCCAGTCGAAGCGGATGGAGGGGAGCGGCTGCTGCAAGCGAGCAATGGTGTAGGCCAGTACCTCCCTCTGGGAGGGGGAGGGGAGTCGTAATTGCAGATAGGGGAAGGAGGGAGCAGATGAGGAAGGGAAAGATACCGGGCAAGGCACTGTCCGTGGGACAAAAAGCACAACAAAACCGCTGAACTTTTGGAACATGCCTGGTAGAACATGCCTGGTAGAACATGGAGTGCTGGAGAGCCTGTCCCTCCTGGTCCCTGGGCTGCATTGCCAGCGCTGCCTGGTACTTGCGCATCTGTGGGCAACACATCACAGGTGTGCAGATGAGGGGTGGGCGGTCCTGATGAGGCTGGTGTGCTGGGAGATCGTGATTGGAAAGGAGACTATACAAGAACGTGAACAGAAGGGCGTGTAGCAGCTCACTAATGGACAGCACACAGCTTGGGGTGGGTGTGGGTGTGCGATGCTCACAGCTTCAGCGAGGTCCCCCAGGGCATGCAGGCTGCTGGCGTGGGCATGAACGAGCTCCATGTCTCCCCTGTCCAGCTGCAGGCCCTCTCTTGCATAGCGTATGGCGGCCCTGTGGGGTGGGAGCGAGGGGAGAAGAAGAGAGGGAAAGTAGGGATGGAGCTCCATAGGTCATATTCATCCAGCCAACAAGAAAACACAAAGCTTCCCCAGAACAAAAGAAAACACCCTGACTGTGCAAGTGCGGGTAGCTCACCTGTAGTCACCCACGAATCGGCTGACAGACACAAGCTCCTGATAGGTCGCCACTGCCCTGTAAAGTACACGCAGAAATGCACGGGTGTGAGCACAGGGTGTGGTCAGTGGTATCATTTACGCGTGCCCCCAGAATGGGTACTAACAAGGGAAAAGAAGGACGCGGGGACTGTAAGCAGTCACATTCACGGCACTCACTTTCTGATCTGCAGTGCTCGCTGCAGCGCCTCTAAGGCGTTCGCCACCTCGCCCACCTCCTTGTGCGCGCGCCCCTTGGAATGCCACAGGTCCGCATCCTGGGGGTGGCGCCTCACTCCCTCTGCAAACACTGGCAACGACTCCCGCCACCTCCCACTGCCTCCTATGGCGAGGCCCTAGAGGAAATGGGAGTGAGGATCGTTAGAGAGAGGGGAGCGGAGGACAGTGTCACAGTGGGGATGGATCGAAAGGGAGAAGAGGAGAGTGGAATTTGGGTGCTGGGAGAAACACCTAATGAACAGGTAATGCATGTTGGACATATGGTAGGAGGGAAGAAGCAATAAAAAATGCCCCCAAACCCAAAAGAATGAGGATTTAAAAGCGTCAACAGATCAGAAGAATGAGGAAGCATCGTGAGTGAGGAATAACATACAAGGCCTTTAAAGACGAAGGGAAGAGAGGGGTCGAGCTGAATGGCTTGCTGAAAGTCCTTCTCAGCTGCATAGTAGTACTTTAGGTTGAATGACAAGATGCCTGGCAGTGAGATAGAGAGGAGACAGGAGGGGTGGGATGAGCGGATGAAGATAGCGATGAGAAGGGAGAGCGAGTGTGTTGAAGGGAACGAGGGGAGACGGTTGCAGATGGAAGCACGTGGAAGTGAGAACAACTAAGCCAGCAGTGCTGTGTCTCGCACCCACCACCAGTCCTCACCTCGCCACCTGACAGCTTCGGCGTTGGAGGGGTCCAGGTCAATGACTCGTGAGTAGTCCACTATGGCCTTCACGACATGACAGTTGGTGTGGAATAAAACAGAGGGCAGAAGGGCGAGATGCAACGAGGGATGGCAGCAGCTGTGTCACTGCAGGATGCCTGCTGACAGCAAGGCCAATGGCCAAGAGTCGGGACAGAATCTGGTGTGATCAGGAGCACAATGGCAACATGCGTATTGGAACTATGGACCATGGCAGCATGTCTGTCATATGTACGAATGATGATAGCAATCCACACGGCTGCACAATTGATCTAGTCTACCTGTGAACCTAATGACATCATGCAGTAAGTAAGAGGATGACAGCGTATCTTGTCCCATCTACTCGATGAGACATCATGCATGTATGATGCCATTACCTAATGATGTGGTCCCCCCCCTACCCCTCGTCGCCACCATACATCATCACATGTACCTCAACATTCTTGTTCATCTTGAAATAAGTGCCTGCTCGAGCCATGAAAGCGGCTGTGCTTGTGGGGTTTGTTGCCAGAGCCTGCCAGTGGAGCACAGCACAAGAGTTGGAAGGGTTGATAAATCATGGGGCTGCTGATCACTCAATAAGTGGACAACTGGAGATAAGAAGGAGGAAGTGGAGGGAGCAGAAGACTCCTTACAGAGGACAGGTCAGCGAGGGCCTTGTCGAACTGCCCCAGTGCACTGTGGCAGACTTTTGAGACGTCTCATAAGAAGGAAGGAAGTGGACGGAGTGCAATCCTTACAGAGGACAGGTCAGCGAGGGCCTTGTCAAACTGCCCCAATGCACTGTGGCAGGAGCCTCGACCCACAAGCACTTGACCCTTGAGAGAGGGAGTCGACGCCAGCTGTCAGGCAATGATTGGGGGATCAACGGACAAACAGGCGGGAAGGGTCCATACATGGAAGGCAAGGGCGGACATGTCACGTCACGTGTGAAGGGAGAACTGCAGTCTGATAAAGGAATGTGGGATGGAGGAAGATGGATGAACTGCAGTGACTTAGAGTAGAATCTGCTATCAAGGAGACAAGAAAATGGTGACGGTTATTAGGCTGCGTCCCTGACTGACCTTGTTGTAGATGGCGATTGCCTCCGTGTATCGCCCTCGTGCCATCTGCATAGGATGGGAGCAGACAGCAGCAGATCGAGCGATGGAACAGGTACATTAGATTGAACAGTCAACAGTTGAATTTGAAGGAGAAATGGATGGCCTTTTTTATCCTGCCTGCTATATAGTGAGATGCGTATGGACGAAGAGGGAACGGATTGATCTGACCAATTTGTCAGGGCGCTTCCAACCCATTGCTGGGCGATGACTGCCCTCACTCACCACCTCACCCATCCACCTCACCCACCGCCGCACCCACCACCGCACCCACCTCATCGTTCGCCTGCTGCAACATCTCAAGCTGCTTGCTTGTCGCCTGCACTTCCCCCCCCTTCTTCTGCTTCCGTCCCGCTTCACCCTTGTTCACGTCTTCTGCAGTCGCCCTTGTGCTGCTTCCGCCCAGACTTCCCTTCTCATGCACCTCTCTTTGCGCCCTTGTACCCACATTAGCAGGTCCATCGCCCAGCAGCAGCAAGCCACAGAGCTCAGTGCTCTCCAGCTGTCTCAGCCGCCCCAGTGAGCTTTCTTCACACCGCAGGCCCGATAATGCCTGGCTGTCACCTCTCTCTCTTCCTTTTCGGCCTATCAAGCCACTACCAGGAGACTCGGCGATAGCCGAGACCGGTGGCTGCTGCAGGCGATACACCTTGGTTGCTGCGATGGGCAGGGCGGTGGAATGAATAGGGGGAGAGGGATGGAGTCTTGGAGACTTGGTAGGGGGACTCTCAGCACATTGGCTGGGCGCCTGGAGAGGACGCGGAGAAGCGACAACAGCGGGAGCAGAGGAGCTTTGCAAGTCAGAAGCGGAAAAGTAATCGGTGAAAGCCCATGGGGTCGAGGCGGAACGGATAGAGTGTGCTGGCTGCTGGAATGGAGTCAGATTCAGGGCAGATGCAGCTGAGGCTAAGGCAGCAAGGCTCTGCAGCAGCCACACCTACCCAGTTACCAGCAGCACCTTTGTTCGCGGTGTTGTTTTCTGACCTTTTCGGATGAATGGAGTGATGCAGGCGGGCCGACTAGCCAGAGACTGATGTTCTGCCCGGGCTGGTACTGACGCTATCAGATGTGCCTCCCAATCGCAAAGACAGGGGTTCCTGAGGGCAATGAGGCATGACGATGAGGCATGACGATGAGGCACGACGATGAGGCATGACGATGAGGCATGACGATGAGGCATGACGATGAGGCATGACGATGATGCATGACGATGATGCTGTTGGAAAGCTAGAATTGATACATTGAATAATGAGCCAAGAGGCTCTTTAGTACAAACAATGAGCAAGAGAGAGATGAGAGGGAAGCTTACCCTATTGGCCAATAAGTTGGCCAATGGGTGAGCTTGTTTGTGACCCAAGCAACCACAAATGTGTGTTGGTTGGGATTGGTTGAGCTAAGGACCAATCCCAACCAACCACAAAATGTGGTTGGAGGGTACACTAAGCAACCCCCCAATTTATAAATGTGCTACACTTCTAGCCTATGTATGTTGTATGAAATATGAAATTACAACACAACCCCCCAACATGCATAAGGCTAGAAGGCTAGAATCAAGAGGCGGGAGGCGACTTAGGAGGAGTGAGGCCAAGAAGACGAAGTAGGAAAGAGTGAGCGGCATGAGGAAGAGCTTTTGTGAAGATGTCGGCAAGGTTGGCCGCCGAGTCAACCTTGTCGAGGCGAAGGTGCCCCGCCTGAACAAGATCGCGAATGAAGAAATGACGGAGCTCAATGTGCTTGGAGCGCCCGTGAAACACAGCATCTTTGGTGAGGTGAATGGTACTAGCATTGTCACACCAAATTGTGGGACAGCGCTGGGGGGCACCAAGTTCCTCAAGAAGGAAGGTGAGCCAGCGGGCCTCTTGCGCAGCCATGGTGGCGGCATACAATTCCGCCTCGCAGGAGGAGAGGGCTGCAGCCGAGGAGCGGGTGGAGCGCCAGCTGATAAGGCCGCTGCCAAGAGAGAAGCCATAGCCCTGGGAGGAGCGACGATCTGGCCGGGAATCAGCCCAGGAGGAGTCACTGTAGCCGCTGAGAAGAGGTGGGGAGGGGCCGCCAAGAGTAAGGACATAGTCCTTGGTGCCACGAAGGTACCGGAGGACACGCTTGGCGGCCTGCCAGTGCTCTTCCGTATGCTTGCTTGCGCCAACAAAACGAGCGAGGGCGCTGATGGGGTAGGCAAGGTCAGGGCGAGTGGAGACCATGGCGTACATGAGGGAGCCGATGAGCTCGGGATAAGGATGGGAGGAGGCTGAGGGGGAGGTGGGTGGAGAGAGGTGGTGCCCGACAGAAAGAGGAGTAGGTTGGGCGCCACCGCGGACCATGTCAAACCGCTCCAAGACCTGCTGCAAGTAATGACCCTGGGAGAGAGAGATGGTGCGGGCGGAGCGGTCGCGGGTGATGGTCATGCCCAGGTAATGCTGCAGCTCGCCCAAGTCCTTGCATTTGAGACGGCTGCCCAACTCAGCCTTAACACGCTCCAATTCGCCAAGGTCGGCAGTGAGCAGAATCATGTCATCGACATACACAAGGATGTAGAACGGGGAGGGGCAGGTGCGGAGGAAGAGGCTGGCGTCAGAGCGGGAGGTGCGGAACCCAAGTTCAGCAAGGGTGGCGGCAAGCTTAGCATACCACTCCCTCGGGGCCTGTCGAAGCCCATACACAGGGCGACGCAGCTGCCAGACAGAGTCTGCAGGGAAGGGAAGGTGAAAACCGGCTGGACGCTCTTTCTTTCTTTCTTTCTTTCTTTCTTTCTTTCTTTCTTTCTTTCTTTCTTTCTTTCTTTCTTTCTTTCTTTCTTTCTTTCTTTCTCGCGGAGGACGCCTTGGAGGAAAGCGTTAGAGACGTCCATCGAGTGGATCTCCATATTGAGGCGAGCGGCGAGGTCGAGCACGGCGCGAACAGTAGCAGGCTTGGCAGTGGGAGAGAAGGTATCGAAGAAATCAAAACCATACCGCTGCGTGAACCCCTTGGCACAGTAACGAGCCTTATAGACGGGCGGCTCCCCTGGCAGCTGTTTGACGCGAAACACCCACTTCCCTTTCACCACGTTCGTAGAGGAGGGAGGGCGAGGCACATCAACGAAGGAGGAGTTGGCGACAAAGGCCTCCAGCTCCTTGATAATGGCGGCGAGCCAGAGTGGGGCGTCGGGGCAAGCCATGGCCTCCTCATACGTGGTAGGGATGAAAACGGAGGGAGCAGAGGAGAATGCGAATACTGGTGTCCCAGAAAGGTCAAAGGTGATGGGTAGAAGGGAAGGGTCACAGAGGTGGAGGTCAAGGAACTCCTCATGCGAGTCCTCGGAGAGGGAGGTGTGGAAGGAGCGGATGACCGTTGGTGCCGCTGGTGCCGCTGCACGTGCCGCTGCTGGTGCCGCTGCTGGTGCCGCTGCTGGTGCCGCTGCTGGTGCCGCTGCTGGTGCCGATGCTGGTGCCGCTGCTGGTGCCGCTGCTGGTGCCGCTGCTGGTGCCGCTGCTGGTGCCGCTGCTGGTGCCGCTGCTGGTGCCGCTGCTGGTGCCGCTGCTAGTGCCGCTGCTGGTGCCGCTGCTGGTGCCGCTGCTAGTGCCGCTGCTGGTCCCGCTGCTGGTCCCGCTGCTGGTGCCGCTGCTGGTCCTGCTGCAGGTGCCACTGCTGGTCCTGCTGCTGGTGCCGCTGCGGGTGCCGTTGCGGACGCTGCTGCTGGCGCCGCTGCTGGAGAGGTGGCAGAGGGGGCTGCTGCAGGAGGAGGTTGATGCAGAACAGCCTGGAAGAAGTGGTGAAGGAGAGGGGAGAGTGGGGGGAGGGTAGAGGTAGAGAGGGTAACAGGGGGCGGTGCACCAAGGATACTGTCACGTGACCTGGTATGGGGGTACCGGGTAAGTACGGTGCGGGGAGGGGGGGAAGGACGAGTCGGCGGCGAGGGAGGTGAACGAGGGGCGGGAGGGGCACTAGGAGAGGAATGTGTGGGGGAGACGGGAGAGGACAGAGGTTCCGGGTCAAATATATTACCAGACGAGGGAGGGGCACCGTGGGATGGGGACGACGGTGGGGGGGGGGGAGGGAGGATGGGGGGAGGAGGAAGTAGTGGGGGAGGGGTGGTGTCAGACCAGACAAGGGGACGGGGAAGACGGGGGAGTGGGTCAGTGGATGGGGGAGAGGAGTAGTAGGGAGTGGACTCATCAAAGACCACATCCCTACTGCGGAATAGACGACCTGAGGGGGGATGGAGGAAAAGGTAGTCAGGTGAGGAGGAGTTATGACCAAGAAAGATGCAGGGAAGGGTACGAGGGGCAAGCTTTCCCATAGAGCGGGAGCGGTCAGTGGGGTGAAGGAGAACATAAGCCTTTGAGCCCCAGACACGAAGAGACGAGACATCAGGTTTGTTGTTCGTCCACAGCTCAGTGGGGGTGGTGGATGGGAGAAGAGGGTGAGGGTAAAGGTTAGTAAGGAGGGCGGCATGAAGGAGGGCGTAGCCCCACAGAGAAGGAGGGCAGGAGGCGTGGAAAAGAAGACACCAGGCAGTTTTGGTGATCTCTCGAACACGACTTTCAGCCACACCGTTCTGCTGTGGGGAGTGAGGGAGGGTGTAAGTCTGAAGAATGCCATGAGACTGACAATAGGAGGATATTTGGTTGTTAAGGAACTCACCACCACCATCAGAGTGAAGGCGGCGAACAGGGCGCCCAAAATGGGTATTTGCACGCTCGAGCCAGGCGATGATCGCAGCCGGGGCATCTGCCTTCGTCCGAAGGAGAGAGACGGACGAGTACCGACTGTGATCATCGACGAGTACGAGGAGGTATCGATGGCCCTGGCGAGTGGGAGAGGGATTGGGGCCCCAGAGGTCCATGTGAACAAGATCAAGTGGCTGAGCAGCAGCGGAGGGGGAGCTCCGGTGCGGCTGCTGCTTGAGCTTGCTCTGAACGCAGACGGTGCAGGGGGGGGCAGGGGATTTGGGGAGGGGAGGGAGGGAGGAGGGGAGACCGTGGAGGAGACCGGTGGAAACAGAGGAGCGTAGAGTAGCGAAGTTAGGGTGACCTAGCCTGTGATGGAGGAGGACGGCATGGTGGGAGAGGGAGCGACAGGAGCAAGAGGAGTCAAGGGGGGGGCGGGAAGGGAGGTCCGGGTTAGTGGGAGGGAGAGGAGGAGGTGGGATGAGAGGGTGGAGGGGGGGACGAGAGATGACCTGACAGGAGGGGAGGCGAGGAACCCGAAGGGTGTACAGACGGGAGCGAGGGAAAAAGGGAATGCGAGAAACGAACTGACCGGTGGCGGAATGATAGAGAGCGCAATAGTTAGCATGAGCTGGGAATACTGTGGTGATACCGGCTTGCTGAAGGGACCTTTGCGAAAGGAGATTAGCGCGAAGAGAGGGTATGTGGAGACCGGTGACAGTGCCTGAGGGGAAGAGTGGGCAGGGGAGAGTCGAGGTGTTATGGCAGGGGATACAGAAGCTGCTGTCGGCACCAAGGAGGGAGGTAGGCGTTGGGAGGGGGCGCAAGGTGCCAGCATCGCGAAGAACTGTGTCAGTGGCGCCGCTGTCGAGGACAAAATCGACAGTGGAGGAGAGGGAGGAGGAAGGGACAGAGGACTCGAACGCAGTTTCGTTAGTGCTAGAGGAGTATGTGGCAGGTGCAGTTGATGTGGCTTGATTGACCATACCAGCGATACCAACGGATGAGAAAGATGGGACGATGCTTGAAGTGGCGGAGCTTGTGGAACAATGCGGAACTGAGTTCTGCTGGGAAGTTGGGGGAGGAGGAGGAAGAGGCAGCTGCGGTTGTAGGTCAAGGTGCTGCTGCAGGCGGTGAAGCAACTGCTGGAGCTGGAGGAGGAGGTGCCAGAGCTGCTGCTGGTGCTGCTGTTGCTGCGGTTGCTGCTGCTGCTGCTGCTGCTGCTGCTGCTGCTGCTGCTGCTGTTGCTGCTGTTGCTGCTGCGGAGGAGGAGGAGGAGGAGGAGGAGGAGGAGGAGGAGGAGGAGGAGGAGGTAGAGAGAAGGGTTGACTCGGGGCATGGTGGGCTTGGGTGGAAAGCTTACACTGAAGTCCCCGAGTCGGGCCATAGCGAGGCACATATTCACGAGGAGAGAAGGCTGCTGCTGCGCCGCAGCCTGCGCTCAAACCCCTGACACCACAATATCCTGCGAGTCTCCCTTGACCACCACCACAGCTGCCACTATGCCCTCCTCCATGCCCACCGGCACCACTGCTGATGCATGCCAGCGCAACTGTTGCCATGGGGGAAGCAATGTGGGGTGTGGGCGGTCACGGCATGGCGCAGGCGAGCAGGGCATGAAGGTGTGCGCAGGCAGCTGACGGTATGCGCAGGCGGGTGTGCTGTATGTGCTCCCAGGTGTGCGGTATGTGCTGTCAGGTGTGCGGTATGTGCTGTCAGATGTGCGGTATGTGCTGTCAGGTGTGCGGTATGTGCTGTCAGGTGTGCGGTATGTGCTGTCTGATGTGCTGTATGCGCGTGCAGACGAACAGGGCGCGCGGACGGCCAGGGTGCGGATGACTGGGGCGCGCGGACGGGCAGGGCGCGGACGCGAAGGGCGGATGAGCAGGGCGTGCGGACGGGCAGGGCGCGGACGAGCAGGGCGTGCGGACGGGCAGGGCGGGGACGCGAAGGGCGGACGAGCAGAGGGCGGACGACCAGGGCGCGCGGTCGGACTAGCAAGGGCGTGCGAGTTGCAGATCTGAGCACGCGGAATGCAGATTTGGGCGCGGGAGAGTAGATCTGAGTGCGGAATGTGCAGATCTGAGCGCGAAATGCGCAGATCTGAGGGCAGGAGGAGTAGAGCAGGGCGCGGGAGGAGTAGATCTGAGCTCGGGAGGAGGAGGTGTGAGCTCGGGAGGAGTAGATCTGAGTTCGGGAGGAGTAGATCTGAGCTGGGGAGGAGTAGATCTGAGCTCGGGAGGAGTAGATCTGAGCTCGGGAGGAGTAGATCTGAGCTCGGGAGGAGTAGATCTGAGCTGGGGAGGAGTAGATCTGAGCTCGGGAGGAGTAATTCTGAGCTCGGGAGGAGGAGATGGGAGCTCGGGAGGAGTAGATCTGAGCTCGGGAGGAGTAGATCTGAGCTCGGGAGGAGTAGATCTGAGCTGTTGAGGAGTAGATCTGAGCTCGGGAGGAGTAGATCTGAGCTCGGGAGGAGTAGATCTGAGCTGCGGAGGAGTAGATCTGAGCTGGGGAGGAGTAGATCTGAGCTCGGGAGGAGTAGATCTGAGCTGGGGAGGAGTAGATCTGAGCTGTTGAGGAGTAGATCTGAGCTCGGGAGGAGTAGATCTGAGCTCGGGAGGAGTAGACCTGAGCTAGGGAGGAGTAGATCTGAGCTCGGGAGGAGTAGATCTGAGCTCGGGAGGAGTAGATCTGAGCTCGGGAGGAGGAGATGTGAGCTCGGGAGGAGTAGATCTGAGCTCGGGAGGAGTAGATCTGAGCTGTTGAGGAGTAGATCTGAGCTCGGGAGGAGTAGATCTGAGCTCGGGAGGAGTAGATCTGAGCTGGGGAGGAGTAGATTTGAGCTCGGGAGGAGTAGATCTGAGCTCGGGAGGAGTAGATCTGAGCTGGGGAGGAGTAGATCTGAGCTCGGGAGGAGTAGATCTGAGCTGGGGAGGAGTAGATCGGAGCTCGGGAGGAGGAGATGTGAGCTCGGGAGGAGTGAATCTGAGCTTGGGAGCACCGTAGTAGGACTACGTCTGAGGGACGGGGAGGAGAGGGTGGCCTAAGGAGCGAGGGATCAAGGCGTGAGCCAATAGCTCATGATACCATGTAGGAAAGCTAGAATTGATACATTGAATAATGAGCCAAGAGGCTCTTTAGTACAAACAATGAGCAAGAGAGAGATGAGAGGGAAGCTTACCCTATTGGCCAATAAGTTGGCCAATGGGTGAGCTTGCTTGTGACCCAAGCAACCACAAATGTGTGTTGGTTGGGATTGGTTGAGCTAAGGACCAATCCCAACCAACCACAAAATGTGGTTGGAGGGTACACTAAGCAACCCCCCAATTTATAAATGTGCTACACTTCTAGCCTATGTATGTTGTATGAAATATGAAATTACAACAGATGCATGACGATGATGCATGACGATGAGGCATGACGATGAGGCATGACGATGATGCATGACGATGAGGCATGACGATGAGGCATGACGATGATGCATGACGATGATGCATGACGATGAGGCATGACGATGATGCATGACGATGATGCATGACGATGAGGCATGACGATGAGGCATGACGATGATGCATGACGATGAGGCATGACGATGAGGCATGACGATGAGGCATGACGATGATGCATGACGATGATGCATGACGATGATGCATGACGATGAGGCATGACGATGAGGCATGACGATGATGCATGACGATGAGGCATGACGATGAGGCATGACGATGAGGCATGACGATGATGCATGACGATGAGGCATGACGATGAGGCATGACGATGAGGCATGACGATGATGCATGACGATGATGCATGACGATGATGCATGACGATGAGGCATGACGATGAGGCATGACGATGATGCATGACGATGAGGCATGACGATGAGGCATGACGATGATGCATGACGATGATGCATGACGATGAGGCATGACGATGATGCATGACGATGATGCATGACGATGAGGCATGACGATGAGGCATGACGATGATGCATGACGATGAGGCATGACGATGAGGCATGACGATGAGGCATGACGATGATGCATGACGATGATGCATGACGATGATGCATGACGATGAGGCATGACGATGAGGCATGAGGATGATGCATGACGATGAGGCATGACGATGATGCATGACGATGATGCATGACGATGAGGCATGACGATGAGGCATGGCGATGATGCATGACGATGAGGCATGACGATGAGGCATGACGATGAGGCATGACGATGATGCATGACGATGAGGCATGACGATGATGCATGACGATGATGCATGACGATGAGGCATGACGATGAGGCATGACGATGATGCATGACGATGAGGCATGACGATGAGGCATGACGATGAGGCATGACGATGATGCATGACGATGATGCATGACGATGATGCATGACGATGAGGCATGACGATGAGGCATGACGATGATGCATGACGATGAGGCATGACGATGAGGCATGACGATGAGGCATGACGATGATGCATGACGATGAGGCATGACGATGATGCATGACGATGATGCATGACGATGAGGCATGACGATGAGGCATGACGATGATGCATGACGATGAGGCATGACGATGAGGCATGACGATGAGGCATGACGATGATGCATGACGATGATGCATGACGATGAGGCATGACGATGAGGCATGACGATGATGCATGACGATGAGGCATGACGATGAGGCATGACGATGAGGCATGACGATGATGCATGACGATGATGCATGACGATGATGCATGACGATGAGGCATGACGATGAGGCATGACGATGATGCATGACGATGAGGCATGACGATGAGGCATGACGATGAGGCATGACGATGATGCATGACGATGAGGCATGACGATGATGCATGACGATGATGCATGACGATGAGGCATGACGATGAGGCATGGCGATGATGCATGACGATGAGGCATGACGATGAGGCACGGCGCTGAGAAATGTCAGACGAGTTTATGATGTCCGACGAGATTCCCACACCCATCACAGCATTGTGTCGATCGCAGTTGAAATGACAAATTTACTTTACGAAGCGTCCCCGTATCGATAAAAAGTCATGTTCTGACACTCTGAAGTGCTGGCAATCTCACCAGCTCAGCATTTCAAGAGACGAGAGGAGCCCTGCAGCGGCATCGGTTTGTTCCTCTGCATTACACCTGCGCGCCGAGCTTGGAAGGACGAACCCTGCTGTCTGGTCTGCCGTCGTACTACCTTTACCCTTGTTCGCGCCGGCTATGTTAACTGGAACAGCGTGGTTTGAAACCGGAGGAGCTGTGTAGTATCGACCATTGAAGACCGTGCATAGCGTCAAATTCAGCGAAAGGCACACGAACGTCGCACGAATGGCACGAACGGTAGGAGCCATTCTATGCGGACGTTGCACGAAAATGTGATTCACATCGACTGCGTTAAACGAAATGTGACTACTGAAAATCTTCGTCTAAACGAAAGCTGGTCATCGTCGGAGGCCTTCAGGACTCCGCGATGCAATGCAGCTGGCTCTTCTGGTCTTGCTCTTCGTGACTGTCATGTTGTTCATGAAGGATGAGCTCTGACTGAAGGAATGCTGGATTGAGCCAATACCTTGTTAGGGCGTGTCCATTTCGTTCATTTCGGGATTTTTCGTGCCAACGCACGTATCAAGGTTCAAAAATAACTACCGTACCTAGAAACGAATGCGTTGTGAGTGGAGTCCAACCATCCTGTAATTTCAGAAGCGCGGACACATTCCCCGCCACACGAATCAACAGTGCTCTGACCACGTTGAAAACGAGGTAACAGTTTCCCTCGTCAATCATAGCTTGAAAATTTTTGTGCAGGCGCAGGGGGCGCTGGCGAGTAGAGCGAACCACTGACGAAATCGTGCAAGCGATCCAAGGGAAACGAACTGTAGTGGCCAGGACGCGGTGCTGTACCCTTGTTCGCGTCCCTGCTGATTCCAGTAACGTGAGTCAGACGACTCTAGGTACGTGCATGGGGCGTGCCGTCTTGCGAACAGAAGCTGATTGTGTCCGCTGGACACGTTCAAAAAAGGGTTACCACAAAAAATGTGGTAACTGAGGGGTTTACGAACAGTAAATGTACGAGCTGGACCTCCCTTAGTTCAAAATGGTAGAGCTCATGATGTAGAATTCGCGAAAGCACGAATCACAGTTACCCCTCGTCAGCGTCGTGCGTCGGCCCTGATCGGCTTCGTAGGAGAGGGAGACAGAGAGACTGCTGCACCTGCCTGCGCGACAGGCTAGAACACTCTTGACGCATTTCCTCGTAATCGATACACTTGGACAGAGAAAACCAAAGAAACGAATCTACATTCAATGAATCAATGAAGTGATTTTCCACTGGGAAGACACAAACAAACGCACACATCTCAAGTTTCACCCATCCGGTTATTCCACTATTGCAAAAGAAAAGCAGCATCAACCACAGAATCAGCAATCGTTTGACCACCGCTTTTGCATTATTACAACATGAAACAAACAATACAACAATGTTGCAAGAGAGGGCAACCAGCATTGGTCACTTTTCATGCATCACATTGTAACTCAATGCCGCAATCACATGGTGCGTGGTGGGCAAGGCACCCTCGATAGGGGCTAGATCCCAGGGTGAGCTTTGAGTGGAGGCGAAGAGCCATGGGGCAACAGAGGCATTGAAGTCTTCAAAGCGAGACACGAGTAACGCCTCCCAGTCAACCTGAATGGTAGAGGTATGAACGAAACAATTACTCAGTGATTGATCGTGCCAGGGAAAAGGCTCTATGCAAACCTCGAGAGACGAGAGTGTGCTCTTCTTGTCATTGTAATTTTAACTGAACCGCTGGGGCGCTATCTGATGTGTCTTGCTGTTGAGTATAAGCCATCCCTTGCTGACAACGGCGTGATCATGTGTCAAGTCAACACACGTGGCAGAAAAAGAAAAGAATGTTCCAGCCCCAAAGGGCAACCATGCGTCCAATAGCACGGCTCAGCCTACCTGCACCCCGTGGGGGACGAGCGTTGTGGTTTGCATGTCAGCAGCCATGGAGAGGCCGAGGATGGAGACCAGCCCCACCATGGCGGACCCGCGCGTCAGCGGCATGAGCTGGAACCTGGTGTGTAGCGAAGGCGGAGAGGGTGATGAGTGAGGGTCATGCGGGCATGATGTGTGAAAGGAGTTTCAGATCCAAAACAGGAGTGAGTCTGCGCTGTGTGTATCACTGTGCAAGGCAGCTACATGCGTGACCCCTCCCACAAACGCGCAGAGTACCCCTTGCATTAGCAGCCAGGCACAGCGTGTGTACCCCACTGGCCACGCACAGCACAACACAGCACAGCACAGCACAGCACAGCACAACACAGCACAGCACAACACAGCACAGCACAGCACAGCACAGCACAGCACAGCACAGCACAGCACAGCACAGCACAGCATGCCCCAGACGTACCCCAGCCACGAGAGAGCACCCCATGGCAGTGTGCCGTACTGACCAGAAGTACCCCAGGCGGAGGATGGCGTCTTGAATCCTCTGGCGGTAGCGATGCGGGTCCGCTGCCTCTGTGTGTGCGTCCAGCACTGCCGCACACAGCGCCTGGTGTGAGGGAGGGGGGATGGGGGATCAGGAGTGGATGGGACAGAGATCAGACGCGTATCCGCTTGTTCAGAACTGAAGTGCAGCAGTCGCCTCAAAGTGAAATGGCAGGCGGAGCAAGGTAGGTGTGACCGGGATTCAAGAGAGGAGGGATTGGTGTGCATGGCAAGGGGGACTGACATGAGAGGACTGACATGACAGGTATAAGGAGACGCAGTTGCGTATGAGTCATGCACGCCTGACCTGCCATGCAGAGATGCGTATGAGTCATGCACGCCTGACCTGCCATGCAGATGCGTATGAGTCATGCACGCCTGACCTGCCATGCAGATGCGTATGAGTCATGCACGCCTGACCTGCCATGCAGATGCGTATGAGTCATGCACGCCTGACCTGCCATGCAGATGCGTATGTGTCATGCACGCCTGACCTGCCATGCAGATGCGTATGAGTCATGCACGCCTGACCTGCCATGCAGATGCGTATGAGTCATGCACGCCTGACCTGCCATGCAGATGCGTATGAGTCATGCACGCCTGACCTGCCATGCAGATGCGTATGAGTCATGCACGCCTGACCTGCCATGCAGCAGTGAGCTCGTGGTCGAAGCCGTGCCACCGATGAGCGCTGATTGGCGTGTGCGAGTAGAAGTTGAACGCGTGGGTGCTGGTATGGTGCAGACAGAGGAACAGGAGCGCGTGAATGTGGTGTGTGGGTGGTTCAATGCGTGCATGCAGAAAAAGGGAGGGAGGATAGGTGAGTGAAAGACAGATGGAGCTCCAGAGGCGGAGGAGAGAAGGGCGAGGTTGGAATCGATAGGGAAAGATGGTGTGGAGGGAAAAGAGAGCATGTGAGGAGGAACATGCTGGGAGAGATTCACATGCTCTCGCATGGTAAACTGCGGGAACTGGGTGATTGATAAACAGTGTGCTCTGCCTGATGCGTGGGGAAGTGGCAAATTAGAAAAAGCACGAGGCAATGGCTTACTTACCTCTTAAGGATTTCAAACATTGACCCGGTCAGGTCCTTCCTGCATGGGCATGCATGCAATGGGAGGAGGTGAGGAGGTTACAAAGACGAGGAGGTGGAAATAGAGAGACAAGGAGGTGGAAATACAGAGTAACACGCGTGACATGTACTTTGAAAGCTCATGGCTGGAGCAAGGCTTTTGAGGCCATCATCCTCCCATCATCTGAAGAGGTGGAAATACAGATTGATACGTGTGACGTGAACTCTGAAAGCTCATGGCTGGAGCAAGAACAGCAGATACAACGCTTCGCAAGTGCTCAGCTGTAGCAGGGAAGGATACCCTGGGGATGACTGTTTCAGGAAAGGCGTATGCTGGGAAGACATGGCTGTAGCAGGGAAGGCGCACCCTGGAACGGCATGGCTGTAGCAGGGAAGGCGCACCCTGGGAAGACATGGCTGTAGCAGGGTGCTTGGACGAGAAAGTCCTTTCCCACAGCTTGGTGAAGCGCCTGCAGGTCAGCTGCCCTGGTGATCTGAGGAAGGATGGGGAGCAGTGGGCGAGGGGAAGAAAAGAAGAGGGGATGGGAGAAGGGAGGAAGGTGACGAGTTTGAGGGGAGACTGGGATGCTTGAAGAGTCGTGGAGGGAGGAGTTGGTTAATGCTGACGAGGAGGCAAGTTGATATGTGACGTGCATGGGGACAGAAACGGAGTCAGGGCGGTGCATGTCTGCATAATATGTCTCTGCACCACGGTTGCTGCCATGGCCGATGCAGCCCACTCACCCCATGTGGCCATGCATGTTGCAAGAAACAGGCACACCCCACTCACCATGTGACGTGAGTTACGCGGCACAGCGAAGGGCTGGTCGTTTGAAAAGGCCCGCTCTGACTCCAGCAGAGCTTCACGCATGGCCTCAAACGACCTGCCACACATTCAACAGGAGGCGCCTTGAGACGACAAAAAAACACTGCAGGGAAAGTGACTGCAGGGAAAGTGACTGCAGGGAAAGTGACTGCAGAGAAGCGGAGTCAGTGCAAGAGAGGTATGCGTGCTAGGAGGTATGAGTGGTGGGGGGAGTGTGTGGGTTTGGCAGGCTGAAAGGCCGAGAAAGAAAGTGAGTGGTTAGTGAGGGACCCACTTGTTGAAGACGGGATAGTACTTGACGGTCTGCAGATCCCACACCTTGATGGGCGTGGACGACCGAACGCCCCGCGCAAAGCTTTTTCTGCAGAGGAAAGCAGACGGAGCACCCTTTCCCCCCCATGAGACATGATCGCATGCCATCAGGAAACCATTGAGAATCAAATCAATAAGAACGGGAAGAGCCATCCCAGTGGCACGTACTTCAGTTGGTCGTTCCAGAGAATAGCAGCCGTTGGATCGGCGATCTGTCTCCATCTGGTGATCATCTCGTAAACATCCCTCCAGCCTTTGAGCACCCCACCGCCTGACACCTTGCTTCTGCTGCGGCTCTTCCCACTGTCTTTGCCTGAGTTTTCACTTGCCTTCTGCCTCTGCTTCGCCGTGCTCTCTACCCTTCCGCCTCCTCCTGCTAGTGCATCTTTTTCCTTGGTTGTTGTCGTGTCTGTAACTGTGTTTCCAGCTGCTGACTCCCTCCCCTGCAGCTCCTGTGCCATAGCATCCCAACTTGCCCTTGCCTGTGCCACGGCACATGCACACATGGAGCAATTGAAAGAGCATGAAAGATCTCCACACTTGCAACACTGTCTTTAGTGACTAGCATTTGCAAAAGCAGCATTGAATAACCAGCTGCATCTCGTCAAGAGCTGCCAGCCCTGGGGATTTACGAGTGGCCTGAACACCATCAAAGTGAATGGGGGCAGATGAGAGAAGGACGTGGGTGGAAAGGAAGCGGAAGAGTCTCACCTGCTGCATCACGTCAAGAGCTGCCAGCCCTGCCATGCGCAGCTGAGGGGTGGAGGGAGGGCGAGGGGAATGGAGTGAGCACAGGAACAAAGTTCATGCAGGCAGTATTAGGGAAGTGAGGATATGGGGGGTGAAGACAGAAAACAACAAACAAAGCATGCTGGCATGTCTCTGCTGTTACCTGCTGCCTGTTTGCCATGAAGGCATCACAGTGGTAGTGGGCCCGCTGGCCGATCCTGTCCGCTGCTTCGATCAGATCCAACGCTTCTCGTGACAGCTTGGGCAGGGATAGTAGTTTGGCGCGCTGTAACTGGCGTGAACTGACCGAGAGCGGCTGGTATCCTGGCAGTGTTGCTATAGGGTCACTATTGGTCCATGCCTCCTGTGCCACGGTGGGGGAGGGGGATATGAGTCGGGAATGTAGCAAGGGGGGACTGAAGGGGAGTAGCAAGGTTGGGATGTGATAAAAAGGTATTGTGATGGGATGTGGTGGTGATGCCTCTTGGTTGAGCAATGTGAGATGATTCTACGTCTGAGCAAAGGGCACTGAGAATGGGCGTGCCAATGGGAAACAGACGCCACAGCATGGGTGATGAAGATGGCTGTGTTCAGGGCGATAAAGGGTTGAGGGCGATAAAGGGTTGAGGGCGATAAAGGGTTGAGGGCGATAAAGGGTTGAGGGCGATAAAGGGTTGAGGGCGATAAAGGGTTGAGGGCGATAAAGGGTTGAGGGCGATAAAGGGTTGAGGGCGATAAAGGGTTGAGGGCGATAAAGGGTTGAGGGCGATAAAGGGTTGAGGGTGATAAAGGGTTGAGGGATGTAGTAAGGCGTGGCCGTACTCTGAACTCAGAAGTGAAGTCCCAGTCGAATTGGATAGCCGTACTTCGGGATCGTGGTTACCCACCAGCTTTTCTACTCCCACTCTTCAAGCGTGTCTGTTTCGCTCAACGGCCCGACCTTCTCGCCACCACCCAGTTACTCAAGCAACAGCAATCTCTCTCTTCCCATGGGCCCCTAGTCCTGAAGGCACAGTTCACTCCTTGGACTGCGCGCCTCCGGCTAGGGGTCGTTTTGAGTCGACTCAAAAATAGGCTCATCACACACGGATTTTATGTTGAGAGATTTTTTGTTGCTTGGACGATTGGGTGTAGCTTGTTAAAGCTTTTGGTGCGCGCGCGACTACCGAAGTTGCTGCATGGCGAAAGGTTGGACTCTGCTCCCAATGATGACACCCTCGAGGGTTGAAGACGTGGCTCTTGGTGTTCACCAGAGCTACCTGGATTGGTCCCGAACTTTTTGGAACGGGCCAGGGTGTAGATAACCTTGAGTTTTGTTTTACTGGAGGCGTTAGCTTTTCTTTTAAGGCTTCTGCTCCACTATGTTTTTCATTCTCGTAGGCACTGATGAAGGACTGGTAGGGGATGCCCTCCAGCCGAAACATGTTTGTCTTGTTTTAAATCCTGTTAACGAGAAGAGTTCCGGCTTCACAGACTCTCGGCTATTAGCTAGTGTTAAGAGTTTCACTGTTTTTTCCTACTTGCTTAAGCCTAAACCTAAGCATTGCTGCTCACTGGAAGTATGTCAGAGTGAAGTCCCAGTCGAATTGGATAGAGGAGAGCGGCTGCTGCAAGCGAGCAACGGTGTAGGACAGTACCTCCCTCTGGGAGGGGGAGGGCAGTTGGAATGGCAGTCATGGGAGGCAGGGAGCATATGAGGAAGGGAGATGAGTGGGAGTGGCGAGGGGCTGGTCGGGGAGCAAAAAACACAACAAAAGCACTGAAACGTTTAACATGCCTGGTAGAACATGCCTGGTAGAACATGTCTGGTAGAACATGCCTGGTAGAACATGGAGTGTTGCAGAACCTGTCCGTCCTGATCCCTGGGTTGCAGTGCCAACGCTGCCTGGTACTTGCGCATCTGTGGGCAGGGCAGCACAGGGGTATCCAGATGAGGGTGGTGGGTCGTCGTGATGCAAGTGTGTGTGTGTGTGGTGCGTGCGAGATCGTGATTTAAAAAATGCACTATGCAAGCCTGTGAATGTGAACGGCACACAGCGTGTAGCGACTCACTATTGGGCAGCACACAGCTTGAGGAGGAGGTGTGGAACTCTCACAGCTTCAGCAAGGTCCCCCAGAGCATGCAGGCTGCTGGCGTGGGCATGAGCGAGCTCCATGTCTCCCCTGTCCAGCTGCAACCCCTCTCTTGCATAGCGTATGGCGGCCCTGCAAGGAGGGAGAGAGGGGTGAAGAGGCCGGGCTAGAGAAAGAAGAAAGGACAAGGCAGAGCAGAAATGTGGTCATCTAATAGGGCTCAACATCGAGCCCACAATCAAACATCGGGATGATGTTTTTTAAGTGGTATTTATCCAAACGTTGATAAGAGAACTAAACTGGCAGAAAACCAATCCTGCATGGTGCAAATGCGAGATGAGCGCACCTGTAGTCGCCCACCAATTGGCTGACAGCGACGAGCTCCTGATAGGTCGCCACTGCCCTATGCCGTGCACGCAGCAATGCATGGATGTGAGTAGAGGGAGTGGTTAACTGTGACTCCTTGCACACGCGTGCATGGCCCCCAGTATGGGTGTTGACACGGGAATGAAAGGATGCTTGGGAGAATAGGGACGGATGGATGGATGCAGTGACATTATAGAAGGACATATGAAATGCCAGCACAGATGCGATGCAGGGAGTTTTGAAATGGAAGCAGGGAATTTTAGAAATTGAGAGATTGAAAATTTGAGAAATTGAGAGTTGAGAAGGATGCATGCAGGGAATGATTCCAAGCTATGTCTGGACCCGCACTACGGGCACCAAAAAGAACTCACCATGGCTGCAAACACATCCACGGCACTCACTTTCTGATCTGCAGCGCTCGTTGCAGCGCCTCTATGGCTTGATCCACCTCGCCCACCTCCTTGTGCGCGCGCCCCTTGGAATGCCACAGGTCCGCATCCTGAGGGTGCCGCCTCACACCCTCTGCAAACACTGCCAGGGACTCCCGCCACCTCCCACTGCCCCCTATGGCTAGGGCCTAGGGTGAGGAAGTGGGAGGGGGGAAGGGAGTGAGGGGGTTGGGAGAGGAGAGGGATTGATCAAAAGGGAGGAAGAAGAGAGAGGAAAAAGGTGCTGGGAGGAACAGTTGAGGAACAAGCCATGCATGCTGGATGTATGGAAGGAAGGAGGAAGCCATAATGCTTATGAAATGAAAGCCTGTCTTTGGACAGGGGCAACGAGAAAACCAGCAGTCATATAAGAAAAGTGGAATAGCAAGGGACGGGTTATCACAAGGGAGAACGAGGTATGAGGTGGAAAAATAACCACACAGTGATAAGGAACGAGAATCGGAAGGAGTCAGAAGACTGAATAAGTAGCATGAGGGAGACTTACAAGGCCTCGAAAGACGAAAGACTGAGAGGGGTCAAGGTGAATGGCTTCCTGAAAGTCCTTCTCTGCTGCATGGTAGTCCTTCAGGTTAAAGGACAAGATGCCTGGCAGGGGGATTGGGAGGAGACACGAGGGAAAGGAGGGATGAAGATGGAGAGAGAGCGAGGGTCTTGAAGTGAGTGATGTTTGAGAATTCTCAAAAATCACTCACAAGGGATGTGAGATGGTTGCAGTTGGAATGGAAGCATGTGCAGCTGAGAGGAACGCGGCAGTGAACACAACTAAACCACCAACACTGACTCGCCCAGCACATATGTATGCTCACCTCGCCACCTGAGTGCTTCAGCATTGGAGGGGTCCAGGTCAATGACGCGAGAGTAGTCCGCTATGGCCTTCACGACATGGCATGTGGGTGTGGATCAAACACAGAAGGAAGAGGCACTAGATGCAATAAGGGATTGCTTCCAGGCAGCCCGCTGGCAGGCAGCATAATTCAAAGGCGGATGCATCATGACAGAATCTGGTGTGGTGTGATAGGGCAGGAGCACAATGTCAACATGTATAATGGAAGTATGGACCATCGCAGCTTGTGTTTGCGTGTCATGCACGGATGAAGGCGGCAAACCACATGGTTGCACATCTGGCTTTTGAGGCGCCTCAAAAACCACATGGTTGCACATCTGGCTTTTGAGGCGCCTCAAAAACCACATGGTTGCACATCTGGGCTGGTCTACCCGATGCGATGGCACCATGGTGTCACCATACATACATCATGATGCCTACCTCACGGTGTCACCATACATACATCATGATGTGATGTCTACCTCGACAGGCTTGTTCATTTTGAAATAAATGCCTGCTCGCGCCATGAAGCCAGCTGCGCTTGTGGGGTTTGCTGACAGAGCCTGCCAGCGGAGCATCGCATCGCACACGAGTTTGATGGGTTAACTTAATCATGTGGCTGCTGGCAACAGAATAACTGGTCAATGGGACATAAGAAGGGATGAAGCGGAGGGGACAGAAGACATGTATTCCTTACAGCGGACAGGTCAGCGACGGCCTTGTCAAACTGCCCCAATGCATCGTAACAGGAGCTTCGGCCAACAAGCACCTGATCCTTCACAGAGGGAATGGAGGCCAGCTCTCGGGCAATGATTGGAGGATTAATGGACAAACGGACTGGAATGAGCCATGCATGGGAAGCAGAGGCAGGTACGTGAAGGGAAAATTGCGGTTTTGTGATTGAACAGAAAGGTGGAATACGGACGAACCGTGGTAAATCAGAAGCAGAAGCGTTCATTGAGGCGACAAGACAAATCTGCAGGGTATAGGGTTGCATTCCTGACCTTGTTGTAGATAGCAATTGCCTCCATATATCCCCCTCGTTCTATCTGCATGGGACGGGAGCAGGCAGCAGCAAATCAAGAGGTGAAACGGAACAGGTACATGAGCCTGAACAATCAAGACTTGAATCCAAATGGGACTTGAGCTCACACGCTGGCTACTTAACTGATGCTCATACGATGTGGTGTGGTGGATACTCATACAAACAATACTAGGACGAAGCAATAAACAGCCTTTTTGCCCACCCTTTTTACCCATTCTTTTTGCCCATCCTTTTGCCCATCCGTTTTCCCATCCACTTCCCCCATGCCCATCCACTCCACCACCACCGCACTCACCTCATCGTTCGCCTGCTGCAACATCTCAAGCTGCTTGCTTGTCACCTGCGCTTCCTCCTCCTTCGTCTGCTTCTGTTCCGCTTCACCGTTGTTCACATCTTCTACAGTCGCCCTTGTGCTGCTCCCCTCCAGACCTCCCCTTCCATGCTTATTCTCATGCACCCTTCTTTGCTCCCTCATCGCAGCATTAGAAGGTCCAGGACTATCGCCCAGCAGCAGCAAGCCACAGAGCTCAGTGCTCTCCAGCTGTCTCAACCGCCCCACGGAGCTTTCCTCACACCGCAGGCCCCGTACTGCCTGGCTGTCACCTCCCTCTCTTCCTTCTCGGCCGACCAACATACTAGTGGGAGAGTCGGCGATCGCTGGTACCGGTGGCTGCTGCAGGCGATACAGTTTGGTTGCTGCGATGGATAGGGCGGTGGAATGAACAGCGGGGGGGGGAGGGAGGTATAGTACCGGGGGGTTTCCAGGATGATGGCGCATGTGTGAGCAAGCGATAACACGGGAGCAAAAAAATTGTAAAAATTAGACGCGAAATAAGTACGTTGGCTTCTGAGCTCAAGCCGAAAGTTGAGAAATAAGTTCATTGGCTCTGCAGCAGCTGCACCTTCGTTCAATATGTTGTTTTCATCACCTTTTCTGATGAATGGAGTAATGCAGGCGGGCCGCCTGGGCAGAGGGTGATGATGTGGCACTGACGCTATCAGACGCGCCTCCCATTCGCAAAGACAGGGGCTCCTGGGTGGATGCATGACGTTGATGCATGACGATGAGGCATGACGATGAGGCATGACCATGATGCATGACCATGATGCATGACCATGATGCATGACCATGATACATGACCATGATGCATGACCATGATGCATGACCATGATGCATGACCATGATGCATGACCATGATGCACGGCACTGAAGATTCTGATGTGCGACGAGATTCCCGTACACATCAATGTGTCGATCGCAGTGCAAATGACGAAAGTGTCAGTGCGTCGATATCCAGTAATGCTCTGACACTCTGAAGTGCTGGTTGGCAGTCTCACCAGCTCAGCATTTCAAGAGACGAGAGGAGCCCTGCAGCGGCATCGGTCTGTTCCTCTGCATTGCACCTGCGCGCCGAGCTTGGAAGGACGAACCCCGCTGTCTGGTCTGCCGTCTCCGCACCTCTCGTACTACCTCCACCCTTGTTCGCGCCGGCTAAATTAACTGTAACGGCATGGTTTGAGAACGGTGGAGCTGTGTAGTATCGACCATTGAAGACCGTGCATATGGAACAAGCTCACGGCACTTGGGCTTGTTCAAGTTATTTCTAGCTGAGAATTCTTCCCAAGAGAATTTCCTTAGAAGCAAGGAAGAACAAACAGAAAGAGAAACAGCAACTACTCTCTAATTCCTACGAATGCATTTTTATATGTACAGTACATTTACAATTCAGACATGCGGCTCGGAATGTCGATTCGGGTGGCCAGCCCCAACATCGAGCCGCATTCCATATTTCTACTCACGTTTGTACACCTCACTGCACCCACACACGTGTTACATTTCTATTCCTCCAAGTCTGGACTTTCGCCACCTGTCCCACGCGGAAGTCCCCCCAAGTCAGTCAAGGCACGAAACCTCAGTTTCGCCCTTCTCACGTGGGTCCCCCACGTCCTGCTCACTTCCGTCCCTTTGCTGCCCACGTTCGCAGTTGCACGCTACTGCTGCATGCTTTCGCCTCCCGTGCGCTTCACGCTGCCTCTAGTGCAGCCCCCACTTGTTACATTACCTCCCCTCCCTGAAGGCACCGTCCTCGGTGCCAATGAGGCAAGATACACTCCAATGGCACGAGGAGCATGGCTGAGGTTGGAGAATGGCTCCCATGAATCTTCAGATGCAGATGTGTTGCGCCAGTGAATGAGGTATTCTCGGCCAACCGGGGTGTCACGGTGTGAGAGGATGGTCTCGACCTCATGCAGGTCCGGATGGGCAGAGAACATGGGTGGACGGGGCTGGAATGGGTGAGAGGGAGTACGGTAAGGTCGAAGAAGGTGAACATGGAAAACAGGGTGTATGGTCATGTGAGGAGGAAGTTGAAGGCGGTAGCTGACCGATGAGAGAACCTTGGTGATGGGGAATGGTCCAACGAATCTGGGTGCGAGCTTGCGAGAAGTTCCAGCATTCAGCAGGGGCAGGTTAGCCGTTGAAAGCAGCACCAAATCACCAACTCTGAAAGTGGTGTGATGCCTATGCTGGTTGGCATAGCGAACTTGGCGCTCTTGTGCAAGCTGAAGCTTCCTTCGGGCAAGTTGGAGAATGCGGTGATGAGAAGAGATGAAATCTGCTGCTGTGGGGTTAGGGGAATGAAGAGGGTGAGGGAGGGATGTGACTGAGCGTGGTAGCTGTCCAGTAGCTAAAAGAAACGGTGGCTCTCCTGTGGCAATGTTGGGGCTGCTGTTGTAGGCAAACTCCACTGCTGCCAAGTGCTGATCCCAGTCAGTTTGCATAGAATTCACACACGAGCGTAGCGCATCCTCCAAGGTTCTGTTCATGCGCTCTGTCTGACCGTCAGTTTCAGGGTGGTAGGCTGTAGAGAGTCGAATCTGTGTGCCCAACAGTTGAAACAGTGCGGTCCAGAAGTTGCTGAGGAACCGTGTGTCTCTGTCACTGATTATGGCTGAGGGCAGTCCGTGTAGCCTCACCACATGCGTGAAAAACAGCTTGGCAGTTTCAGCAGCAGTCACTGTGCCGGTTGTAGGGATGAAGTGAGCCATCTTGGACAGCTTGTCAATCACCACAAGAATGCTGTCAAAGCCTGTAGGGGTGCGGGGTAGGTCTGTGATAAAATCCAGAGAAACACAAGTCCAGGGGGCTGTGGGTATCTCCAATGGTTGCAGCAGACCAGCCGGTGCAGTGGTGCGAGCCTTGTTGACCTGAAGAAACATACTCTGCTACACTCCGGGACAGTCCAGGCCAGTAGTAGTCACGAGAAATGGCAGCATATGTCTTGTCACTGCCAAAGTGTGACCGGTTGTCATGGTACTCGTGTAGTAGCAGCTGGCGAAGCTTGGAGTCATCAGGTACACACACAGTACCAGAATCTGCACGGGTCCAAAAGGGATTGCTAAAAAGAAAGGATGGGTCATGGGGGGCTTTCTGTTGGTACAGCTGATCACGGTTGTAACCACGGCTGAAACGAGTGATGAAGTTGCGGTCCCATGTAACCACTCCCATGACATTCAGCTCCTCTGCTGCTGGCCGTGACAGAACATCCGCCGGATTGAAGCGCCCTGGTTTGTACACAATCTGAAGATTGGGAACGTACTGCTCCAAAAACTGAACCCACCGCGCCTGCCGTGGTGTGATCTGTGACTGTGTTTTCAGGTACTCCAGTGTTCGGTGATCAGTGAAAACTGTAACGGGCTGCATCTCCACATAACAGCGCCACTTCTTCAGTGCGTGCACCACAGCAAGTGCCTCTCTCTCGTGAATGGGGTATGTGCGCTCTGCAGCAGTGAGCTTTCGTGACTCAAAGGCTATTGGCTGCAGCCCAGCTTCCTGCTCCTGGCAGATAATTGCTCCAAGGGCAACGTCTGATGCATCACACCAAATGAAGTATGGGAGCTCTGGATTCGGTACTGCTAGGGCAGGGGGTGAAATAAGAGAAGTTTTGAGCTGCTCAAAAGCTTGCTGCTGCAATGGTCCCCAACTGAATGATGAGTCCTTCCGCAAGAGATCGGTCAGAGGTGCTGCCACTGCTGCAAATCCCTTCACAAACCGCCGGTAGTAGTTAGCTAACCCCAAGAAAGCCTGCACCTCCTTCACTGTACTCGGCTGCTTCCACTCCTTCAGGACTGCTACCTTGTTGTTGTCTACTTCCAGCTTCCCATGTGAAATGACATGACCCAAGAAAGATAGCTTGGTCTTTGCAAACTCACACTTGGAACGCTTGGCATACAATCTGTGCTCACTCAGGCGTGCAAGGACCAGCTCAAGGTGCTTTAGATGCTCCTCACGAGTGCGACTGTAAACCAGCAAATCATCAATGAAAACCACCAGAAACTTGTCAATGAAATCACTGAAAATGCTCTGCATCATGCCTTGGAAATTGGCTGGAGCGTTGGTGAGACCAAAGGGCAACACTCGAAACTCATAGTGACCGTACCGTGTTCGGAATGCTGTTTTTGGGATGTCCTCACTCTGAATCCGCACCTGATGATACCCCGAACGCAGATCCAACTTTGAGAAGTACCGTGCCTCACCAACTTACTCAAACAACTCATCTATCCGTGGCAGTGGGTATCGGTTCTTCACTGTTATCTTGTTCAGCCCGCGGTAATCTACACACATCCGCAGAGAACCGTCCTTCTTCCGCACGAACAGCACCGGAGAAGCATACGGAGAAGAACTAGGCTGAATGAACTCCTTAGCTAACAGGTCCTCTAACTGCTTCTTCAGCTCCTTCAGCTCCACTGCACTCATCTTGTAGGTCGGTCTAACCGGTGGGGTAGATCCAGGAATCAACTCTATCCTTTGATCTGCAGCTCGCTTAGGAGGAAGTCCAGCCGGTAAGTCCTCGGGAAACACCCCTGAAAATTTTTCCAGCAGCTTCTCTACACCCCGTGTTAACTCCTCATCCTCATGTGATGCTGAAACCGTTGGTGTTACTGCGTCAGGTGATGTAGGCTGGACCTCTGTGATGAGACCTAGAAAAACTGCTTCCTCCCCCCGAATGGCCTTACCAAACTGCTTCGCACTAATCAGCTGCAAGGACATCCCTTCCTGCTGCTGCACCACTGGTAGGCGAACAAACCTCCCCCCAAACAGCACCTTCACCTCCCTGGTTCTCCAATCAACCTGAGGGTTCACTGCTGCCAACCAGTTCCTGCCCAAGATGATGTCATGACCGTCAAGCCAGATCTGTTGGAAAGGGATTTTTCCATGAAACTCCCCTATGTTGCAGTTGACCGGGTACACAGCTCCTCACTACACCATCCGCCATGCGCACCGTACTCTCCACTGTACTGCTTTGCACAGGTAACTTCAATTCATGCACCAGCCAAGAAGAAATGAAATTGGATGAAGCACCACTATCCAGCAACATCTTTACCTCCTTACCACGAATCTGCCCCCGAAGTACTATGGCTCCTTCCGACTCCTGCTGCAGCGGCGTTGAGGATGGAGTCAGCAAGGTGGGGCACTCCTCACCACCAGCAACTCGCCCCGAAGCTACTGGTGAGGCTTGTTTCCCGGCTGCCTTGGCTTGGTAGAGCAGTTGAGTGCTTTGTGGCCACGCTTCCCACACTTGAAACAATTTCCAGCAAAGCCCTTCCGCTTCTCCTTATTCTTGTCAACCGTATCCAGCTCCATCGGTGTCGGTCCTGCACCACCACGCTGCTCCCCATGGAAAGGCTGGAACATGTTCGGACTGAACCGCATCCCACGGTTAAAACGGTTGCGACGGTTACCGAAATGAATCTCATCGTATCGTTCAGCGACACGCGCCATCTCCTCAAGCGAACTACAGCCCTGCACCTCTAATTCCATCCTAACGTCATCCTTCAACCCGCGCTTAAACTTGTCCAGCGCCTCAGCCGTTGAAAGGTCTGAAATTTCGGTGTAGATGTCACGAAATTCAGCGATGTAATCTGCTACAGAAGTACGCTGCCGCAGATTTGCAAGTCGATCACGCGCCCTTGCCATCGCGTTGATAGGTTCGTATGACGCAACGAGAGCTTCCTTGAATTGCTGCCAGGTTTGGATAGCAGGTCGCACCGATTGCCACCATGCAACCGCAGAGCCTCGGAGTAGGGTTCCAGCAAACGGCGCCCACTCCTCACCAGCCACATGGCTCAAGCGTAGATATTCTTCCACTAGGAAGAGCCATCGTCGAACCACCGGTTGTCCTTTCCCTGGAACAAAGGTGTCCGGCATCGATGCTCTCACATGGGAAAGAGATCCCACTACGCTTCCCGGAGCTGTAGCTACGATTTGTTGTGCAGCTGCGTTCTGCAGGGCAGCCTGCACCTCCTTGGCTACGAGCTCTCGAACCGCGGCATCACGCTCTGAATCGGCCATGGTGCAAAAATCTCCCGGCAGCAACTCACGAGGAAAAAACAGGCTCTGATACCAAGTGGAACAAGCTCACGGCACTTGGGCTTGTTCAAGTTATTTCTGGCTGAGAATTCTTCCCAAGAGAATTTCCTTAGAAGCAAGGAAGAACAAACAGAAAGAGAAACAGCAACTACTCTCTAATTCCTACGAATGCATTTTTATATGTACAGTACATTTACAATTCAGACATGCGGCTCGGAATGTCGATTCGGGTGGCCAGCCCCAACATCGAGCCGCATTCCATATTTCTACTCAAGTTTGTACACCTCACTGCACCCACACACGTGTTACATTTCTATTCCTCCAAGTCTGGACTTTCGCCACCTGTCCCACGCGGAAGTCCCCCCAAGTCAGTCAAGGCACGAAACCTCAGTTTCGCCCTTCTCACGTGGGTCCCCCTCGTCCTGCTCACTTCCGTCCCTTTGCTGCCCACGTTCGCAGTTGCACGCTGCTGCTGCATGCTTTCGCCTCCCGTGCGCTTCACGCTGCCTCTAGTGCAGCCCCCACTTGTTACAGCATAGCGTCAAATTCAGCGAGAGGCACACAAACGTCGCACGAATGGCAGGAGCCATTCTATGTTGACATGTTGCATGGAAATGTGATGGATGCGAACTTCGAATCGGCCGTCAAGACGTGGTGATTATTTAACTATGGAGTCATAACGTAGACCAATCATCATCAGAAGCCTCAACGTAGGTGCAATGGCTTAGGACGCGTCACCTGAACGCCGATCCTGCGATCGATCGTCAATATCGATCTTCCACCGCATTGAAACTACGCGCATCGTAGTAAAAACTTCTAGATGCAAATTAAACCACGTGAAAATTAGATCCTACGTAGGATCGATCCTGCGATCGGCGTTGAGGTGACGCGTCCTCACTGAGAGTCTTTCTGTGAACAGTAGCAACAATGGCTCTACTACATTTGAAGGATTTGCAACACTAGTTTCCAGTACGCGTTATTAGGCTAGCCTGGTGGGAGAAAGAACGTACACTGAATGATTTCCATGGTGTAGGAGGAGTTGCACTAGGCCCAATTTTCATGGTGTTCAGCATCCGACGTGGAACGACGCACTTGACGGAAGCCAACGGATTTCCCAACAGGGGTCCATTCACTTGTCGCAAATCGACGTCGTGAATGTCGCGGATTGCAGGGTCGAGGGTGCGAACTTTGTACGTTCGCCAAATTTCTCAAGGTTTTGACGGACGTCAGGCAGATCAGCAGATGGACACCTTTGAGATCAGGCAACGGCTCTCCAGGCTTCCATCTTTGTAGGCTCGGTCGCAACGAATGGGATTCACGGACGTCGATTGTCAGGCCTGCATGTTAGCAGGCTTCGCACCATAGATCTGTGAAGCTGGTCGAGTGAAAGCGACTTTCCGCCGTTGAGTGAGCTTGATGTATCAGTAGTTGTAGATCGGGTTTGGACTAGACTTAGGAAAGAATTCAATTCTGGTATCTCGGACCTACTAGCCACGATACGACTTATAGGCTTCACTTTGTGCGGTTGTGAGGGCTCTGGAGACTGGTGATCGACAAGGGTAGAGCACAGACTGATTCCGTTAAGCTTCCGTTTCTCTGTTTCATAGCTTAGTCAATTCCTGCCACACGTCTCGTCGCCGGTATGGCGCAGGAGGTGGTCGAGGCTTGCGCTCAGCAGCAGTGGTCGCGCGCCGTTAAGCTGCTGACTGCGCAAATAACGGAGGCGGAAGAGGCCAGCAGGAGTCCAGCCGAAGTCGCGATGTTCCTCTGGTGCGTTTCAAACCTCTATTCATCTCAATTACCATCAATTTGGTTCTGTTTAGCGAGAATGTGGTTGAATTACAGTCTGTCAGAGATTTCTGCATTTTCAAGGGGTTATCTCAAATTACCACTTCACTCCAACGATCATGAACGAATCTTTTCATATGACCCACCCCCCCTACGTTTTCAATCTGATTTGTGCAGCAATCGCGCGTGGTGCTATCTGCACTTGGATCTCAACAAGCACGCGCTCAAGGACGCTATGAGGGCCACGCAGCTCGCTCCAAACCAGCCTCTCGCCTTCATGCGCCAAGGTGACCCGCACTTCCACCCCGCTCGCCGCTCCTCTGTTTCGAGGTCCCCTGTTCCCTGCCTTTCCGAGAAAAATGGCCGGCGTGCTGCCCCGTGACTGTCGCCTGCCTCATTGATCACTCATTGAACGCTGTTGTGAAAACGGATCGTGTGTACTCGCTGAATTGACCGAGTCTCTCTTTGTTTTGACTGGCATATCTTATTCTTTCCTCGTTTCTCCCGTGTTGGCGATGCAGGTGCGGCGTGGCTGGCGTTGGGCAAGAAGGACGAAGCCAAGGCCGCCTTCACCCAAGGCTACCAAGCCGCAACCACCACCGGCAGTAGCGCTGCCGCCACCACTCCCCTCCCCGCGTCCTCCTGCGTTGACCTTGAGTTCGCGCTGCGCCTGCACACGCTCTCCCTCGACCCCTCCTCCCCGCTATCCCCAACGCCCAAGCTCGCTTCTCCCTCTCAGCAGACTCCCTCTGCAAACGCGTCTCCTGCGTCTCCTTCCTCTGCGAATCCCCCTCGCACACCGTCTCCCTCGTCCTCACATCGCGCTCCTGCTGCCACTTCTGCTGCCCAGAATGGGTGTGTGATTGTAGAGACGGGCTCTGGGGATGCATCATCACGTAGAGCAAAAGAGAAGGGGGCCAATGGGGAGGTTGCAACTGTGGAGGCGCGGGGAGATGCTTCACCTAAGGAGCAGAAGAAAGAGGGGAAGAAGAAGGGGGGTCGAGAAGGAGAGAGAAGGGAAGGGAGTGGCGGAGGCGAGGACAGAGGGAAAGGGAGCAGTGGCGGAGGGAAGGGGTTGGGAGGAGCACGCGGCAGCCTGGCATTGGATTTGTTGATTTCCCTTGGGATCAACCAAGTAAGAAAAAAAGAAATTACATTGCGTTTTTTCGTTGACCTTTCCACATCCAGCCTCTTCTAAGCTGAACGCAGGAGCGCTGCATAGTAGAGCATATTGTGTGCGTTGTAAGTGCCTCGTCATTATCAGTTCACCTTACAGGTCGTTCCTGTTTCCCTTGGCAGGTCAATTCAGGCAAGCTTGACGATGCTGTCAAGACCTTCAATCAGGTACATCGCTATCAGCCTATCACAACACAACCAACCACGTTCCTTTGTCTGTCTCTTATTGGTTCGATCAATGTTTCCTCTGGACAGTGGCTGCTGCTTCTCCTGAACTGAACCCACCTTCCTTCTGTATTGCGTGCAGGTTCTGGAGACAGACGGGCGGGCGCTGGGTGCGCTGGTGGGGCGGGGCACAGCACGGGCTCTGCAGCGCAAGCTCAAAGAGGCCGTGGCTGATTTCACTGCTGTAAGTTTTACATGCTTGCTGTATAATTCGTCAGAAAACAGTGCGTTTGCATTCATTCCTCCAGCTAATGCATGTCTTTGCTGTCCTCTTATTTTATCTCAGGCGATTGAGATTGAGCCGCGGGCAGCAGAGGCGTGGAAGCGGCGAGCGCAGGCGAGGGCTGCTCTGGGGCAGATGGACGAGGTGAGAAGTGAATAGGGCAGTTGAACTGAGTGATTTATAACGAGCTAATGCCCCTCTTTGTTCGCCTACTCCCTCCCCGCTTCCCCCTCGCCGTTCTCTGTGTGACGTTCTGATATATGTGTGTGCTTCTTGCTAGGTGACTTTTGAGTCGACTCAAAAGTCAACTTGATATATGTATGTGGTCCTTGCTGCACGTTCAGGTGATTGAGGATTTCACTCGAGCGTTCACCATCGACCCCTCGTCCACGGATGTGCTAGCTGAGAGGGGTGAGTGTCTTGCTGTGCTCTTGCTGTGCGGAAAGGATGGGGTGGTCCTTGGTGTGTGAATGAGATGAGGCTCTTTCAGGTGCAGCTTGCCTCCATTGCACGTGGAGCTGCCTTGAGTCCTGGCTGCTTGCCTCTTGGCAATTTTCATTTTTGTATGAGAGCATGTTATCGTCTCAAGTGTATTGAGGAGGTACACCGAAGCACTGAAAGTGCACCTTTTCAATGCCCACACTGCTGTGTTGCTGCTGTGGTATCTGTGTGTGCTGCTGCAATGTCTGCGTGCTGCTGTGCTGTCTGTGTGTGTGCGTGCAGGAGTGGTGTATGTGAAGCAGCGCAACTACCGTGCAGCCATTTCGGATCTAAAGACCTCTCTGGATTCCAATCCGAAAGATGCCAACGCGTATAACTTCCTGGTACTGCGTCTCTTCTCCCAGTAACCACCACTGACTGATTGTACGGCCACCATGGCTGCCACGCGCTGACGACGCCCTGTGATGGGATCGGAGGGCTGTAAATCTCATCATGGCAGGCTGCATATCATCCGAGCTGCTTGCCTCCCACATTCTTCTTCGCCCTCCACTTCGACGCTGAATGTCCGTCAGTCCTGCTTTCCCACCTCGGTTACCCGCTTGTGTAACGCGTTCCACCTCCTCATTCCTCTCCTATTCCTCGCGTGCCTCCATGCCACCCCTCCCCTTCTCTGTCATCTCTCCTGCAGGGCTTGGCGCTGACGGGCACAGGGGCGTGCATGGAGGGCGTTGCGGCGTACAAGAAGGCTGTGGCCCTGCGCGCAGATTTCAAGGATGCGTGGGTTAACATGGGGCAGGCTTATAAGGAGTACGGCGATGCAGAAAACGCAGCCAAGTGCTACCAGAAGGCATTGGACGCGGACTCAAGGTGAGTGTTTTGCTTTCCAAGCGAAGGGATCGTGCAAATGTGGATATTGCCAGTATCTGCCCCCGCCTCTCCATTACCCCGCCTTGGTTATATCCCACGTGCTCCCCTCGTCTTACAGCGTCTCCTGTCCAACCCCCCCTCCATTCTTCCCCTCGCCCCTCGCGGCACTGCAGCTTTGCCACGGTGTACCGCTACTGGGCGCTGCTCAAGCACGGCGTGGGCGACCACAGGTGAGCGCCACACATATTGCTGTGACTTACAAGAATTTTCAAAGGTCACGTTGCCCCTCTCGGCACTGCAGCTTTGCGACGGTGTACCGCTACTGGGCGCTGCTCAAGCATGGCGTGGGCGACCACAGGTGAGTCAGCAACCACATGCCTTTGCATCCCCTTTCCCCGCTTCCCTCCCCTCGTTTTCCCACTTCCCCACCTTCCCCCCTTTCCCTCCCTCCCCCCTTTCCCCTCCGCGCCCCCCTTCCCCCCACCCCTATGCATGTATGAATAAGTGCTACAGTTATGCAGAGCAACAAATCTTACCCACCTCTTCCTTCGCTCACTCTCTCGCCACTCACTTCTCGCATCCCGCCTCTTCACCCTACCTGACACATACATCCACCTCCCTTTCGTGCGTCTTGTGCTACTGCTTCCCCAACCCCTTCCCTCCCCCCACTGCTGCACCCCCTCCCCTCCATCCGTGGCACCAGGGGCGCGTCACAGATGGCGCAAAAAGGGCTGAGGCTGGAGAGGAGCAACATCGAGCTTTGAGGCGCCTAAAAAATCATCCATTTCCCTTCCGTGCGTCTCGTGCTGCTGTTTCTCCCCCCCCCCCCCCCCCCTACGCTCTGTGGCACCACACCAGAGGCGCGTCCCAGATGGCGCAAAAGGGGCTGAGGTTGGAGAGGAGCAACATCGAGCTCATGTACTCGTATGCCTCCTCCGAGCATGCCGTGGGGGAATACGCCACTGCCGTGAGTGGGTCACTCGTGAGGGGAATGAGTTGGCCACTGCCGTGAGTGTGTCGTGTGGGGGGAGATACAAAGGGTGGTGATCGTGTCATGTGGTGTGGGGGAACACTCAAAGTGACGAGGAAATGCATCGCATGCTGGAGCATACATACGCCTTGTCTTGTGATACGGGCTTGCTGCTGCACGATGGCTTTTGAGACGACTCACGAGTCACCTTCCCCCTGCCCCTGTCCCTTTCCCCTTCCCTGATCCCCTCCCCCACCAGGTGCGCACGTATGATGAGATGCTGGGCGTGGAGACAGACTCGGAGTCGAAGCTGCTGCAGTTCCTCGGCTTCTACCAGCGCGAGATTGCTCTCTACACTCTCTCCAAGCACTCCCACCCGCTCGCCCACTTCAGCCTTGACAGAGACCTCGACCCCTTCTTCAAGGTCAGAGCACACTCACCCATAGGACTCCTTTATATATGTGTTATGAGAGTTGGCATTGCACTTTACACGCTCTCCAAGCACTTTCAGCCGCTCTCCCACTTCAGCCTCGACAGGGACCTTGAACCCTTCTTCAAGGTGAGAGCACAACCACCTATTGTACTCCTCCCTATCTGTGTTTTGGGACTTGGCAAAGATTGCCCTTTACACGCTCTCCAAGCACTCGCAGCCGCTCGCCCACTTCAGCCTCGACAGGGACCTTGACCCCTTCTTCAAGGTCAGGCCACGCTTGCTCATTGCGTGTCCATCTATGCTGCAATCTTATTCTACATACCAGTTTTTGTGTTTTGCATCTGTTGCACAATATATGGACGAACATGGTCTGTGTTATCCTGTCCGTACAACCCTCCCTTCAACTGCCTCTTCTAATCCACAGGAAGCGTGGTGCAAGAAGCTTCCCCCCACGCTGCTCTTCCCAGGCTACACCACCCAGCCAGTCCCACCCTCCATCGCCGTGCGTCTGGGCAAGAAAGCCTCCTCTGCTGCAGGGGGCAGCAGCAGCGGCGGTGGCAGCAGCAGCGGCAGTGGCGGCGGTGGTGGCGGTGGGGGCGGCAAGAGCGGTGGGAATCCCGAGGTGCAGAGGCTGCTGGAACTAGCTGATCGGATAGGCCGGCTCACGCAGTACTCGTGCCCTGGCTTCCATGCCAACGTCCGCCAGGTGAGACTCTAGTGCATGTACCTGTGACTCTCACACAGTGGGAATCCTGAGGTGCATAGGCTGCTGGAGTTGATCGGAGAGGCCGGCTCACGCAGTACTCATGCCCTGGCTTCCACGCCAACGTCCGCCGGGTGGGATTTAGAAGTGCCTCTTGAACTATTCGGTGAAATAAATCTGCCTCCACACAAAGATATCACACAGTGTTATCCTGTATATCCTGCGATGCCTGTCTGTTGGAGAAACCTTTACATAGACACGCACATCTGCTCCCCGCCATCCCGCCCACTCTCCTCTCCTCCCGTTCCTTCATGCCTGCCTCTTGGACCTTTGCGATGCCCCGTCCACCCGTGATGCATGTTGTTTCCTGCCAGTATCGCATGGCGGGCCTTGCTGCCATAGAAATCGCCCAGGCTGTAGCAGCCGCTTGGGAACAGCGCGAGGAGGAGGCTGCTGCTGCTACAGCTGCTGCCGCTGCTGCTACAGCTGCTGGTAGCGCATCTCCTGCTTCCGCTGCAGCAGCAGCCGTTCTTGCTGAGCTGGAGGATGGAGGCACTGACATGTCGTCCTTCTCCAAGTCATCATCTGCTGACGTGTCATTGTCTCCTGTGCCTTCCTCTGATGACGTGTCATCACTTCATTTGGACGATTCTCTGATGGATGATGGGGGTAGCAGCAGTGGAAGCGAGGCAGTGGCAGGCGGAAGCAGAAGTCAGGAGGAGAGGAGGAAGGGAGGGAAAAGTGGTGGGGGAAAAGGAGGGAAGAGCAAGGGCGGAAAGGGAGGAGGGCGGGGCAAAGGAGGAGGTGGAAGCGGAGGGAAAGGTGTCTCTGCAAGCGCAGCAGGGGTTGGGGCAGGCTCAGGCGCAGGGCAAGGGAAGGGGGGTGTGACAACAAAGGGAGTGCAGATAAAGGGGTGGAGGGATGCATACTCCATTGCTGTGCGCTGGAGGCAGCTGTCAGAGCCGTGTGACCCGGCTGTATGGGTGGACATGCTCACGTGAGTAGTGTGATGATGTGAGGCATGCTGCATGCATGGTTTTTTGGTCGACTCAGAAAGCAGTGTCAGAGCTGTGTGAGTGACCGGGCTGTATGGGTGGACATGCTCACGTGATTAGTTAGTGCATGCAAGACATGTCGCATGGATGATGCCTCGTTTGCTGGAGTTAAGGACAAGTCCAGGCCGTGAGTTTCTCATGGACATTGCGGCAGTATCATATCATGGTCGTGTGTGCTGGGTGTGACTCTATGGGATGCGTAGCAGAGTGTGTTGTGATTGTATCAGTGACCTCTCCCGTCACATACAACCTCCCGTCGCTACCCTTGTGTCGCAGGGAGAAAGAGTTTCGAGCGGGCTTTGGGTCTCACACACCCATACTTATTGGGCAGACTAAGGTGGTGCGCTACCATGCTAACTTCGACAGGTGCGCTCCCTCTCAACTCATACCCTCCTTGCTACCCTACCGTCCCCCACCTCACCTCTCAGTGCTGTTATTTGTGTGTGCACCCCCCTGCCATTCGTGTCTACATCATTTGGTCTCTCAACTCCTCCTTCATTTTCTGCCTTCGTCTCCGCTGCGCGCATGGCAATGCCATAGTGAAGTAGTTTTGGAGGCGCCTAAGGACTGTGTGCCTGCCTGTGTGTGCCTGTGTGCGGGGTGCTCGCAGGGCGTTTGCAATAATGAAGGAGGAGATGCTGCGGTCGGGTGCGGTGCACAACGCTGCTAACAACCGAGTGGCCGTCGATGCACCCGCCCAGAAAGCAGCTGTCAGTTCACCCACTCTCTTAGCCCCCCTGCGCTCAAATTATACTCCTCCACTCCAAACCCATGCTTTCCATGCCGCCCCGTCTGAATCCGTTCTTATCCGTTGGCTCTCTCACCCACCCATGCTAATCCTTGTTGCAGCCTCAGGATAAACCTTTCCTTTCTCCCTCTCGTCACTCTCCTATCCCAGTTCCCCACTCACCCACCCTCTCTCCGAACCTCTCTCCGGCACCCGCCCCTTGGCTCACAGGTGGCCTCAGCCAAGGCGTGTGAGGATCTGTATCGGGTGGTGGGGGAGGATTTCTGGATCGTCACGCCCTGCTACAGCATGGTGGACCCGGGGTGAGTGGCTGAGCATGGATGAGCTTGAGTTACTGCTTTTGAGTGGTTGTAGTGAGTCTGTCTCGCCTTACTGAGAACCCACTGTTTTCTCAATCCACTTCCTGCTTCCACTGCTCTGACCACCTTTGTCCGTTCCTCTTTCTGCCTGCATGTGTCACTTGTGTCATTTTCCACCCTTCCAGGAAGGTTCTCGAGGGCACACGACTCACCCTTGTGAAGACGTAAGCAGCCCAGCCGATTGCTCTCTGTCCTCATTCTCCTCTCAGTCCACTTTGCTCTCGCCCTTTGCTCTTTCAACCCCCTTAGCTCTTTCAACCCCCTTAGCTCTCTCAACCCCCTTAGCTCTCTCAACCCCCTTAGCTCTCTCAACCCCCTTAGCTCTCTCAACCCCCTTAGCTCTCTCAACCCCCTTAGCTCTCTCAACCCCCTTAGCTCTCTCAACCCCCTTAGCTCTCTCAACCCCCTTAGCTCTCTCAACCCCCTTAGCTCTCTCAACCCCCTTAGCTCTTTCAACCCCCTTAGCTCTCTCAACCCCCTTAGCTCTCTCAACCCCCTTAGCTCTCTCAGTCCCTTCTGCTATCTCGGTTCCATTGTCCTCTTCTCGTTTCCCATTCATCACCCTAGCATACTCACACTGTCCTCCTCAACCTGCTTTCCTTTCATGTCCTTCCTTAATAACTCTGCCTTCCGTTTTTCCCCTCACGCACCTCCCCGTTCCCGTGCTGTTTCTCTCACGCGCCCTCTCTCTGCATGCGCCCGCAGCCCCACGGGGTTTGACTTTGCCATCCGCACGCCCGGCACGCCCTCACGCTGGGCGGACTACGACGCAGAGATGGCAGCTGCATGGGAGGTGCGTGGGGTAGAATGGGGTTGGGTGGGGTGGGGTGGGATGGGGTGGGATGGGGTGGAGTGGGGTGGGGTGGGGTGGGATGGGGTGGGATGGGGTAGAGTGGGGTGGGGTGGGGTGGGGTGGGGTGGGTTGTTGGTGAGGGAGGGCCAATGGTGTGAATGCTGCGGACGTGGCAGGAAGTGTGCTTCTGACAGCAAGCAGCGTGACGCACGGATGCATGTGCCAGTGTGCGGCCTCTGTGATTCCCCTCCTGATCGTACCCCGCTGAAGGTATTGTCACACTCTGCAGTTGTTTCATGTCAGAGTCATGCTGGCAGCACGGCTGCTGAAAGGGGAGCAGTGAGAAGAAAGCTTCTCCAGTTCTAGCCCTGCCCTCCTCCCTCCTGTGCTCTCTCTGTCCTCTCCTCCCCCTTTCCCACCCTGGCCAACCCAGGACTTGTGCGCAGTGGTGGGGGAGAAGATGCAGGGGGGGGCATGGAGGCCGCCTCTTGGTCCTTCTATGGCACGATTCCAGCGAGCCGTGCTGCGCCTCGCCTACTACTGGTAACCACGCATCCTAAACTCCATACCTTACCATGAAAGCCTGAACTCCAAGCACCCCTTCAACTCTTTGCTTGTCTTGATGCCGTTGTCTCGTCATTATAGGCCGCATATATTTACACCATCTATCAGTGGCTGGCCTGTGTCGTATTTGATTTGTTCATTGAAGCTGCAGGCTGCAGCGGGCTGCCTCTGTAGCTGTAAGCCACCATTCCATCATTGCACCGCTCTGCACCACTCCCTCTGCTGCAGGTACAACTTCATGCCGTTGGCACGGGGAACGGCCATGGTGGGGTATGTGGTGACACTGGCTCTCTGCATAACTCTTGCACCATTCTGCACCACTGCACCACTCCCTCTGCTGCAGGTACAACTTCATGCCACTGGCACGTGGAACGGCCATGGTGGGGTATGTGGTGACACTGGCTCTCTTCATAACTCTTGCACCATTCTGCACCACTGCACCACTCCCTCTGCTGCAGGTACAACTTCATGCCACTGGCACGTGGAACAGCCATGGTGGGGTATGTGGTGACACTGGCTCTCTTCATAACTCTTGCACCATTCTGCACCACTGCACCACTCCCTCTGCTGCAGGTACAACTTCATGCCACTGGCACGTGGAACGGCCATGGTGGGGTATGTGGTGACACTGGCTCTCTTCATAACTCTTGCACCATTCTGCACCACTGCACCACTCCCTCTGCTGCAGGTACAACTTCATGCCACTGGCACGTGGAACAGCCATGGTGGGGTATGTGGTGACACTGGCTCTCTGCATAACTCTTGCACCATTCTGCACCACTGCACCACTCCCTCTGCTGCAGGTACAACTTCATGCCACTGGCACGTGGAACGGCCATGGTGGGGTATGTGGTGACACTGGCTCTCTGCATAACTCTTGCACCATTCTGCACCACTGCACCACTCCCTCTGCTGCAGGTACAACTTCATGCCACTGGCACGTGGAACAGCCATGGTGGGGTATGTGGTGACACTGGCTCTCTTCATAACTCTTGCACCATTCTGCACCACTGCACCACTCCCTCTGCTGCAGGTACAACTTCATGCCACTGGCACGTGGAACAGCCATGGTGGGGTATGTGGTGACACTGGCTCTCTTCATAACTCTTGCACCATTCTGCACCACTGCACCACTCCCTCTGCTGCAGGTACAACTTCATGCCACTGGCACGTGGAACAGCCATGGTGGGGTATGTGGTGACACTGGCTCTCTGCATAACTCTTGCACCATTCTGCACCACTGCACCACTCCCTCTGCTGCAGGTACAACTTCATGCCACTGGCACGTGGAACAGCCATGGTGGGGTATGTGGTGACACTGGCTCTCTGCATAACTCTTGCACCATTCTGCACCACTGCACCACTCCCTCTGCTGCAGGTACAACTTCATGCCACTGGCACGTGGAACAGCCATGGTGGGGTATGTGGTGACACTGGCTCTCTGCATAACTCTTGCACCATTCTGCACCACTGCACCACTCCCTCTGCTGCAGGTACAACTTCATGCCACTGGCACGTGGAACAGCCATGGTGGGGTATGTGGTGACACTGGCTCTCTGCATAACTCTTGCACCATTCTGCACCACTGCACCACTCCCTCTGCTGCAGGTACAACTTCATGCCACTGGCACGTGGAACGGCCAATGGTGGGGTATGTGGTGACACTGGCTCTCTGCATAACTCTTGCACCATTCTGCACCACTGCACCACTCCCTCTGCTGCAGGTACAACTTCATGCCACTGGCACGTGGAACAGCCATGGTGGGGTATGTGGTGACACTGGCTCTCTGCATAACTCTTGCACCATTCTGCACCACTGCACCACTCCCTCTGCTGCAGGTACAACTTCATGCCGTTGGCACGTGGAACAGCCATGGTGGGGTATGTGGTGACACTGGCTCTCTGCATAACTCTTGCACCATTCTGCACCACTGCACCACTCCCTCTGCTGCAGGTACAACTTCATGCCACTGGCACGTGGAACAGCCATGGTGGGGTATGTGGTGACACTGGCTCTCTGCATAACTCTTGCACCATTCTGCACCACTGCACCACTCCCTCTGCTGCAGGTACAACTTCATGCCACTGGCACGTGGAACAGCCATGGTGGGGTATGTGGTGACACTGGCTCTCTGCATAACTCTTGCACCATTCTGCACCACTGCACCACTCCCTCTGCTGCAGGTACAACTTCATGCCACTGGCACGTGGAACAGCCATGGTGGGGTATGTGGTGACACTGGCTCTCTTCATAACTCTTGCACCATTCTGCACCACTCCCTCTGCTGCAGGTACAACTTCATGCCGTTGGCACGTGGAACAGCCATGGTGGGGTATGTGGTGACACTGGCTCTCTGCATAACTCTTGCACCATTCTGCACCACTGCACCACTCCCTCTGCTGCAGGTACAACTTCATGCCACTGGCACGTGGAACAGCCATGGTGGGGTATGTGGTGACACTGGCTCTCTGCATAACTCTTGCACCATTCTGCACCACTGCACCACTCCCTCTGCTGCAGGTACAACTTCATGCCGTTGGCACGTGGAACAGCCATGGTGGGGTATGTGGTGACACTGGCTCTCTGCATAACTCTTGCACCATTCTGCACCACTGCACCACTCCCTCTGCTGCAGGTACAACTTCATGCCACTGGCACGTGGAACAGCCATGGTGGGGTATGTGGTGACACTGGCTCTCTGCATAACTCTTGCACCATTCTGCACCACTGCACCACTCCCTCTGCTGCAGGTACAACTTCATGCCACTGGCACGTGGAACAGCCATGGTGGGGTATGTGGTGACACTGGCTCTCTGCATAACTCTTGCACCATTCTGCACCACTGCACCACTCCCTCTGCTGCAGGTACAACTTCATGCCACTGGCACGTGGAACAGCCATGGTGGGGTATGTGGTGACACTGGCTCTCTTCATAACTCTTGCACCATTCTGCACCACTCCCTCTGCTGCAGGTACAACTTCATGCCGTTGGCACGTGGAACAGCCATGGTGGGGTATGTGGTGACACTGGCTCTCTGCATAACTCTTGCACCATTCTGCACCACTGCACCACTCCCTCTGCTGCAGGTACAACTTCATGCCACTGGCACGTGGAACAGCCATGGTGGGGTATGTGGTGACACTGGCTCTCTGCATAACTCTTGCACCATTCTGCACCACTGCACCACTCCCTCTGCTGCAGGTACAACTTCATGCCACTGGCACGTGGAACAGCCATGGTGGGGTATGTGGTGACACTGGCTCTCTGCATAACTCTTGCACCATTCTGCACCACTCCCTCTGCTGCAGGTACAACTTCATGCCACTGGCACGTGGAACAGCCATGGTGGGGTATGTGGTGACACTGGCTCTCTGCATAACTCTTGCACCATTCTGCACCACTGCACCACTCCCTCTGCTGCAGGTACAACTTCATGCCACTGGCACGTGGAACAGCCATGGTGGGGTATGTGGTGACACTGGCTCTCTGCATAACTCTTGCACCATTCTGCACCACTGCACCACTCCCTCTGCTGCAGGTACAACTTCATGCCACTGGCACGTGGAACAGCCATGGTGGGGTATGTGGTGACACTGGCTCTCTGCATAACTCTTGCACCATTCTGCACCACTGCACCACTCCCTCTGCTGCAGGTACAACTTCATGCCGTTGGCACGTGGAACAGCCATGGTGGGGTATGTGGTGACACTGGCTCTCTGCATAACTCTTGCACCATTCTGCACCACTGCACCACTCCCTCTGCTGCAGGTACAACTTCATGCCGTTGGCACGTGGAACAGCCATGGTGGGGTATGTGGTGACACTGGCTCTCTGCATAACTCTTGCACCATTCTGCACCACTGCACCACTCCCTCTGCTGCAGGTACAACTTCATGCCACTGGCACGTGGAACAGCCATGGTGGGGTATGTGGTGACACTGGCTCTCTGCATAACTCTTGCACCATTCTGCACCACTGCACCACTCCCTCTGCTGCAGGTACAAGTTCATGCCACTGGCACGTGGAACAGCCATGGTGGGGTATGTGGTGACACTGGCTCTCTGCATAACTCTTGCACCATTCTGCACCACTGCACCACTCCCTCTGCTTACAACTTCATGCCACTGGCACGTGGAACAGCCATGGTGGGGTATGTGGTGACACTGGCTCTCTGCATAACTCTTGCACCATTCTGCACCACTGCACCACTCCCTCTGCTGCAGGTACAACTTCATGCCACTGGCACGTGGAACAGCCATGGTGGGGTATGTGGTGACACTGGCTCTCTGCATAACTCTTGCACCATTCTGCACCACTGCACCACTCCCTCTGCTGCAGGTACAACTTCATGCCACTGGCACGTGGAACAGCCATGGTGGGGTATGTGGTGACACTGGCTCTCTGCATAACTCTTGCACCATTCTGCACCACTGCACCACTCCCTCTGCTGCAGGTACAACTTCATGCCACTGGCACGTGGAACAGCCATGGTGGGGTATGTGGTGACACTGGCTCACTCTTGCACCATTCTGCACCACTGCACCACTCCCTCTGCTGCAGGTACAACTTCATGCCACTGGCATGTGGAACAGCCATGGTGGGGTATGTGGTGACACTGGCTCTCTGCATAACTCTTGCACCATTCTGCACCACTGCACCACTCCCTCTGCTGCAGGTACAACTTCATGCCACTGGCACGTGGAACAGCCATGGTGGGGTATGTGGTGACACTGGCTCTCTGCATAACTCTTGCACCATTCTGCACCACTGCACCACTCCCTCTGCTGCAGGTACAACTTCATGCCACTGGCACGTGGAACAGCCATGGTGGGGTATGTGGTGACACTGGCTCTCTGCATAACTCTTGCACCATTCTGCACCACTGCACCACTCCCTCTGCTGCAGGTACAACTTCATGCCACTGGCACGTGGAACAGCCATGGTGGGGTATGTGGTGACACTGGCTCTCTGCATAACTCTTGCACCATTCTGCACCACTGCACCACTCCCTCTGCTGCAGGTACAACTTCATGCCACTGGCACGTGGAACAGCCATGGTGGGGTATGTGGTGACACTGGCTCTCTGCATAACTCTTGCACCATTCTGCACCACTGCACCACTCCCTCTGCTGCAGGTACAACTTCATGCCACTGGCACGTGGAACAGCCATGGTGGGGTATGTGGTGACACTGGCTCTCTGCATAACTCTTGCACCATTCTGCACCACTGCACCACTCCCTCTGCTGCAGGTACAACTTCATGCCACTGGCACGTGGAACAGCCATGGTGGGGTATGTGGTGACACTGGCTCTCTGCATAACTCTTGCACCATTCTGCACCACTGCACCACTCCCTCTGCTGCAGGTACAACTTCATGCCGTTGGCACGTGGAACAGCCATGGTGGGGTATGTGGTGACACTGGCGCTCTTCCTCGCGGCCCAACTTCAGGTCACCGCCACCATCCCGGCCAAACTGCAGGTGTGTAAGCTGTGCGTGTGCTGAGACGTTACTCAATTTAAGAATCGCCTCACCTAGCTGCAGGTCACCGCCACCATTCCGCGCAAACTGCAGGTTTGTGGGAATCGATGCGGTTTCACGTCTGTGACTTTCTTATCTGGTTCTGTGGAGCGTTGGGGTTATGGCGATGTGCAGGCCTGTTGCATGTGTGTGGGGGCAGGCATGCACTCCAGCACATGTGTGGAAGGGAGCAAGAGACACATGTGTGGCATTTCTGCATGTGTTGTCACCGCTTCTGCCTGCCCGCGCTCATGTCCACCGTTTTATCCTTCTTGTAAACTCGCCTGTCCTCACGAATCCTTACCCCGCCCCACCCATCTCCTTCCCCCCCTTCCCTGCTCTCCCCAAACGTCGGCAGGTGGACTGGGAGGCGATTCTCTCATCGCGCTTTGAAACCTTTGCCTCGGCAGTCATGCCATGGCTCTCCCCCTCAGTCACGCCCCTCACCGACCCCACGCTGCCCTCCTTCCCCTTGCTCACCTCCACCCTGCCCACCGTCGCGTCTGCTGTTGCCGCCCTCTCCTCGCCCCCAACATCCTCCCGTGCTCCCTCCGCTGCTCGCTCCTAGGCGTGTAAAGAGCAAGACGAAGCTGCCCCACCATTGGGTCGCAGGTACCGGCAGCAGTGATCAGGCTAGGCTAGTGAGATGCTTGTGTTACTATGCCCCCCCGCTTTGCTTCAGTGGGGTTTTCATTAGATTCCGCCTGGAGCTCCCTTTGTGTGGTGGCCAGTTGCTAGTTCACCCCTGCTAGTCTAGTTCTTTAGGCCCAGCTTGCATGTGGTTATGTTTGCAATGCAAGCCTTTGAGCAAATGCTGCGCTGCAGTGCATATGTGCGATCATGTTAGGCCAAATACATTCCATTGACACGTTTTGGTATGGCAACAGCAAGAGCCCTGCACCTGAGGAGTTTCCAACAGCAAGATGAGCTGCATAAAACCTGACTACAAGGCACTCCCCTAGCTAGTTCCAGTTGTTAGGCAGTTAGTAGGCGGCACAAACATGTCAGCTTCAAGTGGGAACATAACCATACGGTGTAGGCAGCTCCACTGATCCCACGCCGCGTTTGCTATTTCCTCTTCCGCCTCGCCTCCCTCCCCCCCCTGTTGTCCCCGTCCGCCCGCGCACGAGCTGTGCTTCCGGCAACTGCTCCTCTCCGCGGCCACCGCTAGGGCGTTTCGCCGCCTTGCCTCCCCCTTGTGCCCCCCCCGCTGCTGCGCCTGTCCTGCGCTGTCCCTCCCTGCTTGGCTTCTGCATTGCGTTGTACTGCTGACTCACAACCCCCTTCGGGACCCGCCTCTTCAAACTTTTCTTCGCCCCTTTCTGACGTTGCCCTCTTTTTCGTTGCACCGTAGCTGGCCTCCTCTGGGAGTGACGCAGCGGCTGCGTCCGACTGGTCAGAATCTTTCCCGTGCGCACGCCTCCCCCTCGAGCAGCCTGCCTCGCTCCGCTCCTTGCGCCCCTCCCATGCCTCTTCTCCCCCTTGTGCCCTTTCCCTTTGGCGCGACCTACAGCGTGGTTGCGAGGCGGCGATGCTTCCGACGGGGTAGCTCCTATTCTTCCTGCCACTCCCCTCGCCCCTCTCGCCCCTTTTCTTTCCGCTGCCGTGGCCGCCGTTTCCCTCCCCTTCCCCCTCCCCCGGCGCTTCCCAGCGCCACTTTGATTTCTCCCGCCATTCACCACCAGCAACCGGTGCGCCGCTGCCATTTTCCCCCCTTGGCGGACTTCCCCCAGCTGTCTCATTTCTTCCCGGACTACAACCCCGCCTTCCCCCCGTGTTGCCCCTCCTTGCTCCCCCACAGCCCTTCCCCCATTTCCTGCGTCCGCCCGCCAATCAGGAGAGAGCACGAGGGCGCTCGAGCTCCCCTCTGCGTGAAGCGCGCCGAGCTGGCGCGGAAGGAGGCGGGTGAGGAGCGGGAGAAGCAGCAGCGCGGCAGAGTTCATCCCCGCGACTCGCGCAGATCGGCGGGTGTATGGACGGTTCTACACTGCAGCTCGCGCAGAGGCTGTATATGGAGGTAGTGGAAACCTCCGCTAGAGATAGTCAGTACCTTTGTGATTACTTATCTCAAGTTTACTAGGCGTGATTACTTATCTCAAGTTTACCAGGCGCTAGTAGGATTGCTGATTACACTTGCACGCGATGCTGGAGTGGCGTGCCTAGTAGCTGTGTTAGCCGATTAATAAGATCGTATTGCTGAAACGCGTTTCTGCCGCGCCGCACATTGTATGCTCTGGTCCATTCTCGCGTTGCGGTTCTTAGGAGCGCTGCCTCACACTAGCGAATGGAGCTAACATCGTATCACGTGGGACTGAAGCGAGGGTGGATATGGCGGTAAACAACTGAAGGAGGGCACGGTGCAGCGGGGTTCTGGCGTTGTCAGTGGAGTGGCCATGGCAGAAAGAGACTTGGCTACTCGGCTCGCCACGGGACGGGACGCAACTCAGCACACCCTTGCTGACTTGTCAGCGGATCACGACTGGCGCGCTTCGGATGCGACTATCAAGTGACGGCACAGCCCTGCTCAGCAGCAGCAGCAGTGGAGCTCCTCGTTCGAGCGAGGTGTAAAATGTTGCGCTGGAGATGTGGTGGAAAATAGCAAGGAATGAGAAACGTGGGATGGGAGTGCGTGGGATGGGAGTGACGAGTTGCGTTGTGAAAGGGGCGCATTTCTGATTGGTTTGCCGCGCTTCGATGTTCCACCGTGTGCGATTTCCCGAATCCCGGCTCGCACGCGGCTCTGCTTGCCCCTGCGATGGCGACAGCAATTGGTGCACGATTGGGGGCGGGGCAAAGTAAATGGAACGTGCGACAGTTTCTTGACCTACAAAGATGCTCCACGTAGAAGCCTTGAGGCTTGGAGTTCACATCCGCGTTACACACAACCATCACATATACTCAAGACAAAAAGCAGGAAAATGAAAACGTGTATACAGAGGTAAAATTCGCCGCCCGTGGGGCTCGAACCCACGACCACAAGGTTAAGAGCCTTGCGCTCTACCAACTGAGCTAGGGCGGCTGAGAGTTCTTCAAACGTTTATATTTACAACATATTAACAAGTCTGTTTTGACGGGTCCACAGGAGGATTCGTGTTGTGATCGTAAATGTCGCAGCTTGCGAGTGTCCGCTGGTCACTCCGTCTCGTCTTGTCGCCCGTCGCGACACCTCGTCTGTCGCCGCCACACCGCCGCCATTGCCGGTACCATTCCTTACGGCAAGGCCTTCACGGCCAATCCACAGCGCATGGTGCAGCAAATCGGCTGAATGCCGTCGCCCACAGCGACGCCAGCATAAGCAACGGCTGCAGCAGCAGCAGCGTCAGCAGCGGCAGTCGCGGCAGCGGCGGCGGCGCCAGCAGCAGCAGCATGGCGCTAGAATTCGAGGTGCGCGTTCGTCAACTGAACTGAGTGCAAACCTTCCGCCTCTTGTCCCGTTCCCCCCCGCCCCATTCTTCCCCTGTTGGTTCTTCTCGCAACCACTGTTGTCACGCACACGCGAAACTGTTGCGTTTTTGGGCTCCTTTCCCGCGTGCGCCCCTCCCTTCCCCCGCGCCTCGCTTCCCCCCGCCCTCCTTCCCCCCGCCCTCCTTTCCCCCGCCCCGCCCCTCCCTTCTCCCGCCGGCGGCGGCAGGTACTGGCGACCCACGGGCGCGCGCGAGCGGCGCGAATGACGCTGCCGCACCACAGCTGCCTCACGCCCATGTTCATGCCCGTGGGCACGCAAGGTGGGTCCTTGACGGGTGTTGAGAGTGGTTGACAGGTTTTGAGAGGGGTTGAAGGGGGTTTAGATGGGCTGAGAGGGGCTTAGACAGCATGTAGCGAGAATGCGGCTGCAGCTGCCTCACGCCCATGTTCATGCCCGTGGGCACGCAAGGTGGGTTCCCTACTATGGTTGAGAGTGCTGAGAGTGGTTGAGATTGTGAGGGGTTAAAGGGGGTTTAGACGGACCAGCAGCTGCGTGAGCTGGGTCGCAGGTGGTGCTTTTGCAGCCCCGTCACCATCTCGCCAACCAGTTTGGCTCTGACCATGTGACTTATGACACTCAACCCACACCTTCCCTTCCCTCCCATGTCCTCGCCCCGTTCCGACTGCCACCACAACAGGGACCACCAAGGGGTTGACAGCGCAGCAGCTGGGCGAGCTGGGCTGCCAGGTGGTGCTGGGGAGGAAAACACCTACCACCTCGCCAACCCCTTTCCGTCCTTCCCTGTCCGCACCCTTATCCTCCCCTTCCTTTTCCTTCCTTCACGGGACCGAGGCAGGTACAATCAAGGGCCTAACAGCGCAGCAGCTGGGAGAGCTGGGCTGCCACGTGGTGCTGGGAAACACAGACCACCTTGCCAACCGCTTCCCTTCCTTCCCTGTCCGCACCCTTCTTCTCTCCTTCCCCTGTCCCCTACCCTCGCTGGACCCAAGCAGGCACAATCAAAGGCCTGACAGCGCAACAATTAGGCGAGCTGGGCTGCCAGGTGGTGCTGGGGAACACATACCACCTCGCCAACCGCCCCGGCGCTGACGTCATCGCTGAGGCGGGCGGGCTGCATGCGTTCATGGACTGGCCGCGTGGACTGCTCACCGACTCGGGGGGGTTCCAGATGGTGAGAGGGGGCTTTAAGATGGTGGGGGGTTGGGGCTTTAAGATGGTGGGGGGTTGGGGCTTTAAGATGGCGCGGGCGGGCTGCATGCGTTCATGGACTGGCCCCATGGCCTGCTCACTGACTCGGGGGGGTTCCAGATGGTGAGAGGGGGGTGGGGCTTTAAGGTGGTGAGAGGATGGGGCTTTAAGATGGTGAGGGGTTGGGGCTTTAAGATGGCGCGGGCGGGCTACGTGCGTTCATGGACTGGCCGCGCGGACTGCTCACTGACTCGGGGGGGTTTCAAATGGTGAGAGAGTGGGCTTTAAGATGGCACGGGCGGGTCCTAGATTGTGCGTGCCTCGCTTGCAGAAGGTGGGAGGGGTAGAATGTAGACACGGGGAAGGGAGTATAGGCATGGGGAATGCACACACTGCTCAAACGGCAGCCAGGTACCTCTGTTGCAGCGCTGTTGCATGCCATACCATGCCATGCCCGGCCCACACCGGGTGCTCTTGCTGCTGCTTGCCGCCGCCACCACACTGCGTGCTTTGCCGCACACCGGCCTCCACCGCCCTGCACTCCTCTCCACCGCTGTGCACCGTGGCAGGTGTCGTTGCTGCACCTGGCGGACATCACAGAGCAGGGGGTGGAGTTCCAGTCGCCAGTGGACGGCACGCGCATGCTGCTCACGCCTGAGGAGTCCATTGCTATTCAGGTGAATCCAACAGGAACCCCCACCGCACTCTACCGCACTCCACCGCACTCCACTGCACTCCAATGCACTCCACTGCACTCCACCGCACTCCACCACTCTGCACCAGCACAGCGCCTGGCGGACATCACAGAGCAGGGTGTGGAGTTCCAGTCCAGTCGCCTGTGGACGGCACTCACATGCTGCTCACACCAGAAGAGTCCGTCGCCATTCAGGTGCCTCCCACACGAACCCCCACGGGCCACCGCACTCCACCACACTCCACTGCAATTCACTGCTCTCCACTGCACGGGCGTTGGGCGTTGGGCTTGGGCGTTTACGCGACCTGAAACAGTGTAAAGTGCCAACAGAAGAGTCCATCGCCATCCAGGTGCCTGTGGGATGGAACTGTGGGAGGGAACTGTGGGAGGGAACTGTGGGAGGGAACTGTGGGAGGGAACTGTGAGAGGGAACTGTGGAGGGAACTGTGGGAGGGAACTGTGGGAGGGAACTGTGGGAGGGAACTGTGGGAGGGAACTGTGGGAGGGAACTGTGGGAGGGAACTGTGGGATGGAACTGTGGGAGGGAACTGAGGGAGGGAACTGTGGGAGGGAACTGAGGGAGGGAACTGTGGGATGGAACTGAGGGAGGGAACTGTGGGAGGGAACTGTGGGATGGAACTGAGGGAGGGAACTGTGGGAGGGAACTGTGGGATGGAACTGAGGGAGGGAACTGTGGGAGGGAACTGTGGGATGGAACTGAGGGAGGGAACTGTGGGAGGGAACTGTGGGAGGGAACTGTGGGAGGGAACTGAGGGAGGGAACTGTGGGATGGAACTGAGGGAGGGAACTGTGGGAGGGAACTGTGGGATGGAACTGAGGGAGGGAACTGAGGGAGGGAACTGTGGGATGGAACTGAGGGAGGGAACTGTGGGAGGGAACTGTGGGAGGGAACTGTGGGAGGGAACTGTGGGAGGGAACTGTGGGAGGGAACTGAGGGAGGGAACTGTGGGAGGGAACTGTGGGAGGGAACTGAGGGAGGGAACTGTGGGAGGGGACTAGAATTGGGAACTACAGGTGATCCGCTTGGTCTCTTTTAATGAACGACCATGTGTGTTTTACTTTGAATTACCTCCATCACCCACCATTCATTTCACCAGATCACACCCCTTAAAAGCCCTCCGCCATGCGTTTTCTCTTGTGTGACTAACTCATGGGCTGTATCCTGGAAGGAGCGCAGAACAAGATCGGTGCTGACATCATCATGGCTCTGGATGACGTGGTCAGCAGCCTGGTGTCAGGCCCGCGCATCGAGGAGGCGACACATCGCACGCTGAGGTGGATGGACCGATGCATGCAGGGTGAGGTGGAGTGAGGGGTGCAGGCAGGGTGGGGGGCATGGGCCGAGGTGGGTGGAGTCAGGGGTGGGTGCAGGCAGGGGGGGGCCAGGGTGGGTGGAGTGAGGGGTGCAGGCAGGGTGAGGTGGACGTAGATGTGCATCATGTGTGAAACTAAATGTAGTGACTATGCGGGTACCAATTGAGAAAAGCCACTGGTTGTAAGGCTCGTGGGGTACGAGGGTCCAAGTAAGCATTCACATCACAAGCCATCACATGACACTGGGATTCCTCCCAGTGTCACTGAGAGCAGGCAGTGAGGTTCAGCTCGTCATTTCTCCTCTGCTTGCTCTCCACAGCGCCCCACCCGCTCCTCTTTCTCCCAGCCTCCCAGCCTCCCAGCGACCTCCCAGCCTTCCAGTCTCCTGCATGCTGCTGTGCCTCCCCTCCCTCCCCTCTCTCCCCGCAGCCCACAGCCGGCCGCACGATCAGAACCTCTTTGGGATTGTGCAGGGAGGGCTGGACCCTAAGCTCAGGTGAAAACTCAGGTGGTAGCTGCTCAGGTGGAAACAGCGTTATAATTTAGAATAGCAGGTTCAGGTGAGTGAATTCTTGTGAAGGCAAACCGAAGGGCGTCTGACAGTGTGGCATAGGCAGTAGTGTTGTCAGCACAGCACATCTCCGTCATCTTCTCTCCTCTTTCCTCTCTCGCTTCGCTTTCTCCACCAGCAATATGAGATTCACTTTTGGGGGAGTTTCGGAATCGACTCAACCACACTTCCATCTCCTGCACGCCCTTCTCCTGCTCCCTGCTGCTACCATCTTCCTCTCCCATTGCCTGCCGCCTGTTCTCTCCGCTCTCTCTTCCCCCCTTGATGCATGCAGGGACATCTGTCTGAAGGGGCTCATTGACAGAGACCTACCCGGGTACGTCAGTGTGGATCGTGCGGCCTACCCCCGCACGATCAGAGCTGAGTCCGGATTGGTTCACAGCAGTGTCACCACCGCTAATGCCGTTCTGTTTGGGCAATGATTTTGTATTGGCTCGTGGCTTCAGCCTGCGTTGCTCTGTATGATCCAGAATTGCAGCTCTGTCCCATTGCCTCTCACAGCGTCTGCTTCATCCGCACCACCTTCCCATCCCACCCATTATACTTCACTCCATTGAACATTTCCAGGTACGCTATTGGTGGGTTGGCGGGCGGCGAGGACAAGGAGTCGTTTTGGCGTGTAGTGGCGCAGTGCACGGCAGCCCTGCCGGCCAACAAGCCAAGATACGTCATGGTATGGTACGGCATGGCATGGGATGGCATGGCATGGAATGGCATGGCATGTTGTGTATCAGACATACCTGTGACCCTCCCCCTTTCCCGTCCAAACACCACAGAAATTGGGGTACCCATTGGACATAGTGGTTTGCTCAGCCCTGGGAGCGGACATGTACGACTGTTTCTCCAATGTGTACCTCAAACATGCTTGTGTGCATGTGCGCATGCGTGCGTGTGTGCATGCGTGTGGCTGTGCAGGGAGTGGGGTACCCATTGGACATAGTGGTGTGCTCCGCCCTGGGGGCAGACATGTACGACTGTGTCTACCCCACGCGCACGGCACGCTTCGGCACGGCTCTGATACCAGAGGGCGTGTTGAAGCTCAAGCATGCTGCAATGGCGAATGACCACCGCCCCATCGACCCCTCCTGCTCCTGCCTGGTGGGTCGCACTGCCCCTCTGCTGCCTGCCTGGTGCGTCTCCCCGCCGCCCTCCTTGCTCCTGGTGCGTCTGTGTCAGTGTTTCCTTGCCAACCACCACTCCATCGACGCCTCCTGCTCCTGCCTGGTGAGTTGCACTGCTGCCCTGCCTGCTGGGTTTGCCTTGCTGCCTGCTGCTCTCCGCCTGTGAATCTGCACTCTTCGCCTCTCATCCCCAACACCACATCCCTCTGCACCCCTCCAGGCGTGCCGCAGCTTCTCACGCGCCTATCTGCACTCACTGGTCACCAAGGACCCTGTTGGCTGCCACCTGCTCAGTCAAACCGTCTCAGGTTTCACCTTCCACCGCATCCCACTCCTGAATGCACCCCCCACACCCCACTGCACCACACTACATCTCTCTGCACCCTCCAGGCGTGCCGCAGCTTCTCACGCGCCTACCTGCACTCGCTGGTGACCAAGGACCCTGTTGGCTGCCACCTGCTCACCATCCATAACATCGCTTACATGATGCAGGTGAGGGGGGTGGGGTGGGGTATGGGTGGGTGGGATGAGGCACAAATCCCACCATCTGCTCACCATCCACAACATCGCCTACATGATGCAGGTGGGGGGGTTGGAGGGGAGTTCGGTGGGGGGGGGGGGGGGGGGGAGGGAAGGGGGGCTATGGGTGGAGATGGGGAGAGAGCGAGAGAGGTGGCATGAGATGAGATGTGATTGGGATGGCACAGGCGGTGGGTAGGAGATGTTGGGGATGTGAGACGAGGTGAGAGTGGAAGCATATGTTGAGAGCGGAAGTTGGCTGGGGGAGTAGTGGGTTTATGAACGAGTGCGAGTGAGAGTGAAACTGGAATGTGGGGGAGGTGTAGGGCATGGCAGTTGCGGGGGGCACTGTCTGTTGTAATTGTCTAACAGACAGTGCATGCCTCTCAGCCGGCCCATTACTCCCACATGTCCACCCTGCTCACATGTGAAATGGGCTTGTCTCTGCGCCCATCCCATGCCCCCCTCTCCTCCCTGGCAATGCAGCTCACAAGGTCAATGCACAACGCCATTCTTAATAACACCTTCCCCAGGTATGCCTCCCTCCCTTTCTCCCTTCATGTGCCTCCCTCCCTTCATTTGCCTCCCTTCCTTCCTCGCCATTTACATCCCTCTTAATCCCACATAATCCCTCGTAGCCCCTCATATCTCTCTCTCATAATCGAAGAATCACATTGCATCCCTGTGTGTCCAATACTCATGCACTTGCCTCCTCCCTGCTCCCCTCCTCCCTGCTCTCCTCCTCCCTGCTTCCCTCCTCCCTGTTCCTCTGCTCCTCTTCTCCCCTGCTCCCTGCTCCCTGCAGCTTTGTGGTTGATTTTCTCCAAAAACAGGTGTGCCCTTTCGCGCTTTCTCCCCGTCCCTTTTCCATCTTCCCACCCTCCGCTTTTTCAGCTTCCCCCCACAGATCCATACTCCACACACACACACACACGCACATACATCCCCAACCCCAACCCCCAACCCCAACATCCCCCAATCCCCAACCCCAATCCTCCCATCCCCCAATCCCCACATCCCCCAATCCCTACATCCCCCAATCCCCACATCCCCCAATCCCCACATCCCCCAATCTCTACATCCCCCAATCCCCACATCCCCCAATCCCTACATCCCCCAATCCCCACATCCCCCAATCCGCGCATCCCCAATCCGCCCAGTCCCCATCCCAGATTCCAAATCCCAATCCCCAATCCAACCATCCCCATCTCTCCATCCTCGTCTCCTCATGTGCTTGGTCCAACAGTTCCCCCGGGGCGACGTGCCGCCGTGGGTGCAGGCAGCCATGCAGACTGCTGCCACCCTACATCCTTACTTCTCCCCTTCCCTCCATCCCCCTGTCCCATTTCCCACATCCCCCATCCCCATGTCCAACAGTTCCCGCGGGGCGACGTGCCGCAGTGGGTGCAGGCGGCCATGCAGGCTGCTGCCATTGACATTTCCCCAGCTCTGCACCCGGCCCGCGTGTTGTGACGCGCCTCAAACGTCCTTCCCAGGCGCCTGCCTGATCCGTTTCCCTAGGGAAACGTGCTGCAGTGGGTGCAGTCAGCCATGCAGACTGCTGCCATCAACATTTCCCTAGCTCTGCACCCGGCTCGCGCACCTTCAAATCTCTTACAACCTTGTTTTCTTCCTTCATGGCTGCACATATTGAGCACTGCACTTCAAGGTTTGTTGCCACTGCTTTGCCTAAGTAGGAAGAACTGAGTTATAAGAGTTTTCATTAATCCATCGTAGCAAATGACGCTTCCAACATACCGTAATCCCGCACACAAAGTACCCACCGGAAAGAGAGCGGAAGAGGGTCTTTGATTGTGGTATACATACGTAGGGAGAGGAGGACCCGAATGCGTAAAGTTTAAGTAATATTTTCAAAGTGTGCACGCTGGACACGCGCAACCCTCGTTTCACTTTTTTAATCACACTCATAGCAGGAAGCCAGAAAATCTTCACTAATGATGTTTATTTGGTAACTACTACTTGTTGGCATCACGTCTACAAATGGTTTTGCTCTTGAATAGTAGTATTTTGTGTTAGGGTGAACAAATTATAGCCTTGGAGTCACGTATTATACAGGGCTCTTGCTAGGATTTGGGCCTGTCTGACATACCTAAGTACAAAAACCGTTCCGTCTGACGTTCAGACGGGCATATTTTTTTGGTCTGATTTTTTGGACGAATGTTAAAGCTTAGTCTGATTCTTCATACAATTCAATTTGCACAGTCTGATTTAGCTAACACACTTGTCTAACATAATCATGATAATTTTTAAACACACAGTGTTTTTTTTAATTACGTATTTCGAAAGCGCAGCTAACTGTAACGCGAATTTGGCATCGTCGAAGCGCGCTAAACGCCCTTCTCCAACTACAAATCGTGGGTTGGAGTTCATTTCCCTCCACCCACGTCTCTCATTTTTCAAACGGCTCATGCAACTCTCCCACCCCCCGCCCCAACACCGATGGACACCAAGGCCGCCGCTTACACAGGAGGACACAAGTGGTACAATATGGGTTAGCGCACACCTATTAGGATTGATAGCTTGACGAATGATTGATAGGAAGTATCAGGACATGTACTAGCACTTATATTGTCTAGCTCGAGGTGCATGTTGTAATTTGCCAGTTGAAATGAGAACGATGCCAAATGCTAAGTATTAGAAAGCAAGCTTTCTAAATACGCTTGTTTTGTTAATGAACGCGCCCCTGGCGCGGTGCTGACAGATCGCTAGCTGACAGACAGCTGTGTGGCTATTGAGGGGCACGCACATGACAATGAGGGTCTGCGACGCGAGGGATCAGGGTGGGTGGAGGTGGAGGGACGCGAAGGGAAGGGGGGGCTGGGCTGCGAGACATTACGAGGGGCATGAAAGCGGGCTAGGCTGGGAGCGAGACCTGGAGAGACCTCAGGTTGGGAAAAGGGGGAGAAGGGTTGGACAGGACTAGGCCTGGAAGAGGAGCGAGGGCATAGAAGGGGGGGCTGAGCTGGTAGAGTAGCGAGAGATCGGGGGGGAAAGGGAGGGTTGGGGGGAGGGGGATCGGTATCAGACGAAAAACAACTCTTTCTTTGAAATTTCAGACTAAGTAAAGAGCTTGCTCTGAAATATCAGATGAACTAAAATCAGTCATCTTACGGATCAGACGAAATAAAAAGCATCGTCTTAGAGATCAGATGAAAGCGAAAATCTACGTCTGAAAATCAGACCATCAGACCAATTTGGTCTGATAACGAGAGCCCTGGTATTATACAATACATTTCACATCGTAAACCGGTAGTCGCCCGGTAGCGACCTCGGTAGCGCTACCGGGCTCCGAGCTCCCAGCACGCCAGACCACGCGTGCTGCACTGGACCGCCCGGAACCGAGCTCGCCAGCCTGTCCCGGGCGGGAAGCAGGCTGACGCAGCTCCGGGTCTCCGAGCTGGCTCGGGGACCGCCTGACGCAGCACGCTCCCGGAGTGACGTGGCCAGGGACCACCGGGCCAGCCTCACCCGCGGAGGAATAACACGCACGCGGGGGAACGGAAAAAAGGCACCCCGCGAGCCACCTTGCTGGAACACGCGGAGGAATAACAATGTCTCTTGTTCTCCGTGCCTCCGTGTCTCCGTGTTGTTCCGTTGACACTAATAACCCTGAAAAGAAAACACGCACATGCGGGGGAACGGAAAAATGGCACCCCGCGAGCCACACCCCTTGCTGCGATCGCTCTTGTTCTCACCGCTTTGTGTCTCCGTGTTGTTCCGTTGAAATTTAAAAACCCCGAAAACAAAATAACACGCACACACATTTTAACCAGCAAAACACACACGGCAAAAAAAAGATAATGCACCCAAGTTTTTATTTCACCTGCGATTTTCGCCTGCACACAAAGGCTGACGCAGCTGAGAAATCGCGGATATCTCCGCGGGGCACGAAACATTAGGCACACAAAGTCTGGAGCAGTTCATAGTGGTTTAAGTTTTTATTATGGTCGTAACCGCATACAGTACACACCACAAGCATGGCAAAAGCCAAGGTCTAGAGGACCTACACAAACTGTGTTACTTGCCCACCGAATGGTAGAATGAAGGCCAAGGCCTTAACCGTGTTAAGATACTAAGTACAGCTAGGCTTAGGAGCCATGGCTTTAGTGGCTTAGTAGTTGAAGTTTAGGGTGGAAGGGGAATGTCGAGAGAGTTGCAAGGAGAAAAGGATGGTTTCACTATAGGCTCAAGGGTACAAATATGAAAGAAGAGAAGAAAGGTGCACCACCTAACAAGAAAGATAACTACACTAAGTCTACATTGCAGGCAGTTATAAAGTGATGTATACAATTACATTCTGACAAACCGGGATGTACACCTAAAGCCAAGCTGTTCCTAAGGAGGATGAAATGTATCGTTCAAAAGCCATGAGTCTCGAAAATCTGGATGCAGCTGAGGGGAGCCCTCTGAACTAAAGACGAGGAGGCGTAACGACGATGCTGCCTTGACCCAGTTGATGGTGGCACGTTTCTTCTTGTCAGACCACTAAGAACGGCGTGAGAAGTAGATTTTGCAGGCTGTCAGGAACAGAGCCAGTATTCGGTGCAGAGTCTCCAGGCGAGAGTAGGAGGTCTGTTCTTAGTGAAAGGCGCAGCGATCTCTCCAAAGAATGGTGGTAGCCGCACCAACGAGTAGACACCAAGGGGCCGTGAGGCTCGACGGGTGAGGAAGTGGGAAAAACACCGCAACAGCCTCAACCGAAGTGTTGAGGTGTCGCGAGGCTACCCGTTGGATTGACTCGACCACCGAGGGTGCATGTCCGCAGTCAAAAAACATGTGTGGTAGGTCCTCGACAGGAGCAGTTCATAGTGGGCCTTATGCCTTGGTACCCGATCAGTCACCACACGAATAATCGTATGAGCTCCATTCATACACCACCTTCATCATGTCACTTCCATTTAGGTGGACTGGGAGGCTTTACTCGTGTCTCGCTTTGAAGACTTCAATGCCTCCATTTCCCCATGGCTCTTTGCCTCTACTCAAAGCTCACCCTGGGGTCTTGCCCCTATTGAAGGCGTCTTATCCACCACGCACCATGTGATTGCAGCGTTGAACTACGATAAAAAGCATAAAAGGTGACTAAATGCTGGTTGCCTTATTTCACAACATTTTCTATAACTGATGTTGCGACATTAGGGTAGTGAAATTATGAGAAGCACAGAAACTTATATTTAGCCACCTTGAACAATAATGGTTTAGTTGCATGATTGTTAATGGTTTAGTCCCTTATTTGCTGCATGCTTGCTTTGAATCAACATGCGAACAGCAACATTTGCGTATCGAAGCACGTACTATGTAGTTGTAGCGGAAAACGGCTTTTCCCTCCAGACGGTTGACGTGACGGCCAACTCAAACTCGAATCCGCGGTCTGACACTTGCACAAGATCCGAGCCAATAGTGTTGCTGCCTGTCAGCAAACCTCACCTCACCATCACCACCCCATCTAACGCCGTGGATGTCAGGAGCACATCCCCCGCGAAAACTCGGTAACACATCTCCACAGCGGAATAAGGGGTCTTTCCAATGCTGGCGAAAACTTCGTCCACTCGCCAGCGTTTCGGACGTTCTTCGCGGCTCCCCGCCGTTCAGCGCACCTCCTCCGCCAACTTCCCAAAGCTTCCCGCCTTGTCAGCGCAAATTTCCCGCAACCAGACGCTGCAGCGGCGTCCCGCGCCTTGGGGTTACACCAGGGAAGGGGTGCCTGGCGACTTGGCTCTTCGCTTCCCTTCCCTCCCATCCCTTTCTTTCGGCTCCTGAATTTGCCTCACCTCATCTCAATACATTTCACTTCCGAAAACGGTAGTCGCTCGGTACCGGCCTCGGTAGCGCTACCGGGCTCCGAGCCCCCTGCACGCGAGGGCCCGCGTGCTGCACTCGACCGCCCGGAACCGAGCTCGCCAGCCTGTCCGGGGCGGGAAGCAGGCTGACGCAGCTCCGGCCCTTCGAGCTGGCTCGGGGACCGCATGACACAACACTCTCCCCGCGTGACGGGGACTGGGACCACCGGGCTCGCGAGCCTGCGAGGCCCGGCCCGTGCCTGCCGAGGCCCGGTTGGCCTCGCCAGGAGCGCCCCAAGGGACACGCGCGCGAATGACCCGTTAGTGCGGGGCAACCGGAAATAGGCACCCCGCGAGACACACCCACTGCCGGAATCTCCCTTCATGCATTTTGTGCTTCCGGTTTCCCGATGCTGTTTCCTTGAATTGAAAAACAACGCATGACACCCTCACGCGGGAGAAAAACACTTGGGATGTGCACACGGCTGCAGCCCGCGAGAGAGTCGCACCCACCATAACATTAAAAACTCGCGTTCTTACGTGACCTTTCCCTTGTGTTTTTTCGAATACAACGAGTATTAAATCTACAACAACGAGTTGTTAAACAAAGTGTACGTAAGAGGATGCGCGATGTTACAGTGGACGCGTGGCACCCGTCCGATGCACCCCTGGGCCGACGGGCGTTGGGATGCTCCGAGCGAGGAACGGGGCAGGAGGGCCGGAGGGGGTATAGGAGGCCCTCCGAGTCCCATTTTTGTGTTTTGTTTTGCGTTTCGATTCAGCCTTTCCTCATCCCTCTCGGTCAGCTCTCTGCGCAGACCTTAATCTACGTCTCTGCTCTCTCCGCTTTTGTAAGGTATGCGTTCACGCTTGTGTGTTTTGTTTTGAGTTTCGATGCGCACGGCTGGATTATTGCACGCGGGTAGTCGGCCGCGGAATCTCTAGCAAGTACTTCCGACGTGCCTCGTTCATGCATCTGCCTCATCCGATTCAGCTGCGTGTCCTCATTAACTCTCATTAACTCTCGTTACGGAATTCGCGCTTGCTTTTCGCGCTTGCTTTTCAGTACTGGTTTCTCGCGTTCGAAACCGCGTGCGGTTTTCCCCCATCCATGTACGTGCGCCTCATTCGCTGGGTTTATATTCCAGCGTTTTCATTTCCGCGTGTGCCGTTGTGAGTCGGTTAAACCCGTGGTACTGGCTTTTCCGCGGAGCTTGTTTCCGCGGGTGACTATCCTGATGGATTTTTCGCGTTCTCGCGTCGGTTACCCTTTTTGCGCGTGCAGGATGCTTCGCGAACGCCGGAATCTCGTGGATCCATGGAAGCTCTGAAGGGTCACGCCGTTGTTTTGGTGGCCGGTGGCGCATCTGTTAGTCTCGCGGGCGAGAACAAGGACATCTTGCTCAACGAGGACGCTGATTTTTCCGCGCCGTGCCTTGATTTCGCTTGCCTGTAAGTGCAATCCGATGTTTTTTCCGCGCCATTTTTTCGCGTTATCGCGCTTTCTGACACTCTTTTGTTCCATCCATCGTGGTTTCAACAGCCATGTGCTTGGCAGGCATCCTCCGCCCCTGGAACACAGTCCTCTCGTGTATACGCACGACGTCCTTGCACCGCTCCTAAAGAAGGACAGTATCAACGACGACCTGCTCTGCAAATCCCTGCTCGTGTTTCCGTTGTGGAGCAGGTGGGTGGATCGCGGGTAGTTTCTTTTTTATGCACGCCCGTCGTGGTTTTTTTCGCTCATTGTTCTTGATTCTGTCGCGCGTGCAGTCTGGACGATGGTTCTTGTCATTGCAGCATCCTGCTCGTCATCCGCCCCGACGACCTCGTTTCGCCTGACGAGGAAAATTGCGGAACGCGGGTTCTTCACATCGAGTCAGTTCCCGACGAGGATAAACATTCAAAGCTGGCGGACGACGTGGTCGGGTGAGTTTCGTTCGTTTTAAAAGTTGCTTCATTGCGGGGCTGTTCACATTTCGTGTTGCGTTTTCCCGCAGGTGGTTCGCGAGGGTGGTTGCATCGGGGAACTTGGAGCCGGATCTCAAGAAGAAAGTTCGGCAGCGGGCGCTGGTGCTCAGGCGAGAGTGGATGGTACGCTCTTGCTGCGTGTTTCCGCGTGTCCCCCTGTGATCCTGCTCTTCGCGTCTGAAAGATGTTTTTTGTCTGTGTTTCCGCAGGACCTCACCCACGTTACCGATCCTAACGCCAAGTCCGGCATGATCGTCGTCTACGGCTTTCAACGCGTGCTGCAAGATTATGATTTTGCGTCGCGGAACAGTTCGGATGTCGTCCGTGCCCCGAAGACGAAGTCCCTGAAGTCTCTGAGGGACAGGATCGTCAAGCACGCGTGTGATCTTGCCGTCGACATCGTTCTAGTGGAGCCCGCGTTGCACAAAACGGCTGGCGCTCGCTCAACGGTGCTTCACGCGGCCGCGGTGGACAGCGCTGCCGGTACGGTCGCGGACCCTGGAAAGGGAAACCCACCCGCGAGTAAGACACCCGATGGTGACAACGCGGAAAGGGTATCGGAGGCTGTGGGTGATTCATCCGCGGGAAACCAGAACAGGAAGGTGGATGACGCGGGAAACGAGAAGGGGCCTGCCGCGCCAACCGCGGAGAAGAACACCGCAGCTGACGACGTGGACAAGGCCAGTCCACCCCGCGTAACCGAGAATCGGTTGGAGGTTGCTAGTGGCAGAGGTGGGAAATGGCCGAAAAGGAGCGGCGGCCGCTCCGCCGAACAGCTCTCCAAGTTGCCGGCGCTCACGCTTGCGCACGAGGTGGTGCGTCTCGAGGCCAAAGTCCGTCGGCTGAAGGAGTTGGCCAATGCGCAGGAAAGGCAATTGGCACACCAGCGGGATACGATGTCGGAGTTGATGGGCCGCGCGGAGGAGAGCCAAGAGGGGTTTGAACGGGCATTGACGACCATGAACCGCCTCGTGGCCCGCGTCGACGATGCGGATAAGCGAGGTCGCGAGGATGTTGCAAACGCGGTCCAGGAAATGCGCGTGGAGAGGGCGAACGCGACTTCTCAAAGGGAGACGGCGGCGCTCACATTTGCACGCCTTGAGGCCGCGGTGGTGGAGTTGAAGTCCACGATTTTTTCCGCGCTCAACAGTGCCGCAGAGCAGACTCGCGCGGAGGTCTGGCAGAAGCTCGTCGGCTTTGAAAACGCCACTGCGAACGCGGCTGAGCGTGGTGCGGGCGCGGGGGCTATGATCTTGAGGACAGTGATGGGGTCCTTCGCGGGTAATTTGGGGCCGACTACATGCCCCGAGCAGCCCGCGGGTCGGATTCCCACACTCCCCGCGGCTCCAGCGGGTGTCACGAGCCTCCCGCTCATCCTATCAGGGGGTGGTGAGTCCGCGCGTCAGGAGAAGCGTCCTGTACCTCAAGCTGCCGAAGGCGAGGCTACTACGGGCCGCGTGAAGAAGTTGAAGGCCGCCGGAAAAGATTCATCTACCGCGGCTGCTGCAGTGAAGGACGGTGGAGTCGCGGCTGCGAGGCTTGCCATTGCGGGGAGCAAGAACGAGGGCGCGGTAGTCATTTCTGACGACGAGGATGCGGAGGCGTTGGAATCGCGGAAAAGGTTTCTTGCGGCCCGGGCTGCGGTGAAGGGTGCTGGACGTGGGGGTGCAATGGCCAAGGACCCGAAGGACCAGCTTTGTATTGGGACCGGTGCTGTGGAGGGGGGGCATAAGTGTCAGATTTATATGACATAGCTACTGTAGGCTATAGTGGGGTAGCACATATGGGGTACAGTTTTCTAGGGTTTGCTTCTTGTACCCAACTTTCACTTAGTCATTTCATTCCTCGTTTCTTCTCATGGTATCGAGCAGGTTCCCTAATGGGAACGATTCCTAGGGCCCACCACCACGAAAATTTTTTTTCCTGCCCGGAGCGCGTTTTGCGCCGGCCCGAGTCGCGCCGCCCTTTCGGCCCGTCGCGCCCGTCGCGCCCGTCGCGCCCGCCGCGCCCATCGCCACCTACCTCCGCGGCCCCGCCACCTACCTCCGCGGCCCCGCCACCTACCTGTGCGGCCCCGCCACCTACCTGTGTGGCCCCGCCACCTACCTTCGCGGCCCCGCCACCTCACTGTGCGGCCCCGCCACCTACCTCCGCGGCCCCGCCACCTACCTGTGCGGCCCCGCCACCTACCTTCGCAGCCCCGCCACCTCACTGTGCGGCCCCGCCACCTACCTCCGCGGCCCCGCCACCTACCTGTGCGGCCCCGCCACCTACCTTCGCGGCCCCGCCACCTCACTGTGCACCCCCGCCACCTACCTCCGCGGCCCCGCCACCTACCTGTGCGGCCCCGCCACCTACCTTCGCGGCCCCGCCACCTACCTTCGCGGCCCCGCCACCTACCTCCGCGGCCCCGCCACTTACCTTTGCGGCCCCGCCGCCTCCTCCCAGCGGCCCCGGACGCCGCCCTCTCAGCGGCCCCGCCGAGCCGCCCAGCAGCCAAGCCGCCCAGCCGCCGAGCCGCCCAGCAGCCGAGCCGCCCAGCAGCCGAGCCGCCCAGCAGCCGAGCCGCCGAGCCGCCCAGCCGCCGAGCCGCCCTGTCCGCAGCCGAGCCGCCCAGCAGCCGAGCCGCCCCGCCGCCGAGCCGCCCAGCCGCCGAGCCGCCGAGCCGCCCTGCAGCCGAGCCGCCCGAACCGCCCTGTCCGGTAAGAGCAGCGCCTCTCTCACAGCACTGCCCTCGCCCTACTGTTTGCACTGCTAGTCTACTGCTGTCATGGCTACCCCTAGTGTCCTCGCTTTTGACGCTGAGGGTCGGGCCATTGACTTTGACGTCTGGATAGATGACCTGCAGCTTTTCTTACAGTGCGACAGAGCAGACGGCCTCTCCCTCTTTGACCTCACTTCTGGTGCCTCTCCTGCCCCCGCTGCTGATGCTGACGCCACCGTTCGCTCACAGTGGGCCACGCGCGATGCTGCTGCACGTCTTGCTGTGCGTCGCCACCTCCCTACCTCTGAGCGTGCGCACTTTAGCCAGTACAAGAGTGCTCAGACCTTGTACGACGCTGTAGTTGCACGCTACTCCTCCCCTGCCACTGCTGCACTGAGCCGCCTCATGCTACCGTACCTCTTCCCTGACCTTGCTGCCTTTCCCACAGTCGCTGACCTCATTACGCACCTCCGCTCTAGTGACACTCGCTACCGCGCTGCGCTTCCTGCTGAGTTCTGCGCCAAGAACCCCCCCCCCATGTACATCACCCTCTACTACATAGTCACCCGTCTCCCTGACTCCCTTCGCGTAGTCAGGGACCACTTCCTCTCGGTTTGTCCCACCACTCTCACCGTTGACCTCCTCGAGAAGGCCCTCCTAGCAGCAGAAAAGAGCATAGTCGCTGTAGGAGCCTCTCGTGGTGACCCTCGCACCCCCATCTTTGAGGGGTGTTCCCCCTCCCCTCTTTTGCCCTCTGTTGCCTCTGCTGCTGCGGCCGACCTCGCTGGTTTGGAGTCGGTTGGGGCAGCGTCTACCCCTAGCGGGAGACGCCGCCCTGGCAGGGGCAAGGGGGGCAGGGGCGCTGGAGGAGCTAGCGGGGGCGGTGGAGGCCGCGGTGGAGGTAGTGGAGGAGGTGGGGGTGGCGGTGGGAGTGGTGGCGGGGGTGGAGGTGTAGGTGGCGGCAGTGGAGGCGCAGGAGGCAGCGGCGGTGGCGGAGGGAGCGGAGGTGGCGGCGGTGGAGGAGGAGGCGGCGGAGGAGGTGGAGCTGGTCGGGGTGGCGCTGCGCAGAGGGTCAGCTCCGGTGGTGGTCAGCGCCAGCAGCAGCAGCAGCAGCAGCAGCAGCAGCAGCAGCAGCGCACTCGTGACGTCCCCTCCCCTCAGCAGCTCCGTGAGTGGTACACTGCACGCCAGAGGGGTGGGGGTGCTGGTCCGTGCACCTACGTCCTGCGCACCGGCGACCGCGCGGGTGAGCAGTGCGGGGGTGCGCACTCCACCCAGCGCTGCTTTGGCCGCCTCACGGACGCTTGGCGTCACCAGTTCCCTGAGGCCACTGAGATCCCCCGCTGGGGTGAGCTGTCTAGGGCGGGTGTAGCTGTCTTTGACCTTGACTCTGATGCTATTCTTGCTGCCGTGTATACTGTGACTATTAGTGATGAGGGTGACTGTTACCGGTGTTTTCCGCCCGACCCGGGCATTGAGACTGCTGCTCTAGGTACTGGTGAGGCTGCTGCTCTAGGTGCTAGCGAGGCTGCTGCTCTAGGTGCGTCTGCTCCCTCAGGTGCTGGTGAGTCTGCTCTCTCAGGTTCTGCGTCGGCTTCGGCCTCCCACACCTTCACACTTGACTCGGGGGCTTCTCGCTCCTTCTTTCGAGACCGCACCACACTCACGCCGCTTGGCCGGCCAGTTGCGGTCTCACTGGCAGACCCCTCTGGGGGTCCTGTCCTTGCTCACTTCTCCACTGTCCTCCCGTGTCCGGCGGCCCCCTCTGGCACCCTGTCTGGTCTCTACCTCCCCTCGTTCTCTACGAACTTGGTGAGTGGTGCTGACCTACAGGATGCGGGGGTTCACCAGTTCACTCCTGCGAGTCAGCGGGTGACCCACTGCACGGACGCTCGGACAGGCCGCCACCTGGCCACGTTTACACGTCGGCCAGGGTCGAGCCTGTACACACTGACCACTGCGTCTCCTCCAGTCCCTGCGTCTGGTCAGATAGCTGCGTCGGGTCAGGTGTTTGCTGCAGCGTCCAGGTCTGGTCCTGAGTCTGCCCCCTGCTCGTGTCGCCTCCTGTCTCACGAGACTCTCCTCTGGCACCACCGCCTTGGCCACCCCTCCCTGCTTCGTCTCCGGAGCATGGCCTCCCGTGTCCTTGTCTCTGGTCTTCCCCGGTCCCTCCCTCCCCTTCCTCCGGGGCCAGGCCCTACCTGCGTCCCCTGTGTCGAGGGACGGCAGCGGGCTACCCCTCACTCCTCCCAGTTTCCTCCGACAGAGGCCCCGCTGCAGACGCTTCACATGGACGTGTGGGGCCCGGCCCGCGTCCGTGGACAGGGTCACGAGCGCTACTTCCTGCTGGTGGTTGACGACTACTCGCGTTACACCACAGTCTTCCCCTTGCGCAGCAAGGGTGATGTCACTGAGGTGTTGATCGACTGGATCTGCGCAGCTCGTCTCCAGCTCAGGCGGAGCTTTGGCTCGGACTTTCCTGTTCTGCGTCTGCACTCTGACAGAGGCGGAGAGTTCTCCTCTGGCCTTCTGCGAGCCTACTGTCGTGCACGAGGCATCCGCCAGACCTTCACGCTTCCGGACTCTCCACAGCAAAATGGGATTGCTGAGCGCCGCATTGGCATGGTCATGGACGTCGCCCGTACGTCCATGATGCATGCGGCTGCCCCCCATTTTCTGTGGCCGTTTGCGGTTCGGTACGCGGCGCATCAGATCAACCTTCAGCCCACGGTCTCCATGCCGGAGACCTCCCCAGCTTTGCTGTGGACGGGGAAGGTTGGCGATGCGTCTGCGTTCCGTGTCTGGGGATCTCGGGCGTTTGTCCGCGACTTGTCTGCGGACAAGCTGTCCCCTCGTGCTGCTCCTTGCGTCTTCCTGGGTTTCCCCCCTGACGCCCCAGGGTGGCAGTTCTACCACCCCACCTCTCGCCGTGTTCTGTCCTCCCAGGACGTCACGTTCGACGATTCGGTCCCCTACTACCGCCTCTTCCCCTACCGCACTCCGTCCCTCCCCCCGCCACCGCTCTTCCTTGTACCAGGTCCCCCCCCGGTAGACCCCCTCCCCCCTCAGGGTCCTGCCCCTTCAGGTGTGTCCCAGGTAGACGCTGTTGAGCCTGTCGAGGTCGCTGGTGACTCTGGTGCTGCTGAGGGTGCTGAGCCTGGGGGTGCTGACTCTGGGGGTGCTGAGCGTGTGGGTGCTACGCCTGGGGGTGCTGAGCCTGGGGGTGCTGAGCCTGGGGGTGCTGAGTCTGGGGGTACTACGACTGGGGGTGCTGAGCCTGGGGGTACTACGCCTGGAGGTGCTGAGCCTGGGGGTGCTGCGTCTGGGGGTGCTGAGCCTGGGGGTACTACGCCTGGAGGTGCTGAGCCTGGGGGTGCTACGCCTGGTGGTGCTGTGCCTGGCGGTTCACCGGGTGCTCCCTCTCGCCGAGAGCCACTCTCTCCCCAGGAGCTACGTGAGTGGTTTGCCCGGCGCTGGAGGCGAGCTGCTGGAGCTGCTGGAGCTGGAGGTGCTGCGGGTACTGGAGGTTCTGTTGCTTCTGAGGGAGCTGGTGCCACGGGTCCCGGAGGTGCTCGTACTGGGAGTACTGGAGCTGCTGGACCTGCGGGTACTTCTGGAGCTGGAGTTGCTGCGGGTGTTGGCGCGGAGGCTACTGCTGTCGGTCTTGGAGGCGGTCCTGCTGGGGGTACTACTGGTGCTGCTGGGGGTTCTGGAGCTGGAGCTGCTACTGGTGCTGGTGCTGCCCCTGCGGGTGCTGGTGCTGTCCCTCCTGTGTCTGGAGTCGCCGCGCGGCCTCGGCCGTACTTCGTTCCGCTCCTTCAGCAGGTTCTTGGTCTCCCGCCTTCTACTCGTCCTCCTCCTCCCTTAGAGTGTCCACAGCCTGTCCCGTCGCAGTTACAGTTACAGCCGGCCTCCCCACTGCCTGCTCCGTCTCCCTACACTGGTCCTACTGGAGGTCTTGCTGAGCGTCGTGAGCCTGCGTCTTGCCCTGCGTCGCCTGTCCGTGCTGCTCGCACTAGTGGTCGCGGTTCGCGTCAGCGTCCTCCTCCTGTCCCTGGCACGCACCGGATGTCTCTGCGTCCGTCCACTGCTCCTCTGCGTGCCCCTTTACCTTCTCCTCCTGAGTCTTCTCTTCCTACTCTTGCCGACCCGGAGTCGGACTCTCTTCGCGCTGCCAGTCCTACTGTCACGCGTCTCCTTGCTACAGTTGTCACTGACCCTTCCTTTGAGTCCACTGCTGCGTCTGCTCTAGTTGCTGAGCTCGTCGACTTTGCTGCTCGCTGTCGCCTAGACTACGTCGCCAGTCTTGTTGCTGAGTCTGAGTCTATCTGTCCTCCGTCCGTCGGGGGTGAGTGTGCCCTTGGCACGGACGTCCTTGAGGACAGGCAGGAGGAGTTCCAGTGCTTGGCCGCTGCTTCACCTCATCTCGTGTCCGTACTGCTTACCCCTGAGGGAGACCCGGATGCACTTGACATCCCGACTCCGCGCTCTTACGCGGAGGCGATAGAGGGTCCCTACTCCTCTCAGTGGCAGGCAGCTATGGACGCAGAGATGGCTTCCTGGAAGTCCACAGGCACCTACGTTGACGCTGTTCCCCCTCCTGGGGCGAACATCGTCAGTGGCATGTGGATTTTCAGGGTGAAGCGACCGCCGGGTTCTCCGCCTGTCTTCAAGGCGCGTTACGTGGCTCGTGGCTTCAGTCAGCGGCAGGGAGTTGACTACTTTCAGACCTTCTCTCCCACCCCGAAGATGACCACTCTTCGGGTACTGCTGCACGTAGCTGCTCACCGTGACTACGAGCTACACTCTCTTGACTTCAGCACTGCTTTCTTGCAGGGCAGCCTGCACGAGGAGATCTGGCTGCGTCGCCCACCTGGCTTCACTGGGTCTTTTCCTCCTGGCACCCAGTGGAGCCTACGGCGGCCAGTCTACGGTCTCCGCCAGGCACCGCGTGAGTGGCACGACACACTGAGGACTACACTTGCAGCTCTTGGGTTTGCTCCCTCTACTGCCGACCCGTCGCTGTTTCTGCGCACCGACACTTCTTTGCCGCCGTTCTACATCCTCGTGTACGTCGACGACTTGGTCTTTGCCACAGCTGACACTGCTGGACTAGCCCACGTGAAGTCCGAGCTGCAGAAGAGACACACGTGCACTGACCTGGGTGAACTGCGCAGCTACCTTGGCTTGCAGATCACTCGGGACAGAGCACGCCGCACCATTACCCTGACTCAGTCACACATGGTGCAGCAGGTCCTTCAGCGCTTCGGCTTCACGTACTCCTCGCCTCAGGCCACTCCTCTGCCTACTCGCCACTCGCTCTCAGCTCTGCCTTCGGATGAGTCCGTAGAGTCGAGTGGCCCGTACCCAGAGCTTGTTGGCTGCCTCATGTACCTGATGACCTGCACACGACCTGACCTTGCATACCCTCTTAGCATTCTTGCACGCTATGTTGCTCCTGGGAGACACAGACCGGAGCACATGGCTGCAGCGAAGAGGGTGTTGCGCTACTTGTGCAGTACGTCGGGCATGGGGCTTGTGCTTGGAGGGCAGAGTCCAGTGGTCCTTACTGGGCACGCAAACGCTTCTTGGGCTGACGACCAGGCTACGCAGCGGTCGTCACAGGGTTACACCTTCAGCCTTGGTTCCGGCTCTGTTTCGTGGCGGGCTACTCGCTCGTCTTCTGTTCTCGGCTCCAGTTGTGAGGCTGAGATCTACGCAGGAGCCATGGCTGCACAGGAGCTTCGCTGGCTCACCTACCTGCTGACTGACCTCGGAGAGTTGCCTCGTTCTCCTCCAGTGCTGTACGTAGACAACAAGGCCATGCTGGCCTTGTGTCGGGAGCAGCGACTGGAGCACAGAACGAAGCACATTGCTCTCCGCTACTTTCTTGCTCGTGAGCTGCAGCAGCGTGGTCAGCTGCGTCTTGCGTACGTGGCCTCTGAGGCCAACACTGCTGATATCTTCACCAAGGCACTTGCGCCTTGTGACCATCAGCGCTTCTGTACTCAGCTTGGCCTTGTGCCTACCTTGCCTCACTTGCTCACCTCTTGACCTTGCTTGTACTGTTACATATATATATACCTGCTCTTGTTTGTCTAGCCTTTTTTATATATATGTGTACTCCTGCTTGTGAACTGGCCTTGTGGCCTTGAACTTGTGCTCGGAATGTGTGGTGACTTTGTGATCCACCCTGAGCTTGTTTTTGCTTTGCTTTGCTTGACTGGTCTTGTGACCCCTTGTTCTCCCCCACTTTGCCTATGGGGGTGTGTCAGATTTATATGACATAGCTACTGTAGGCTATAGTGGGGTAGCACATATGGGGTACAGTTTTCTAGGGTTTGCTTCTTGTACCCAACTTTCACTTAGTCATTTCATTCCTCGTTTCTTCTCAATAAGAACGTCGCGGCCACACAGACGGCGATGGTCGGAGTCCGCTTTACTCCGGGGAACAAAAACCCGTTCTCGGTTGAGCTTCATCACGGAGGGGTGCGCTACTATCTCGGCTCGTTTTCGCGTACTACGCCCGCGCGCTACCTGTCCGCGGTGGCACAGACCGTGTGGCACGACCGCGTTCAGAGTCGTGAGTTGGTGCTCTCCAATCAGGAGGAATCCGATTGGGCGGAAGATCTCGACCTGGCGCGGAAGATGACCGCGGGCCTATATTCAAATCTTTTTCTACGGAAACTGGCTGGCAACCACAAGAGGCACGACGTGCTTCCGCATGCACGGTTCATTCAACCGTTTCGTTCTAACTCCCGTGCTTTTTGATTGTGCCACAGGATGCTCAACATTTTCAAAACGTGTCGCGAACTTGTGGAAGCGGATTCGGACAACACTGTCCAGTCCGCGTTATGTGCTGCAGTTGGGCTAGAGGTCGCGGACGATGATGCGAAAGTGAAGGGGAAAGAACAGAAGACGTTATTCGCCGCCGCGGTCGCGTTCGCGTTTGCTACTGTGTGGAGTCTGACCGCGGAATATGCGCGCTGCAACACGGCAAGTGGTGCGAGATCGGCCTGGAAAAGAGTCACCGCGGAGGTTCGTGCTGCCGCGGTCAAAAGTGGCTCAGCCGCTGCAAAGCTGTGTCGCGCCAGTGCGGATCAACTGGAGGGTTTGGAGGTGTGCTGGAGAGACGTGTGCTTGGACATCCGGAAACACCAAGGTGATCAGCTGGAGGCCGCGGCGAGCATCCAGAAGAGGGTGCTGAAGTTGTATGGGGAAGAGCTCGACATGACCGACAAGGTTGTCGTGCATCAGCTGATCCAGGTGGTGGTCGACTGGAACTACGGTTCGTCCGTGTTCCCGGCAACGAAAGGTGTGGGCCTTTACATGGAATACCCGAAAAAGAAGGGGACGCGTGGGAAGGGCAAGAATGGGGGCGCGGGAGAGAAGGATGGGAAGAGCGATATGGATGAGAGGAAGGGCGAGGAGGCGGAGCACAGTGATGGAGAAGACGTGGATGACGATACGTTGATGGTGGAAGGATCGGAGGGCGGCGAGGAGTTTGCATGAAGTGCCGCGGGATGCCAGTGGTCCATCGGAATCTGGGTGCTGTTTCGTTTTCCGTGGATTTGTTGCTGCTCATGCCACTGTGTGATTTTCGTTCGTTTGGACACCAGTTTAGTGTTTGCGCGTGATAAGGGCGTCGTTTTGCGTAATGCTAGTTAGGACTTGTACAACTTTGTTGGAATGAATCTGTACAAAAAAACGCGAGAGCACAGGAAACGCGAACAAACGCATCCCGCGAATGCAGGAAAGCCTATGCATACAAAACATCGCGCATGAACAATTCCTCCGCTGGATCGTTACAAATACTCCTTTCTAGGGCGCTTTTTCGACGCGGCCTCTGCTTTCTCAGCCTCAGCCTTCGCGTACTCTTTCCATGCATTGGGGAAGAGTCTCTCTGCCCACGCGGGTCCTTCGAGGCCTGTTTGCACCAGCAATAGTGCAGCCCGCAGATGAAGTTTCTTTTGGTCGCTCTTCAGTAGATCCGCGAGCGTGCTGTCGCAGACGGGCGCTGATCGCACGGTGAGACTGCTCGTCACCGTTGAGAACGACATGCCCGCGAGCTTCCCAACGACCGCATCCTCCCCTCCACTGTTATCCCTAGCCGCGTACTCCGTCACCGCGTCCATCGCCCTTTTCACACGGTACATTCGCTGCTTTGCAGCCTCCTCGTTGGGCTCCTCCCCGCGGGCAAATCGCGCGACCCATCCACCCTCGGCTGAGTACTCCTGCCGCAGCGTTCTCGCCGCGGATCCATGTGGCTGGTTCCACAAGGTCCATGCAGACGTGATGGTTTTCGCTGATCGCCAAGGTATGATAATTTCAGTCTTGAATGCCTCGTCTTCCGCGGAAAGTGGGGGCACACCGCTCTCTTTCCCTTTTTTATCTTTGTCATTTGTTTCGGCCGACGGCGGTGTCTCTGTTTCCTCGTTCGTCACATTGGTATGTGAGCCACCTTCCCCTCGCGCCCGTCGCTTCTTCAGCTTCTGTTGAAGCCGTCTGCTTTCGGTCTCGAGAGCCTCGCACCGGTCCACCAGCTTTGCGTTGGCATCCTCCGCGGCTTTAAGCTTGACGAGGTCATTCGCGTGGGCTGACTTTTCCCGGTTCAACTCCGCCTGAAGCTGTCTTGCGCGATGTTCCGCGTGGACGCGGACATTTATTTCCTGAGCGCACAACAAGAAAGGCAAATCTCGTGTCAGCAAGGTTCTCAAGCACGCGGTCCTCACGTGGATCAGACGCTCACAACTTCGGTACAAGGTGTCGCTGTTGCTCGCATAGCGCGACCGACCGCGTCACGCCAAGCGACAACCCGCGCCCAATGTTGAAACTCGGGGTCCTCGCATAGTTTCGATGCTTGCACGTATGGATGGTTCCGATCGAGCACGAACATCATCGCCAGATCCTTCGCCACAATAAGGCGACCCCATTCTTGCAGACTCTCGAGCAGGTATATGGCGCCCAGGTTACGCCGGCCACGTTCGGTGCATGAATCGTTGTAGTCCCGCGCCTGAAACGACATCGCGCGGAGATGGAGAATCAATTCAAAGCAGGCGCGGCAAATTCGTTGAGGGGTCCGAGAACTCAAACCCTCTTACCCTTTGTAGTTGCTCTTCAATCCACGGAAAAATGTGGTATCTGATCGTGGTAAGGAGGTTTTTCGAGGGCGGAACCTTTGATCTCCCAATATGGTAGTCTCCCTCGTCCCCTGTGAACCCTGCTGTTGCGAGCACCGCCTTCCTTGCCACGCCTGTCAGATATGTGAGAGAAGTAGGTAGAGTTAGGTGGGCTTGGGAGCCATAGCTTAGGAGCCTTGGTAGTTAAGTTCGAGGGTGAGGAGAGTGTCGAGAAAGTTGTGAAGGGGAATGAGCGTTTCACTATAGGTTCAAGGGTACAAATATGAAAGAAGTGAAGCAAGGTGCACCACCTAACAAACAAGGTAACTACACTAAGTCTACATTGCAGGCAGTTATAAAGTGATGTATACAATAACATTCTGACATACCCCCTAACTGCCTGCAGTGAAGAACCATGTGCAGAAACACCCCCGGAAGGGGTACACCAAGTAGAGCGCAGCAGACAGAGAGGGCAAATGAGGAGGAGAGACTGTGGAGGAAGAGAAGATGCGAGGCAACGACTGAAGCTGCAGAGGCACGGGCACAGGAGCGGCTGACTCAGTGGCTACCGAAGCAAGGGCGACGGACTACTGGAGTGACTGGCTCCGCGGCTATAGACGAGCGGCAGGAGCAACGGACCCACTGGCGACTGGTGCAACAGGCTCACTGGCTACCGAAGCAAGGGCGACGGACTACAGGCGCTGCAGGCGACACGACAGCTACCTTCACACAACCTCCCCCAGCTGCCCCACTCCCCTCTCACACACTCCCTGTTCAAACCCTAGCTCCACTCCCACAGCACCCCCCTTAAACCCTAAACCCTAGGCTCCCACACACCCACCCCCCTCAGCGACAGCTGCAGCAGTGGGAGACGAGGGAGGAGGAGGAGCAAGGGGAGGAACACATAACCGCCACCCCCACACCCGCCACCCCCATGCTCGGCACCCCACACCCCCAGCACCACGGAATGCACGGGGGGGGGGGGAACGGGACGGGCTGCAGGTGCGGGCTGCTCCAGGGGCGGCCGCTGCAGGTGCGGGCTGCTCCAGGGGCGGCTGCTGCAGTTGCTGGCTGCTCCAGGGGCGGCTGCTGCAGGTGCGGGCTGCTCCAGGGGCGGCTGCTGCGGTTGAGGGCTGCTCCAGGGGCGGCTGCTGCAGGTGCAGGCTGCTCCAGGGGCGGCTGCTGCAGTTGCGGGCTGCTCCAGGGGCGGCTGCTGCAGGTGCGGGCTGCTCCAGGGGCGGCTGCTGCGGTTGAGGGCTGCTCCAGGGGCGGCTGCTGCAGGTGCAGGCTGCTCCAGGGGCGGCTGCTGCAGTTGCGGGCTGCTCCAGGGGCGGCTGCTGCAGGGGCGGCCGCTTCAGGGGCGGCTGCTGCAGGGGTAGCGGCTGCTGGGGCGGCTGCTGCAGTGGCGGCTGCTCCAGGGGCTGCTGCTGCAGTGGTGGCTCCAGGGGCGGCTGCTGCAGTGACGGCTGCTCCAGGGGCGGCTGCTGCAGCGGCGGTTGCTCCAGGGGCGGCTGCTGCTGGGGCGGCTGCTCCAGGGGCTGCTGCTGCAGTGGCGGCTCCAGGGGCGGCTGCTGCAGTGACGGCTGCTCCAGGGGCGGCGGCTCCAGGGGCGGCTGCTGCAGCGGCGGCTGCTCCAGGGGCGGCTGCTGCTGGGGCGGCTGCTGCTGGGGTGGCTGCTCCAGGGGCGGCTGCTGTTGCAAGGCAGGCCCGCGCGCTGCTGCAAAGCAGGCACGGGCGCAAGGGAGGCAGAGGCGGCGGCCAGGGGGGGGTGCGCCGCAACGAGCAGGTGACAGGGCCACAAGGGGCGGCAACGGAGCCGCTAGGGGCGGCAACGGGGCCGCGAAGAGCGGCGACGGGGCCGCTAGGGGCGGCAACGGGGCCGCTAAAGGCGGCGACGGTGCCGAGATGGGGCGGCGACAGGGCCGCGAAGTGTGGCGACGGGGCCACCGAGGGTAGCGCGAGGGGCCGTGAGAGGAGCAGCGACGGGGCCGCGAAGAGGCCGTGAGGGGCCGAGAAGGGCGGCGTCCGCGCGTCCGGGGCGCACGGCGTGCGGAAAACCGCCACGCGCCCCGAGCGCGTGGCGGGAAGAAAAAAGTGTCGCGCGCCACGGGGCGCGCGACAGAAAAGAAAGCAGCGGAAGCACGTGGGGCCCACAGGCCAAGAGCGTAGTCGCTCTGATTCCATGTGAGAGAAGTAGGTAGAGTTAGGTGGGCTTGGGAGCCATAGCTTAGGAGCCTTGGTAGTTAAGTTCGAGGGTGAGGAGAGTGTCGAGAAAGTTGTGAAGGGGAATGAGCGTTTCACTATAGGTTCAAGGGTACAAATATGAAAGAAGTGAAGCAAGGTGCACCACCTAACAAACAAGGTAACTACACTAAGTCTACATTGCAGGCAGTTATAAAGTGATGTATACAATAACATTCTGACAAGATAGTGGACTATCATCGGGTCTGTTTTCCAGTTGCCGTGCTTTTGAATTTCGTCGTCGTGAATCCCCATCATGCGGAGAATATTCGCGTTAGATGCACGCGGCCCATGTGTGACGCACGAAATCTCGATTACCGCCTCTTTGTACGCGTGGACCACCCATCGGTGGTACGTGGCACCCGAAACTCGTTTCGTGTTCCCCCTTTTCAGCGACCAGAAAAGGTAGGCTTTGTGCCACTGTTTCGGGTCTCCGAAGTCCAAATCCGGTGGCGGCAGCTGATAGTGTTCAGGAGCCATGTCGTAGAGCCAGTGCAGCAGAAGGAGCATGTTTCCGACGGGGCAGAGGTTGTAGTCAATGTGCCGCGTGGAGTCGTGGCGTTGGAGACCAAAATGATGGTTTGTCTTTCCGCTTCGGCTGTTGATGGTCATCACCACTACTTCGCGAATTGGATCATGTTCCGACACGGAACCCATTTCTTTGAAAGACAGGTCTGGTAGCTGAGCAGCGCAAATACTCCCCGCGCGGGACAGGGTGTGATGGCACGTGAGCAGCATGACTTTTGTGAGAAGTGCTCTGTGGAGTTTCGCTGATGGCTCCGGGTCCAAGGCTTTCCAGTTTTTCACTGCATCCGCGGGTAATGTCACTTGCATCATGTGGCGAAACTGGTCCAGAGTATACGTGTCATCGTGTCTTCCGCGGTGACGGTCGACGCATTCCCTGGGGCAGAGCACGAAAACCATGAAATCGTGAGGGTCTTTGCGGAAATGACGTGAATGAAGGATGACGGAATGTTTCCAACAATACTTACTCGACGAATCTCTCGAACTGCTGCGTCAACATGAGACGTTGAAGTATCCGGACCTGTGTCACTTCTTGCACAAGGCCCGGGTCGTCGAAAAGTGCAGCCTCCGCCCTGCACAGCGCGTTTAGTCCGCGAAGCCGCGCCAGAAGCATCGGCACGGTCATCTTTATGCGCTTTCGGATGGGTCTGACAGGGTTTAGGCTCACAAGCACGTCCGCCTGGTCTTGCGTTTCGGTTGTGCAGTACGCGACGAAGACCTTCAGCCGCCACCTTGTGATGCGCGGGCCGTGCAGCCAGCAGTCTTCCCTCTTCGTCTTCTTCTCCCAGTCCTCCCCAAAGTCCCAGTCCCTTCCTAACGCGTGCCCCACCTCGTCGTGATGCTTTAGAAAAGCCTCCGTGGGAAGCTGTCCGTTTTGACGCAGCCTTCTCATTTCGTGGTACCACCACCTCTTGAATTCTCAGATAACAGAGTAATATTGCTCCCGAGTTTCCGACGACAGGGACGCGAAAACGTCCCGGACAAAATCGATCTTCTCCTGCTGTGGCAGCCCTGCACGAATTTTAGTCCAATCCGCGATAAGTCGCCCCCCCCTCAATTTCGAGACCCGCGTCTGCTCGCTCGTCCGCTGCCATCTCCGCCCGAACCTCCCTCTCATCCTCCTATGAGACATCGTCGTCTGGTCTTCGAAATGCCCGCGGCCTATCACCCTCTCCCTCACCCTCCTCTTGCTCCCCTGATGCAGCAACTTCAGCTCCCTCCTCGTCTGATTCCGGTTCATCGTCTTCAGAAGCTTCCGAGGTTTCTGGTGCTTGCGTTGTGGGAACAGCACTCGGTTTCGCTGTTGGAACCCCTTGACGCGGCTCAGCCCGATTTTGCCGCGCGTTGACACGCCTTCTAGCACTTGGTTCCGCAGCTGGTTCCCCTTCACGCAGCTCAGCCCCATTTTGCCGCGCGTTGACACGCCTTCTAGTACTTGGTTCCGCAGTTGGTTCCCCTTCACGCGGCCCAGCCCGATTTTGCCGCGCGTTTACACGCCTTCTCCCCCGGGGCTGTTGCGGTGTGACTGCAGTTGGCACAAATTCCACGTTTTCCGATTGTCCCGGCACTTGGGCTTCTGTGCCCTGCGGTGCTCCTGTAGGATTGATGGCTGAGAACATGCTTGGCGCTCGCGGGCGCGCGTGCGATGAGACAAAGTGAGGGAGAACGGGCATCGGTGCACGATAATGCATAGGCTGTCCGGGGGAGGCAGGGCGGAGGTTTGGAGGAATTCCTGAGGATCATGGTTGAAACGCATTGGCGGGCAAAAACGAACCCCACGCGAAAGCAGGCGGAAGTCGGAATTGGCAACTGCCACGTAATGCAGCCTGACCAACTACTGCAATTGCTGCACTGTCCAAATCCGCTGCGCGCGGTGTGAACTCAAGCAATCCTGCTGGTGAGTTCCCAGGAATTCCTGCGGGCGTGTTCCCCGTGGTACCCGCTGGAGGGTTCCCTGGAACACCCGCGGGTGGGTTTACAGGAACACTCGGTGGTGGGTTCTCTGAAACTCCCGCGGGTGGGCCAGGAACCCCCGCGGGTGGGTTCACAGGAACACTCGGTCGTGGGTTCTCTGAAACTCCCGCGGGTGGATTTCCTGGAACCCCCGCCGGTGGGTTCACAGGAATACCCGCTGGTGGGATCTCTGGAACTCTTGCGGGAGGGTTTCGTAAGACTCCCGCGGATGGGTTCCCAGGAACACCCGCGAGTGGGTACCATAGAACACCCGCGGGTGGGTTTCCAAAAATTCCCGCGGATTGGTTCCATGGAATACCCGCTGGTCGGTACCCTGAAATTCCCGCGGGTGGATTTCCAGGAATACCCGCGTATGGGTTCCATGGAACACCCGCGGGTGGGTTTCCAGGAATACCTGCTGCAGGTTGGTTCACATGAATTCTCGTGGGAGGGTTCCCCGGAATTCCCGCGGGTTGATTCCCTAATGTTCCTGCGGAGGGGTTCCCATAAAATCCAGAGCTCTGGTACACGGGATGGATGCCCGCAGTTGCTTCCGCGGAAGCATTCGCGTGTCGCTGGCGATGCGCGTTCGGTGCGCGTGGTACGCTTGGTGCCCGTGCACCGCGCTCACCCTCCGTCGGAGGGTGCATTGTTGCGTGGAACCAGGAGCAACGATTACGGATGTGTCAGGTCTCCGGAGATCTGAAGGGACTTTAGCAAGGCAGAAGGTGATGAACTAAAACGAGACCACTGGGCACGAACGGCGAAAAGTGAGCACGGAACGGAGAAGTAGCTCTCGTTCCGTGGGTAACCCCTTGCGCCACGCAACGTTGATGGATTCCTAGAGTTTTCATCCTTGTGTACCCCGCGTGCACCGATTATGGTTACCGTGGTCGCACAATAGAAACGAGACTCACTGTCGCGGAGACTCGAACTGACGAGCATCGCACTGCTTCGTGAGTGCTTCGCGCTCGAGTAATCAGCGGCCACGCGTCAGCCCTTCTTAGGCTGTCGCGATGCCACGTGCAGGCATATTGTTCCATCATGTTAAAGCTAATCGTCAACTGCCACGAAGCAAGGAACGAAGTGAGTAGCCAGTGAGACATGGACACGTGAACGCGAGAGCCTCCCCCGATGTTTTCCGCGTAAGAAATCGGGGGGAAAACGGCCAATCATCGGTCGCCGAGCGTCTGGTTACTGATACGTTTTCTAGGGTATGTTCCACTCGGTAGCGCTGGGACCACGCTACCGTGGGGCGGCCGAACTCGGTAGTGTTACCGTCCCAGCCGCGCAGTTTCCCGCCCGGAAAAGCTCCCGTCGCGTGCGCCCAACTACCCCCCTGTTATATATACCCCAAAATCATTGTATAGAGGAAAGAAGTTTGGTTTGGTGGAGTCGGCAGTACCGGCCGACTACGTGGTAGCTGGGAGAAAACGGATGCACCAGGGGCTCTTTCGGGCTGTTCACCAGCACCTGTGAAGCCAAAAACCACGGGATAACGACGGGATCAGGAAGGTGGGTCTTGCCTTCCTGATCTCGTCAGTTAGAGTTCGTTTACCTCCGTCAGCCTGGTCAGCCCGTGAAAAAGGCGCCGAGCCTCACCTACCGTCCAAACCAACAATCAACCAGGGTGTCTGGCGAACGCCCCCATTTGTCAACCAAAACGAACTGCTCGACGGCATATGGAAGCGGGGACGCAACTTCGTCCCCAGGCAAAGTTCCATCCCCAAGCCATGCCAAGCACAGCGATGGCACAGCCGTCGCATTGCCGTTCAGAGGGGATCGGGGGGAAGGTGGGGATGGAGGTTCCTGATGCGGTTGCGAAATTTCGCAACCGCAGGCGCAGAAGTTTCTTGAACGGCATTACGGCCAAACCTCGGAGGTGGGTTCCGCCTCCGTTTCCATATGGGGTCGCGCTGCCGAGGCCAACCTTTTCATTTCAAATAAGGCCTTGTTCGGTAGGCTGCCTAGTCTGACTGCGGATGGCTCAGGGCAGGCTCTCCAGTTCGAATGTGTAAATGCTTAAAGCCCACAAACTCGTTAGTAGAACACCGAACCTAACCAGTTAGAGTTTGCTACCTAACGCCTCAACTTGCTAGTCTGAGTGTGATGGGACTGGCCGTGACGAAGCTGCGAAAGAATTTTCTTTCCCTGGCAAAAACCAGTCCGAGTCCACTTCGGGCCCCCCCCTGTAATGGGCCATCACCAGCACGAGTGACAGCTCGGATGTAGGGCGGTTTTCCCAAGGGGTGAAGTTACCTCGCTATTGTCGCGCAAGCTCACGAGATCATACGCGAAGGTGCCTTCAGTGCGAGTTGAGGCCCGAGGCTGGGAAGCCTCACGAAGGGTTCGCCAGTGCGAGTGGGCCCACTCTCACTGGGTGCCTACCGAACAAGGCCTACGATTTGCTGGCGAACAGCACCGATATTTCCGCACCACAGCAGCTCCCTGTAAGCCCCACCAGCAGCCACACCACAAGTGGAAAGCAGAGCATAAATTGCGCTAGCTGAATGCAAGGTCAAGTCATTGATCAGCTCGCCTCGCCACAGTTGTATTTGTCCGCAGTAGTCACCGACGTCGATCGTTGCGTCGAGCTTCACTTCGCTGAATGAACGCCTAATTGCGTAATTAGTTCTGTCGCCAGGTGCTGCTGCTTCCCTGGTGGAGCTTGACCATAAACCCTCGGGCGAGATGCTTCTCGCGATTGAGTCACGTTTCGTCCTGGCTCCCAGCAGCAGCACCATCTCAACCCCAGGATTACGGGATAGCGACTAGTGCGCGCTGTCGATTACACAAGGCAATCAAAGAGCACTAGGCGGTAGATTAATTTCGTTAGATTTTTTTTTTTTTTTTTTTTTTTTTTTTTTCCAAACGGTAGTGCTGTAACTCTGCGGAAATGCGGTGAACAGGCATTGTGATATTGTGCATCGTAATCGATATTCTGACAGCATGGACTCACGGCGCACTATAAAGCAGTCCACCCTATTGCCTATGCAGCTCCTGTCGATTCTCTTCTTCCTTCTGCTCACCTTATCGCAATTTAGAGCCGACGAATTACCGGGTACATGCGCCGTCGCCGGGGAATGCGACGCGAATGGCGACAACGCAGCGGAAGCAGCAGCGACAACAGAAAAGGACGCGAACCGTTCAAACGTGGACGGCTTATCTGGTGAAGACGTGGAGGCTCGCGCGGATCCGTACGCGTTATTGGCAGACGGACATGCCAAGGTGATTTTACTGTCGATTCGGGTCTCCCGCTCAACGCGTCCACGCATTTGTATTCAATGCTTATCGTATGAGATCCTGTGTGTGCTCCTTTTCGCTCCCTTTCGCTCCATTCCAATCAGTTTTACTCCATACTAATCCAGCTCGCTCCACTCTGCTCTATCCCTGTGTGGCCGTTCACATGCTGTCACCACACAACGTGCGTCATGCCTCTACAGCTCAAGGCGAGGAACTATGAGGAGGCGATCGACTCGTACAATAAGGTCAGCATTCCTCTCCGTTGCCTTCCTTGTGGTATCTGATGGTTCAAGCCTTCAAGGTATGTGTTTTCTTTCGTCCGTTGCCCTTGTGCGCCGCTACACGTCAGGGTACCTTCCATCATCTGATTCACACTCACATCACATCACCCCCTTGTCTTGTCGTCCTGTGATCCCCTCTCTCGCCCCCCGTCACCGCTCAGCTGGATGCGGTTCTGTCGCGCCTCTACGGCTCCATGCTGCACGGCAGGGGCGTTGCTTGCTCCATGCTGAAGCAGCACCAGCAGGCGGCTCTGGACTTGAAGCAGGCGAGTCAGTCAGTCCTTATATTGTGTCAAGGCACCTAATATCTTTGCCTTTCGTTTTTTAGGCACCTTGCAACGTGCCTCCATGCTGCTGAAGCAGCACCAGCAGGCGGCTCTGGACTTGAAGCAGGCCAGTCAGTCCTATACCCTGTATCAAAGCACCTAAAAACGTGTGTCCGTGCTGATTCAAGCAGCACCAGCAGTGCAACTCGGTTGATCCCTTTCTCTCTGTGTGTGAATGTGCGTGTGAGTGTGAGAGAGTACGTATCCCTGCTCACCCACCTCCTTGTCTGCTGTGCTGTGCTCACTGCAGGCAGTGGAGAAGCAGCCGCACAAGGCAAACTACTGGGTGGAGCTGGGGCAGGAGTACACCCTTCTGAACGACTACTCCAATGTGAGTAAGCTGCTCTATGCTTTAGGTGACTTGGAAAAACGGCAATTCTACTGGATAAATCTGGGGCAGGAGTACACCCTTCTGAACGACTATGCCAACGTGAGTAAGCTGCTTGATGCTTGAGATGACTCGGAAATACTGGGTGGAGGTGGAGGTGGGACAGGAATACTATACACCATTCTGGACCACCATGGCCATGTGAGTGAGCTACCCAATGCTGAGAGAGTCGGCTCAACAGAGAAGGCAGAGTACTGGGTCAACCTGGCGTAGGGATATAACACACACTTCTGTGTCATGCGTCCTTTCCCCCCCATGCCTTGCACACCCCCCATCAGGCGCACAGTGCCTTTGTCAAGTCAAGGCAGTGGAGCTTGACCCCCACAACAACAGGTGGTTTTTGAGAATGTTCACAACCCCCTTCTCGTTCTCTCCTGCTTCCTGCGTCCTTCCATCCCCTTGCCTTCCACTCCACACTCCCCCCCCCATCAGGCGCACAGTGCCTTTGTCAAGGCAGTGGAGCTCGACCCTCACAACGACAGGGCCCGGCAATTCCGAGGTAAGGCGGGGAAATGTCGCGTTGGGAAGGAAAAGCTTGTGCATTTTCTCGAATAGCACATCACCACACCACCACACCACCACATATGCAGCCGTTTATTATCACACAGGTGGCTTACTCGCCGCTGCGCCTCCCTCAACTACCCATCCTCCTACCCCGCCCCCTCCACATTCCCCCTTTCATCACAGGCATGAGTGCGTTTGAGATAGAGCACTACGCAGCAGCTCTGGAAGACCTCGTCCCTGCACTCACACGCGACCCGACCAACACCCAGCTGCTCACGCAGGTCGGGCTCTCGCTGCTGCGCCTCAACCGCTACCGCGAGTCACAGCCGTTCTGGGAGGCGGCCGTGCAGGCGGACCCTGGGGAGGCACGCCCGGGGGAGGAGCACCCAGGGGAGGAAAGCTCAGGGGAGGCACGCCCGGGGGAGGCACACCTGGGGGAGGCACACCCGGAGGAGGGCGAGGCGTGGGTGCAGAAGGGCATCACACACCGCATCCTGGGCGAGGGGGACAAGGCTGTGGACTCGCTGCTCATGGCGCTCTCTGTGCAAGAGTAGGTGCTGCGGGTGGGTGGGGTGGGGAGGGGTGGGGAGGGGTGGGTGGCGTGGGGTGGGTGATGAGCAGAGTGTGGGGAGGGGAGGGGAGGGAATGTGGCGCTCTTTCATGGCATGGCGCTCTCATTGTCCAAATGGGGTGGGTGGGTGGTGGGATGGGTGGGAATGGGAGAAACGTGCAGGCACAGCCAGGGGAGGCACACTCAGGGAAGACACACCTGTGGGAGGGCGAGGCGTGGGTGCAGCAGAAGGGGGGATAGCACTGCATCTTGGGCAAAGGGGACCAGGTGAGGTGAGAGGAGAGGTGGGCTTGGCGGGGAGGGAGGAAAGTGGAGAGGAGGGGAGAGGAGCGGTGGGAAGGGGAATGAGGGGGCTGCTGTCATTTGCTCTGCCTGTGAGAGCAAATTATTAGCGTATCTCTGCTTTTTCCCCTGTGTGGTTGTGCGTGGTTGTGCGTGGCTGTGTGTGGTTGTGTGTGGTTGTGTGTGGTTGTGTGTGGTTGTGCGCGGTCGTGTGCGGTGGCAGGAACATTGATGCATACCGCAACCTGGTAGCCACGAGGCGTTATCAAGGGGATCACTGGTGAGCCAGGGAAAAAGGTTTTTAATAGTCCTGTAATACACCCAGCTCTACACCATGCACCATCAAAACCCTTGCACTCTGAATAAGGGCTGGTTCTGTTCTGTGTGTGTCTGTCACCATGCTACATACAAGTGCTGCAGCAGCAAGCAATGGCTTGGTTTCCCTTCATGCTTTCCGCAGCAGCACATTTTCCCTTCTCTCTTGCATCCCCCCCCCATCCACCCCCTTCGCTCCAACCACACATGAATGCCATAGAGCTGATTACTAAGTCGACTCAGAACGCACCTCACCCATCCCCACCCCTCTGCACCGCACCCAACCGCGCAGGACCGCCATAGAGTGGTGCAACAAGGGGCTGGCGTTCCACCCAGAAGACAGCGAGGTGCTGTACGTGCTCCATGCACCTCCTGTGAGAGATCTCTGAGACTCCTAGAAACTCATTCCACCTATCTGCACCCCTCTGCACCGCACCCAACCTAACCGCACAGGGGCGCCATCGAGTGGTGCAACAAGGGGCTGGCGTTCCGGCCAGAGGACGAGGAGCTGCTGTACGTGCGCGCCTCCATGCACCACGCGCTGGGCGACCATGCTACAGCCGTGAGTCCATCCTACAGCTGTGAGTCCCTGCTGCTACATATGTGACCGCTATGGCTACCAATGCTGCTGTACGTGCGCGCCTCCACGCACCACACGCTGGGCGACCATGCTACAGCCGTGAGTCTACAGATGTGAATGCTACAGATGTGTCGACTCAAAAGTCTCAGTGTGCTGCGCTCTTTCTGTCCTCTGCCTGCCCTGCTTCATCTGTTTTGTTCCCTCTGTCACTCTATCCCTCTGTCCATCTGTCCCTATGTCCCTCTGTCCTCTCTCCCCTGCGCATCCGTCTGTCGCAGCTCTCCTTTTACGACCATCTCCTCGCAACGGCCACAGAGCAGCACATGACGTTCAACCAGGCAGTCTCCTACTACCAGGTACCCTCCACCCCTCTCCTTCCACCTGCTCATTCGTTGTGCTCGCCCTGTCTGTGCGTTTTCCCTGCTCCCCCGTGTCCGCGCATCCCTCCTGCTCCCCCGTGTCCGCGCATCCCTCCTGCTCCCCCGTGTCCGCGCATCCCTCCTGCTCCCCCGTGTCCGCGCATCCCTCCTGCTCCCCCGTGTCCGCGCATCCCTCCTGCTCCCCCGTGTCCGCGCATCCCTCCTGCTCGCCGGCCTGTGTGTAAATTAACTGGTGCATATCAAAGGGAGGGAGGTGCTGCTGCCGTACATTGTGCCCATGCTGCACCTGCCCTTCTCAGCGCTCTCGCTCCTCCCTGCTCGTTCCACCTGCTTTTCAACGCTCTCTCTCCCTTCTCAACCTCACTCTTCCTCTCCCATGCTTTCTCCCGGTATGTCCCCCCATACAACTGCACCCCATCAGAGGGAGGTGCTGCTATACACGGTGGCGCGGCTCGACCGGCCCTTCTCAGCCTTCCAGATAGACGACGACATGGATGTGGACTTCAAGGTGTGTGCCATGCCATGCCATGCCATGCCATGCCTTTTGAGTCGACTAAAAAGTCAACTAAAAGGTCAACTCGAGAGTCAACGCAAGGGTCGACTCAAAAGTCACCGGCCCTTCTCAGCCTTCCAGATAGACGATGACATGGATGTGGACTTCAAGGTGTGTCACTACCATGCCTTGCATGCCAGTGCTCGATGGCCTTCCCCAGTGGCCCATGCTGCACCTGCCCTTCTCAGCCTTTCAGATAGAAGACGACATGGACGTGGGCTTCAAGGTCAGTTCCATTCCATGCATGCCTTGCATGCCGTGGACTGTAGTGGCCCGATGGCCCTTCCCCAGTGTCCTTTCCCCAGTGGCCCATGCTGCACCAGCCCTTCTCAGCCTTTCAGATAGATGATGACATGGATGTGGACTTCAAGGTCTGTCCACGTCATGCCACCATGACATGCATGCTACAGTGCAGCCTTTACGCACGCTCTGTGCCATCCATGCATGCTTACAGCCCCTACTCATGCTCTGTGCTCTTTGCATGCCGGCTGGCCCCACCATGCATGCCATGTACTGCTGTTGACTGGCGTTGACTGCTGTTGACTGACACTGACCTGGCAGGTGGCGTGGCTGAACAGGAGGGTGCCTCCAGGCCTGCCCAACTACCAGAATTTATCTGTCCCCGCCAGCCAATTGGAGGGTGCCACGTGGCAGTTGCTGCCACAGCTGTCAGAGGCGGCGTTGGCTGTGATCGCAGCGGCCGATGAGATTGGATGGCGGGCCCACTACGATACGGATGGCGTGATGCCAAACAAGCAGCAGGTGAGACACGTGGCACCAAGTCCAGCTGTTCAGATATGACACGTGGCATCATGTCCAGCTGTCACACGATGCAACCTCCACGTGGGATGCCTCCCCCACCCACCCCTTCCTCCTCAACCCATTCATCTCCTCCTCCTCCCGCTCCCCCCTTCCCCACAATCCTCCCACCCACCTCAGCTGCGCATGGCAGGGCTGGCAGCCCTAGATGTGATGCAGCAGGTACGGGCCACGTGGGAGGCCATAGCAGACGGGGGGCGCCTGCCAAGCATTGTGGAAGACGACGACGAGGAGGGGGAGGAGGGCGAGGGGGCTAAGGAGGGGAGAGCCGGAGAAGAAGAGGAGGGCGAGGGGGAGTGGGACAAGCTCACGTCGCCCCCTAGGATGCCGCTGAAGCGTTTTTCAGGCAGTGGTGGGAGTGGAGGGAGCAGTGGGGGCGAGTCAGTGCAGCTGGTGGGCAGTTGGAGGCAGCTGTTCCAGGTCATGGTGCCGTGGCGACAACTCTCCGACCCCACCGAGCCGCCTCTCTGGAAGGCCATGTTCAAGTGCGTCCGTCCCGCCCGCCTCCTCTGCTCGCTGCCTCTTTGTCTCCTCCATGCCGTGCCTGCTCGCTGCCTCCCTTTAAACCTCCCTTCCCTTCGCTTCCCCTTCCCCTCCAACCCCACCGAGCCTTTGGATTGTTCAAGTCTGTCCCGCCCGCCTCCTCTTCTCTCTCCCTCTTGCCTGCTCCTCCGTTCTTACCCGCCTTTCCTTTCCTTTTCCTTAGCGCTCGCCCGATTTGCCGAACACGCGGCGCTGATATGTTCGCCCCTGAACGGCCTTTAAACTCCTTCCGAGCGACCACCGAGCGACCTCTGAGCGACCTCTGAATGGCAGCCTTTCTTCTCCCTTGTGTCCCCTGACTCGCAGGAACCAGCGATTCCAGGGCAATTTTCAGTCGTTCACTCCGATCCACACGTGGAAGCAGCTCAGCGCCAAGTACAATGCCATCTATGACAGGTGTGCCCTTGTCTTGCCCTTCTGTTGCCCTTGTGCTGCCCCCACCTGCATTTCAGGAACCAGCGCTTTCAGGGGAGCTTTCATTCGCACACTCCCATTCACACGTGGAAGCAGTTTAGCTCCAAATACAATGCTATCTATGACAGGTGCGGTGGCGCCCTGCCCTGTAGGTGCAGTGACATGGCATGTAGATGACATCTTAGATATTGAGCATTCCCATCCCATCCCGGAACCTGATGGGGGAAACCTGATGGGGGGAACCTGATGGGGGGAACCTGATGGGGGGAACCTGATGGGGGGAACCTGATGGGGGGAACCTGATGGGGAGAACCTGATGGAGGGAACCTGATGGGGGGAACCTGATGGGGGGAACCTGATGGGGGGAACCTGATGGGGGGAACCTGATGGGGGGAACCTGATGGGGGGAACCTGATGGGGGGAACCTGATGGGGGGAACCTGATGGGGGAACCTGATGGGGGGAACCTGATGGGGAACCTGATGTGGAACCTGATGGGGTGGGGAACCTGATGGGGAACCTGATGGGGAACCTAATGGGGAACCTGATGGGGAACCTGATGTGGAACCTGATGGGGTGGGGAACCTGATGGGGTACCTGATGGGGAACCTGATGGGGAACCTGATGGGGAACCTGATGGGGTGGGAACCTGATGGGGAACCTGATGGGGTGGGAACCTGATGGGGAACCTGATGGGGTGGGGAACCTGATGGGGAACCTGATGGGGAACCTGATGGGGAACCTGATGGGGAACCTGATGGGGAACCTGATGGGGTGGGGAACCTGATGGGGTACCTGATGGGGAACCTGATGGAGAACCTGATGGGGAACCTGATGGGGAACCTGATGGGCAACCTGATGGGGAACCTGATGGGGTGGGGAACCTGATGGGGTACCTGATGGGGAACCTGATGGAGAACCTGATGGGGAACCTGATGGGGAACCTGATGGGCAACCTTATGGGGAATTTGATTGGGAACCTGATGGGGAACCTGATGGGGAACATGATGGAGAACCTGATGGGGAACCTGATGGGGAACCTGATGGGGAACCTGATGGGGAAACTGATGGGGAAACTGATGGGGAAACGGATGGGAAACGGATGGGGAACCTGATGGGGAACTAAGTTGGTCATTTACGCCATTTCAGCCCACGTACACGTAACGTACGCGTACATGTACGTTTACGTGTACGTACGCGTACGTACGTGTACGTACGCCGGGCAGGTCAGAAAAAAAAAGTTCGCGTTGAAATTTCTTCGAAAACGGTTTTTGAAAAAACTTAAAAAAAAAAAAAAAAAAAAAAAATCCGAGGACCTGTGCTCTGTTAGCGTGTTAGCAAAACGGCGCGACGTTTTTCAAAGTAGTAATGTAAGAAACAGGAAGGTTGCTAGCTAGGGTTGCTATGGTGTGGCGACTACCCTACGTACTATGTCGACTAAGGCGGTAGAACCACGATAGCTAAGTCTGTCGAGAGGAGGGAGGAAATTGTGGTGGGAGTAGATCCGAATGTGTGCAAACTGTTCGCGATAGAACATTGCGAACAGTTTGACTCAGATCGCGATTGCTTCGTTTGCAAGGTAAGCGAATCTCACCCGCTCGGCAGTTTCGTCACCGCCGAGCTTCACTGGTTTCGGCGAATTCCAACTTCGAGTCAAACCAATTCGTTGAGTCAAATCTAAATGTACACTACATGATGGAATGTTTACACTATATGATGGAAATCATGATTACGAGGGAGAACTATAGAGAAAATATACATGTTCAGGCAGCCCAGAAATTTTTTCGCCTGCCCGTACATTAGGCCTCCAACCCAACAGCCGCGTAAACGTACGTACCCGTACACGTACGTACGTAAACGCAAATGTAAATGACCAACTAAGATGGGGAAACCGATGGGGAAACCGATGGGGAACCTGATGGGGAAGCTGATGGGGAAGCTGATGGGGAACCTGATGGGAACCTGATGGGGAACCTGATGGGGAACCTGATGGGGAATCCGCATGTGGAAGCAGCTCAGTTGCAAAATACAATGCTAGCTATGACAGTTGTGGTGCCACGTAGACCGAGGCACATGCCTTTTGTGGCGCCTCAAAAGTTTATTCACAACACCACATAGTTGACTGATGCACATGCTAGCTTTGCTGTGTCAAGCAGGCAGTGCTGCTTGTGACATGTTAGATTGCACTTGGTCCCCCATCCACCTCCCTACCCTACCTTGTCCCTACCTTTCTCCCGTTCCACCCCCCTACCCTCGCCCTTTTTGCCCACTGTGTGTGAGCCCATCAGGGCAGTGGAAGTGACGCGGAGGGGGCTACTGGAGGGGCAGCAAGCATTGGATGAGGATGGCAACGTTATCCCTGTCCCCCGTGACGTGTATGGACCCAAGGTGCGGTGTAACTTGAGCTTCTAGCCGGAGAGGATCAGAATTTGCTTGGAGGCAGGATGCTCTGGACGAGGATGACACCTACGAGGATCAGTATTTGACAATGTTATCCCTGTCCCTCGCGACACCTATGGACCCAAGGTGAAGCGCACCTCTCGTGATCTTCATACCTGCCTCAAGGGTCACCTTGTTACAGTGCCATTATGCCATGAGCAGGGGCCCATGAGAGGCTGTACAATGCTTCATTGTGCTCCTCCTTGCTGCTCTTTCCATCCCTGTGCTTCCCTGCCCTGTGTGAGGCAGATAGAAGCAGCGAAGGGCCATGAGGGGCTGTACCATGCAATTGGTCGGGACTTCTATCTGCGCCTGCCCTTGCACAGCATGGCCAAACCTGGGTCAGTTCATCCCTCAGTTGATTCGACTCAATTGTCGGCACCATGCCAGTTTTTCGCTCGACTAGAAATTCTGTACCAAGCCGATTTCTGAGTCGACTCGAGAATCTGCACCATGCAATCGGTCTGGACTTGTACCTGCGCTTGCCCGTGCACAGTATGGCCAACCCCGGATCAGTTGATTTGCAACGTGATGTGTGCATGCTGATATGTGCTCTTATATCAGCATGCCCCACCCCTACCTCCGTCCATGCTGGGGTTGCGCACTCGATGTGACCTGTGTGCTCGCATGATGGCAGATGTTTGTCTGGTATGCCAATTGCTGGCTGCAATACACGTCCCCACTCCCCTGTCTCCAACTCTGGCCCGTCTTTCTCGTTCGAATGCTCCTCGTCTCCCTCCCGCGCATGCAGGACGGTCTTGCATGGAACAGAGTTCAAGTTGGAAAAGAAGTGAGCACTCACCTCCATGCACCACCTCTCTCTATCGCCCTCTCATTCCGACTCTGCAATCTCAAGGCCTCATTGTCCCATGTTCTCACCCTCCTTGCTACCCACGCTTCATCCCCCGTTTCGCCCGGCTACCCTCCTCTACCCAATCCATCCGGTTGTTCCAACCCCCTCCTTCAATCGCGCCCGCCGTTCTGCCCAACCATCCTGCTTGTCCCGCTCCTCAGGGCGCTGTCAATCGACTTTCAGACGTACACCAAGAACTCTGCCACGCAGTGGGGGCAGCTGGATGATGAGCTCACTGCCGCCTGGGAGGTGTGTGCTTTCTTGCTGGTACTGGTGCTGGTGCCTGTGCTGCTGGTATGGCGTTGCACTGCTGGTACCAGTGGTGCTGTTAAATTGACTTCCAGACCAACACCAAGAACTCTGCCATGCAGTGGGGCCAGCTGGATGACGAGCTCACCTCAGCTTGGGAGGTCAGTGTGACCGTTACTGTCACTGGTGGCGGTGCCTGTGCTGCTGGTACTGGTGCTGGTGCTTGTGCTGCTGGTATGGTGTTTCAGACGTACACCAAGAACTCTGCCACGCAGTGGGGTCAGCTGGATGATGAGCTCACCGCGGCCTGGGAGGTCAGCGCTGTCATTGCCTGTACTGCTGCCTGTGCTGCTGGTGCTGGTGCCGGTGTGCTGCTGGTGCTGGTACTGGTGATGGTTCTGCTGCTAGTATTGCCTGTGCTGCTGGTACCGGTGCTGGCTGTGCTGGTGGCGCAAGCAGTTGAGGTGCGGGTGGTAGGTGCGCTGATGGCACTCTTTATGGTTGTGCTTCCAGGCACCACACTCCCCGTATAACTCCTGATCCCCTCCCCTTCTCCCTCTCCCCCATGTAACTCTTCCTCAATGCAGAGCCTGTCGGCGGCGGTGCTAGATCTGCCCACGAGGGCCACGGACAGCAGCCTGTACCAGCAGCGCATTCGGGAGAACATTCTGCGCATCAGCTACTACTGGTTCCAGCTCATGCCGCTGTCCCGCGGGTCCGCCATGGTGGGGCTTGTTTCCATCCTCGGCCTTTCCATGGCTGCTGACATGGAAACCACTGCGCGCATCCCAAGGGATGTTTTGGTGAGTCCGGTATAGTGCTGCTGGTAGTGCTTCCGCTTTCCATCTCTCCATGTCTCCGCGTGAATCACTCCCGCATCCATAAGGATGTGCGGTAAATGACACAGCGGCACCACATTGCGAGGCGTTAAGGGTTGTTTTCCGGTTTGCTTGCTGGTGTGTGTCAGGTTGACTGGGAAGGGCTGTTTGCAACTCGCTTTCAAGACTTCTACGATGCGGTTGCTCCTTGGCTCTATTCTTCTGTTAAGCGGTCGCCTTGGCACCTCCCTATTGTGCGAGAGGCGCTGCCAACCACACGCCACGTACTGGCTGCTCTGAGCTACAAATGATGCGTGTCCTGGTGTCCTTTATTTTAGGTACGTGCCATGTAATGCCATGTGTGCTATCTAAGAAATGAATTCTATCACTTGTATAGTAGTTTTTTTCAGAACGCACCCCTCTACTTTGTGAAGTGGTTCGCGGCGGTGCCTCGATGTTGACGGGTTTGCGTTGCTGATCCCATCCAGTGCGCATGAAGCATGTCACACATTTCACAAGGAAACGCCTGAACGAAATCACGTGTTCATTCTTCAAACAGCACCTGGCTAGGCTAACTGGTGATGTGAACTGGGTCATACCATGGATAGAGATCTTTCGAGATCACACGACGCTTCTCGGTAAATGTTTTCGTGATAGGAGCAGCGGGCTGTCTAAGGCTTTCAGTTCATGATTCGTAGTGAGTTCTGAAGTTCGTAATCAGCAAGTCCATTCTCAAGAATGCGGTTTACTTACGCGTGAATGCGACAGTGTTCTGTTAATCATGAGAATATGGATGCTTCACGCAATGATTGACATTAACGTCGACTGTATTTTCAGGTTATTGCCAGCAAGAGCCGTGTGACCGGTGCACGTAACTGGCCATAATGCCGCGAGAATCTGGCAGAACCCGAAGTTTCGCTCTAGGGGATATTTAACAAGCCTGAATCCAAAAGTGCCGGTCCTATCAGCGCTATGGACAAGATATTGATACAATAATGGTGAGTATGATCCGTCAACATGTCATTAACCCTGGGTTTGAAGTCAAGAATGCAGGTTAGTTGCCTGAGCATAGTTCAGAACTCTGCTGTGTTCTGCAGGTAATGATGAGCGAGACTTTATCAACAATGCAGATTGTTGTCCATTACCTACAAGCTACTGTGGGGCATGTATTGGTGAGTGTTATGTCAATCAAGATTGTAGCTCACTTACAGAGTGACTGTCGTTGCAGGTATCTGTCAGGAATTTAATGAAATCGTTCACATTATCAGTCATACGTACTCCGAAGCCATGCCAACTGTTCTGAATCATGCATTTTTACCACCAACCATGGATCCTCTCAGTTGCTTCTTTGATGTATTGACTGCCTGATGCAAGACACAGTCAATGAGGATTGAACCGCTACCCACCAGTCTCAGCAGTGATGCATATATTGTAAGGGAAGTCGGCCTGACCCATTCTAATGGAGACACTGCTGTGCTGTGCATGCCTGGTCAGTGGGTGGAGTTACAACGTTCTGTGCATGCCTGGTCGGGGTATAGCTGCTGCATTTTGGCCTCAGTTGCGTCTGACTGGTGAATCTCTGGTGCCTGCAGGAATCAGTTCAAGCCGGGTATTTCCGTTCTGGGTCTGTCCCTGACTGCTGACATGGTAACCACTGTTTTTATTCCTAAGGGAGTGCAGGTGCGTTCTGTCACACCTTGCAGTCATCGGTCAAGTCAAGAAGCCCTCAAGCCCTGGATGTATTTCTGATGATTTCCTTTTTGATTGTTCTTGAATGTGATTATGGTCTATCCTAAATATGTGCGTTGCAGGTTGATTGGGACGCACTTCTTTCAACGTTTGCAACGTTTATCAGTTCTGTGGCGCCATGGGTATACACCGTATGAGGGATTGAAGCCTGCACCTTGGGACTTGCCTCGTGCGTGCATGATGCACTTCCCAAAACACTTCATGTTCTCAACGCATTACTTATTGACCTATCAGACCATAATATGTCAGTTATCACATGTTCGTCTGGATGCTTCAAGCCTTCGCAGTGCAGATTTAGGTGTGCTCAGTTTGCAAATGTAAGTGTGCAAGCATGCTCCATTTTGTCGTCCTTTTTTCTTACAAATCTTGTAGCGAGCATTCTAATGCGAGGATTGACATGTCAGTATTTCCAGGACCAGCACCATGCATCACCTCTTTCATTTGAAGCCGTAGTCTCGCCTCGCCTGAGAACCAAAGCGGGTATTTTCCACTCCGTTTGGTTCACGCAGCAGCCGAATCAAAATTTGGGCGTGACCGAGCTGATTACTGCAGGATTTCGTCGCAGGACTTCACTGGAGACTCGATCGCATTGGTCGCAGGCTTCACATCAGACTTTCCAGTCGCATTAGTCGTAGGACTGACGAAACAGACCTGGTCGCAGGACTGACAAAACAAGCTTAGTCTGGGTCCGGTCGCGAGCTCGACCCACTTGACCCGCACATCGACCTGCGTCAATGCGGACCTCCTAAGAACGTCGGAACCTCGTAATCCCATCGTAGGCGTGAGTCCATCCGCCGCCTCTTACTGATGGTTCTGAGGCGCCTCGGACTTAAGACTCCGCCACACCTAGGCCCTTTAGGATGGTGCCTTCGCCTCGTGCAGTTCGTGCGACGTTCGTATGCCTTTCGCTGAATCTCACCCTGTGCAATGTCTTCACCGGACGCTACTATACCGCAACGAATTTCGCCCCTCCCGCAACTCGCAATCGGGAGGGTGAATCGCCAGAGGCGACAGCGGGGTTCGTGCTGCCGAGCTCGGCGCGCAGCTGCGACGAGGATGAGAGGACCAACGGAGCCAAGGGTTTGCTTCCTTCTTTGGAAAAGCTCACATGGTGCGATTTGCAAACGCTCAGTCACATGGGTCTTATTGTTCGCTGTCGTTGGCGCATGGATTTCGAGACGACTTAAAATCCGTCAGGAGCCCATTCAGCTCATTCTTCCTCTAGACTTCGTCTTATGTCCTGGTACTTCTCCTCCGCTTTTGTCGCTCTGAATTGCTTCTGGTTGGGCTCACCATCGTGGAATTCTAACTCCTTTCTCACCATTATACTTGACCCGCACGTCATCCCCAGGAATCCGTCTTTATGTGACTGGGAGGTGCATTTGCTCGCGTCAGTGCCAGCTCAGCAACTGACAACAAATGACCGTCGTCAACGCGTGGATAATCACATATGCCTTCTTCCATTCACTAAAAAAGGTGCAGGCATGCATGAACAGTTTTCACAAAACATCCCGTAACGTTCCCTTTCTGCCTTCCCACTCCGTCTGGCTCCCTTTAATTCTCACCTGCGTAACTTTTTCTTTGAGATCCCCCCCACTTTTCCCTGCCACAGGAACTAAGCTGTTCAAGCTCCTTCCTCCGCCTCCCCCCTCCTCGCCTCCTCCACCCTCCTGTGATCTCCCCTCCCTTGTGCGAGGGGGGAAGCCGCTGCTGGGGGGAGCAGATCTGTGCGCCCTGATGCGCCTGGATGGGGGAGGGGGAGAAGGAAGAACCGCTGGGGGAGGCACTGGGGGAAGCTTGGAAAATGTAGGGCGGGCAAGGAGTGGAGCGGCAGAGGAGAAGTTGACAGTTGAAAAAAACAGAAGCGGGTTGGAAGAGGCACCGGGTATCACGAGAACGAGAATAGAGAGGCAGGCGACGCAGAAACAAGAGAGGAAAGCAGAGGCAGAGAGGAAGAAGAGTGAGGAGGGTAATGAGGAGACGAAAGAGGAGAGGCTGAAGCGGATAATGAGGCAGCAGGAGCAGAAGGCAGAGGCGGACAAGCAGCAGAGGCAGACAAGAGCGAAGCAAGGGCTGGGCAGTGGGGCTCAGGGCTTGAGAGCGGATCCCGCGCACCACTTGGTGCTCGGCAGAGCGTTTACTGCGGTAAGATGAGACGGTGCTACTTTGATTTGGTTGCGAGTCGAAAGGCGGAGAGAAGGGTATGAAGGAGCTCTGCATTGTGAGGCTGGCGGACGTTTTTGTTCAGGAAACAAAAGGAATATACCTGAAGAGTGCAGGAGTGGCTTCAGCTCACATGTACACCCTGTACTATGCTTTGCTTCACCTTTTCATGACATTGTCTCTACCTCCCCCTTCATCCGTTCTCGACCCAACAGTTACGGCAGGGAAGCTACTCGGAAGCTGCTCTTGAATTCAGCAAGGTGAGCAGAAGTGACCGGGGCTTTAAGCGAGCATTATTGCTTTTTTCTTCATTGGTGGTTCGTTAAGGGAGGGATGGGAAGCTTTGCTCCTTCCAGCTCCTCCTCGCTATCTGTATTGACAGCCCACCCCTTCTCCATTATCCCCTGCTGGCAGCTTGAAAAAGTGGATCATCCCGAGGTGCAACAGCACGTGCTGTTGGGGCTTGAGACGCTGCAAAACGTCTCATCACTTGGGTTCACATCCCCCACTCCTTTTTCTCCCCTCTCACCACTCGCTCCCCCTGGCAGCTGGACAGAGTGGATCATCCCGAGGTGCAGCAGCACGTGCTGTTGGGCCGAGGCATCGCCAACACTTTCCTGGGCCATAAGGAGAAGGCACTAAAGGATCTCACCCGGGTAAGCAGCTTCACACTTCTGGGGCACACGGATAAGGCTTCTCTCATTGACCTGACCAACTCGAGGGGCTTCCAATGGTGGCTAAGTCATCTTTAGGGATAACTTGGCTGATTGCGCTGTCCAATTTTAAATCTTCCGCACCCCTCTCAGCACAATACGTTGCCCACGTGTCACAACTTTTTGGTGACTGCAGGCTCAGCTGCTGCCCTCTTCCCTGCTTACACTTCTCTGCATCTCTTGAAACCCTTTCCCTCCTCCTCCACGCTTCCGCCTCCCCACGGTCCCACCCTCCCTCAGGGCACAGAGCACTACCCACATGTGGCGGACTTCTGGCGGCGCCGGGCGCACCTGCTGGCGGCCATGGGGAGGCAGGCAGACGCCCTTAGCGACTACTCTCGTGCTCTAGAACTCGAGCCTAACCACCCTGAGACAATTCAGGAAAGAGGTGAGGGGTGTTTGAGTTGACTCAAGCATCGGCTACTCCCACGCTCTGCACCTCGAGCCACACCACCTTGAGAGATTGCAGAGGTGACCATGAGGGAGTGTCATGCCAGTCTTGCTTGAGATTTGAAGATCAATGTTTCCGCTTTGGGCTGTACGTTTCCCATTCTGAGGGCATTTCACTCTGAGTTCAGTCATCAACTCAACAGCGACGAAACCAGCAGACATCCTAACACACAGTCGCCCTAAAAGAATGCTATGCTCTGCTGCTCCCTCCGTACCGTGTGCCTTCAGGAGTGCTGGCCTTCCAGGCGGGTGACTTCTGGACGGCAATCAGTGACCTCACTGCCGCACTCAAGCGCCAGCCCAAGGACCCCATGCTCATCCGTGCCGTGGTGAGTTCTGAGATGGCTTGATAGTTGCTTTAGCACGCACCTCATTTAGGACGCCAATCAGCCTCCTTGCTGCGTCACTCAAGCGCCAGCCCAAGGACCCCATGCTCATCCGTGCTGTGGTGAGTTCTGACTTCTGAGGCACCTCAACCGTCACCTTATGCAGACCATGAGTGACCATGAGCATGAGCGACCTCACTGCCGCACTCAAGCGCCAACCCAAGGACCCCATGCTCATCCGTGCTGTGGTGAGTTTTGAGATGGCTCAAAAGTGGCAGTTTCACACACCTCATAGCACCGCAATCAGAGCACCAGGCCAAACACACCTTTGACTCGTCGACTCAAACTCATCCCCTTCCCTCCCCTCCCCTTCCCTCAATCAGGCCCTAAGCTATGGAGGAGCGGGTCAGTAGAGGGACGCGGATGGAGGAGGCAGTGAGGCAGCACCCACGGGGTGGTTCTGCTATGGAGTGACAAGGGCTGGTCACATAGTGTAAAATTGGAAGCCTGCGGTACTTTTTTTGGTCTCTTCAAGCTCCCTCCTTCCCTCTCCTCCCCGCTTCGTTCAGGCCTTAAGTTATGGAGGAGCAGGGCAGTGGAGAGACGCGGTTGAGGTGATGGAGGAGGCAGTGAGGCGGCACCCACGAGTGGCGCTGCTGTGGAGTGACAAGGGCCGCGCGCACAAGGAGCTGGGCCAGGCGGACCTTGCAGTGGCTGCACTGCACAAGGCGCTTGCGCTGGAAGAGTGAGTCGAGGTGGGGTGACCAGGTAGGTGTGTGTGTGAAGGCAGATCTTTGAGTCGACTCGGATGTAAAACATTTGGGCCAGGTGGACCTTGCAGTGGATGCACTGCACAAGGCACTCGCGCTGGAAGAGTGGGTTGAAAGGGGGGTGACCTGGTGGGTGACAGCAGAGTGTCAGAGGCAGCAAGATTGTTGGCAGGCAAAGGCACTGTGCACAGGGGGGTGGGGGGTGAGGAGGATGTGTGTGGGTGGAGGGGGCTGAGAACATATGCTGTTTGTGTCTACACTAACGCTGTTTGTGTATGTCGTCCCGTGTGTCTGTGTTCCTGTGTCTTCTTGTTGTATTTGAGCATGCATGTATGATGGCCGCGTGCATGTGTGCCTGTCTGTGGATGCGTGTGTGTGTGCATGTTTGCATGTTGGGATGTGTGCATGTCCGACACATGTGCATGCATGCATTTTCACATGCATGCAACTTGTATGGGTGTATTGGTGCATTGGTGCATGAGTGCGGTGAGTGCAGGTCACCAGAGGCATATCTACGGCTGGGCCTTCAGTTGCAGAGCATTGGGGACCACAGGTGAGACTGTTTACACAAGCCGGACCACGGGAGGGTTGGGCCAGCTCAAGGAAGGGGGTGGGGAAGGGGAGGGGGAGGGGGAGGGGGGAAGGGGGAGGGAGGGAGAGGGGGGGGGGGGGGATGGGGGAAACGGGGAATCACAAGGGTCTTCTACATTCCTGGTCTATAACCTCTCTCTGTTATCCTCTTCCCCCCCTTCCTTCCCACCACAGCTTCTTCTTCCCCTCCCATTATTCTTCCGGCCCACTTCCCCACTCCTTCCGTTTTCCCCTTGTTTTCATCTCAGCTTCGTTTCACACCCTTTCCTCGCATCATTTGTCTGCCTATGCGTATCCTCTCTCCCCTCATCCCTCATCAGAAGCGTCATCAAGTGCCACCTGCAAGGTGTGCTGTGAGTTGACTCTAACACGTCCGTCTGCCTGTGTGCATCCTCTCTTCCTTTGCCCCTTTAGAGACGCCATCAAGTACGCCCACAAGGGGCTGAAGCTCAAGCCAATGGACATTGAGCTCAACTACCTGGAAGCTTCCTCGCTGCATGCAGTTGGGGACTACAATGCTGCAGTAAGATTTGCCTAGTATTTTCATTCATTCCCATGGGTTCGAGTTGCTTTAGCATGGCATGGGTGGTTAGTCATGGCTGTCATCTCATGGGTGCTGAGAAACAGGATCCAGCATGGATTCAGATCGCGTTTTCCGTGCAATTCACGGGTTCGTATCGCTTTTACACATGACTATCATGAATATTGAACTGAACTTGCCACCTTCTTAACCCGCCTACTCCATTTCCTTCCCCTCCTCAACCCCCCACCTCCCCTCATTTTCCCCGCCCCAACACGGTATGCATCCGCGCTATTGGTTGCTGCAGATAAAGCAGTACAGTGTGATTCTATCATTGCCTGCTCAAGCAGCCAGCGAGTATGCGCAGGTCCAGCAGTCCTTGGCCTTCTATCAGGTGGGGCCCCCCATGATTTTTCCACCCCTCCTTGCTGCCACTCCCTCCCTTCTTCCCTCCCTCTCTCTTTTCTCTTGTTGTCGAATCCTTCACAGCTTCTTCAATACCCTCATGGTTTCTCCCAGCACACCACACACCTTCCACCGCCCCTTACATGCAAAATAACCTCCCTCGTTTCCTCTCTCTTTGCCCATCCTCAGAGGGACATTGCCACATACACATGGACCAAGCTCGCCCGCCCTTTCCTGGACTTCCAAATCGACCGAGACCTGGATGTCAACTTCAAGGCACTTACCGCCCTTACGTGCTCCAATCCAAAAACTCGCATCCCTGTCGCATGAGTGCTACATTGATGTTCTTGTCTTGCGTTCCTGTCTGTCCCTCTCCCTTCCCTTACAACATCCCCCTCCCCCTCCTCTTTCCCTTTGTTTGCCATCCTCCCACCATGGTCCGTATCTGCTCTCTTTCCTCCTTCCAATTCATCCCTTCTCTTTTTTCCTCAACTCCCCTCCCCTCCCCGGCATCTACAGGAGGCTTGGATTCGCCGACTACCACCCACAGTGTTGCCCCGCACCTACCGCCCCCTAGACCTCCCCCCAGGCGCCAGGAGCAAAGGCAAATCTTCTGGCCTACCTGAGCTGTCAGAGGGGGCCCTTGAGCTTATCGCCAGGGCGGATGAGATCGGGAAGCGGACGCAGTACTTTCTGGACGGCTTCATGCCCAACAAGCGCCAGGTGAGCTGATCATCTAGTCCGCCTGGATTGAACAGGCTGGTTTTCGTGCTGCGTTACAACGGTGGAAAGGGTAGAGGGAGGATAGGCTGAAGCACTACCTGGTTGAAAGGGGCACGTTGTCTGTGCACATTCTAATGTCAGCGCTCTTTCTGCCCTCTCCTTCCTGCCGTCTGTCTGCCCTGATCCTATCCTCCTGCAGTTCCGCATGGCAGGGCTGGCAGCTCTAGACGTAATGCAGCAGGTGAGACCCGTTCATTCCCGCCTGTCCTTCCCTTTCCTTTTCCCTTGCTCTCTAGCAACTTCTGTCGACCACCATCCCCCCAGTTTATCCTCGCTTTCCCCCTCAACCACTCCCCATTCGCTTCCTTCTTCCCTCCCTTCTTACAATTGTATGGCATGCCAGGTTCGGACTGCATGGGAGGAGATGGCACAGGAGGGCGAAGAAGGCGAGGAAGGAGAGGGAGGAGCAGTAGAAAGAGGGGAAGAGAAGGAGCGAGGGCGTGAGGATGATGATGGGTCCATGACCAGTCCTCAGGGAACGAGCCCAAAGTCGGCACAATCCAGGCGAAGAACAAGCAAGAGGGGAAAGATGGAAAGAAGGGCTTTCACGGACTCGTTCTACAAGCTGACGCGAGGAGGCAGCCGGAAGGGAGAGGAGGGCGCTAAAGGAGGGTTGAAGGGGCGTGCAGGCGGGAAGGCGGGAGGGCGGCTGATGTCGGGTTGGAGGGACGTGTTCAATGTGATTGTGCCGTGGAGGCAGATAGGCGAGCCCACTGACCTGGTGGCCTGGATCGACCTGCTGGAGTGAGTATACCGACTCTTGGGACGTCTCAAAAGGGGGTTTTGATTGAAGGGGTGTGGATGCAGGAAGGGGGAAGGGAATGGGGGAGAGAAGTGGGGAGGGAAGGTGGGAGAGAGCAGCTGATGTCAAGCTGGAGGGACGTGTTTAATGTGATTGTTGTGCCGTGGAGGCAGATAGGCGAGCCCACTGACTTTGTGGCCTGGATCGACCTGCTGGAGTGAGTTTAGCTGTGTGCGATGCAAGCGACCTTAGTACTCACCACCAGTTTGTCTGATTCCGAGGTTGTGGGCGTGGGAAGCGTTTTTGACTGCCTGCCTGTTCGTCTGTGTTGGTGTGTGCTGCGAGCAGGAATGAGATCGAGAGGGGGTATGGCGGCCTGACAGCTCTTCAGGTGGGCCAGATGCAGAACGTCAAGTACTACCCACTCACGGACAGGTGAGGCCCAACCGAGCCCCAATCTGACGATGGTATAAGGGACAGGGTGAGATTCTTGAGGCACCTCAAAAGTCGGCCAGATGCAGAACGTCAAGTACTACCCACTCACGGACAGGTGAGGCTCAACAAAGCCCCCGTATGACGGTTGTGTTGATTCGAAAGCCACCACATCAAACAATTCGTGGTCCAGTGGGACTTAGCTTAGCTCTGAAAAGTGTGACTCTCTGTTATTAATTTCCCAGCACATCCCTGTTGCCATCACGCAATTTTCAGCGCATTGTGTCTACAAATTGTGTATCTCCTGTCCCACATGCCACCTGTCTCCCATCCGATGGACCAATCAGAACGTTGGAGGTGGTGAAGCAGCGGCTGCTGGAAGCAGAAGAAGCTTTCAACGCAACGGGCATGACCATGAGCTCTAAGAGCGTGCATGGGCTCATGGTATGGGATGGGGCACGTTAGGTGCAAACTCATGGAATGGGATGGGATGGGACTTGCTATAGCAGGAACTCATAGTCTGCTCTTTTAGGCGCCAAAAAATTATCTTCTCAATGAGGCAGGCATGACCATGAGCTCTAGGAGCGTGCACGGGCTCATGGTAGGGGATGGGGCACGTCAGGTGCAAACTCATGGTTTGGGATGGGATGGGACTTGCTATAGCTGGAACTCATAGTATGCTCTGTTAGGCGCCAAAAAAATCATCTCATCTCAATGCGGCGGGCATGACCATGAGCTCTAAGAGCTTGCACGGGCTCATGGTATGGGTTGGGATGGGTCATGCTATGGTGCGAACTCATGGTATGGTATGGTATGGTGTGGATTCATGATATGTGTGGTTTCATGGTTTCCATTCCACTGTGTTGCGCTTGCCTATCTACTTCCTCCACCTTACTTTCCTTGCGGCTTCTCTCCCTCCCCCCCTCTGCTTTCTCTCCACCCCTATTCCAGGGTGCAGCCCTGGGAGGCAAGTTCAGCATTCCAAAGGCCATCTATGGTGAAAAGGTGAGCCATAAGGGTTATTGATGAGAACTGAAGGTGTGAGGTGGTGTGCTGATGTAGGAGTGGGATAAGGGGGTGTGACGCAATCGAGTGTGGAATGTGGCGGTTGTATCTTCAATGTATTCTATTCACAACATGGCACTTCTGCACAGGAATTTACATTCTTCTGCTGCTGTCATTTCTTTCCCTGCACGATGCCACCAGATCAAGCAGGCAGAGACGCTGCAGGAGCTCCATGCAGTTGTGGGCTGCGATTTCTTCATCAACTCGCAGTGCTTCAGCGAAGCCATTCCAGGGTAAGTAAGAGCAGTGGCGCAGTGTAGCGTTTATATTGTGCGTAAGTTCTGGTGGCTATGGCCGATGGGTGTCTCGTTGTGTTGGCTATGCTAATGGTCATGGTGATGTGCTATTTTGGAGAATGTTAACGGAAATGCTGTGGAAAACACCTATGCGCTAGTCAATGTTGCTTCAACGTTGTTTCTTGCTGTCACCATTTGTAGCTAATCAATCAATCCATTTCCGTTTTTTTTTTCTTTCTTCCTTTACAATTTCCCGTCTTCTCTCTCTGTCTTCCTCTCCCTCCCTGCACGTCTCTTCCACGTCCCATCTCCCTCCCGTTGCCTTTATGGCTCCTGCCTCCTCTATGTTCCAGCAAAGCTATTCTTGGGACAGAATTCTCCATTGTCGCATCGTGAGTGGGGCACTTGCCTTTCATTGTTACTTATCCTGTGGTCTTGCATCTTCCCTGCCTCTGGGGCTTTACCTGTGCTTACAGTTCTCACTCGTTTTCTTCATTTTCCTCTGCCTGCCTGCGTGTGCCAATGAACTTTTCGTCTTTCTGCATCTGCTGCCCCCACCCTCCACTCCCTCCCCATTTTCTTCCTCTTCGCCCACCACTGCATCTATATCGGAGTCACTTCTGAGAATTTCAAGAAAGAACGTCTTCGTTAAACGCCGCTGCATCTGCTGCCATCCTCCCTTCCTCTCCCTGTCCATTCCTACAGCGCTCGGTCGTTTGACTTTGCCATTCGCACGTCAGTGGACCGGCCGCGATGGAAGCACCTAGACTTGGAGCTCACAGCAGCATGGGAGGTGCGTGTGCACTGACAATGCTAGCCGGGCGCCATGGTGCTAGCCGGGCGCCATGGTGCTAGCCGGGCGCCATGGTGCTAGCCGGGCGTTTCTTAGCTGACATCTCCACCCTGTGGTGCTTGTTCCGAACATTTACCAGTGCTGCGCAGCACAGGTGCTCTGGTAACTCCCTTCTTGCATTGTGACACCTCTGGCCAGTCCCAGTGTGTGGCAGTGTTGCATGCACTGATGCCTCTAATTTCCCGTCCTCCCTCCCACCAGGCGCTGTGTGCGGCAGTGCTGGACGCACACACAGAGGCAGCGGACCAGCATCGCTACCGCCAGAGGATTCAAGACGCCATCCTCCGCGTGGGGTACTTCTGGTCAGTACGGCACACTGTGCATGGCTATTCTTGCCCGGAGAGTGGGGTTACACCATTCTCTGAATGCTTGGTTCGGGGTATCTCTGCTGCATTTTGGCCTCAGTTGCGTTTGACTGGTGAACTTTCTGTTGCCTGCAGGTATCAGTTCATGCCTCTCACTAGAGGATCTGCCATGGTGGGACTGATCTCCATTCTGGGTCTGTCCCTGGCTGCTGACATGGAAACCACTGCTTTCATCCCTGAGGGAGTACAGGTATGTGAACACATGGGGCAAGATGTCCGTGTTCTAGAGATCGTTCCTCGCATTCCATTGTTCGTCACATTTGATTGTTCTTTACTGTACAGTAATTATGGCGCATCGCAATTTTCCGCATTGCAGGTTGATTGGGAAGCGCTGCTTTCTCCTACGTTTGCCAAGTTCAATTATTCAGTGGCGCCATGGCTATATAAGGGTGTGAAGCGTGCACCTTGGGATTTGCCCCTAGTGCGTGATGCACTTCCCACAACCCATCATGTTTTCAGTGCTCTCAGCAATTAATATTGACTTGACAGGCATTTACATGTACGGTATTTGTTTCAATGCTTCAATCCGTGGCAGTGCAGATTCTGTAGTAAATATGAATGAATTGCTGTTGGCTCAGGTTTACAAATGAAAGCATGCATCAACAATCACCCACCGCTTCCAACTAATAACGAGATTTCCACGACATGGTGCCGGAAAACGGCTTTTCCCTCCAGACGGTTGACGTGACGGCCAACTCAAATTCGAATCCGCGGTCTGACACTTGCACAAGATCCGAGCCAATAGTGTTGCTTCCTGACAGCAAACCTTACCTCACCATCACCACCCCATCCAACGCCGTAGATGTCAGAAGCACCTCCGTCGCGAAAACACGGTAACATGATCTCCACAGCGGAGTAAGGTGCCTTTCCAACGCTGGCGAAAACTTTAATCCACTCGCCAGAGCTTCGGACGTCCTTCGCGACTCCCCGCCGTTCAGCGCACCTCCTCCGCCAACTTCCCAAAGCTTCCCGCCTTGTCAGCGCAAATTTCCCGCAACCAGACTCTGCAACGGCGTTCCCCGCCTTGGGGTTGCACCAGGGAAGGGTTCATGGCGACTTGGCTCTTCACTTCCCTTACCTCACATCCCTTCCTTTTGGCTCCCCACTCCTCTCCTCTTCGCTCCACCCCTCTCCTTTCCTCTCCACCCCTCTCCTCTCCTCTCCACCCTTCTCCTCTCCTCTTCACCCCTCTCCTCTCCTCTCCTTCGCTGGATCATTCCCTCCGCCTCGTGGGTCGTGACTCGTGAATCTGCTGGAACTCACTTCCACTCACCTCACATTCCCTTCCATTCCAGGATCCCTCTCGCTTAGTTGTCCTCCGCGAGTTCTTTCAGGCGCTTGCTTGGTAACGTCCGTCCATGGCCGCTTCGTCAGTAATGACACGTGCGTCAAAAATAGCAATCGCTCGAGACTAAGCTTAGGCTTCTGATAAAACATTCCTGATTAAACGACCGTTAGATCATTTTCTGGACGACCGTCAGATCGATTTCTCTAGAATGTGGAATTATCCCTGAATCATGTTCAACGACGAGCAACTCGTTACTTCCATAGAATTTTGAAGCTAGGTCTCCGTCAACTATGTTTAAGCGAATAATATCCCATCAACTTCGTTTAAGATCAGTTTCTACTTACGTCAGACTCTCGGCCTGAACATTCCTTACACGATGACGTTTCCCGTCGGTCATTCTTCGTCCTACGACGGCGTTCCGTTCTTAGGGTTCTTGTAGGACGATTCGACTTAGCATTTCGCGTTCGCGACGTTGCGACGGAAGAGGAGGAGTTTCATTCCGCTGCAAATGAAGCAAAGAGCATCTTCCCGAGTGCGAATCTCGCAGCATCTTTCTTCAACAAGCACATATTGGTCTCGCAGCATGCATGGTCGCTTCCAGCAACGAATCGTTGACGCAACAGCGACGTTAACAAAGACGCGACGCGACGCGACGCCGTCCGACTACGCTGATGACTACGCTTTCAACAACTAACAGATGCAGTCGCGACGCGACGCCGTCCTTCTACGCGATGACACGCTTCGTGAAGTCGACGCGGATGCTCTTTCCAAGCTCGCGAAATCCCTGATGGCGGAGAAGCGTTTCGTCAACCCGAAAGAGCTTGCGAGGCCGTCGACGCTCGCGACGGTGGGATGACGGAGGAGAAAAGAGCTGCGCGCGACGTCCCTACGAAGCTCGCGACGTCCCTACGAAGCTCGCGACGTCCCTACGAAGCTTACGACGGCCCGATCTTGAAGGAGGAGCCATTATATTGATCGACGGAGGAGCAGCAGCTTCGTGGATTGGACGACGCGAATACGTCGCCGCTCGCGCCGCTACTACTGTGAGTTTTCGTGCAGATCCCAGACGTATGTTCTCAGGAAACGCTCTATTGAAGAGGAGTTGCTATTTTGCTGCTCTCTTGATGCTCGTGTCTCGTTTCCGCTCAGTCTTCTGACGATCGCGTTTCGTTTCCGACGGTCGCATATCTGACGTTCTTGATATCTCACATGTTGCGAATGTCTCTGTCCGTGCAGGAGCGATGCTGCAGTGAACTGGAGCTGGAGCGATGTCTCTTGCCAAGAACATGCTTGCTGGCGTTGCTGCTGGCGAGAGGAGATGGCTGACTGGGCGTGGCGGGGGAGCTGTCAATGACGGGGGTGACGCAGCTGGCGCTACGACGGGACGCGCGGAGCGGGGGGAAGCGTTGGCGAGGAGGAGCGTTGGCGAGGACGAGCGTTGGCGAGGACGAGCGTTGGCGAGGAGGAGCGCTGGCGAGGAGAGGAGCGCTGGCGAGGAGGAGCGTTGGCGAGGACGAGTTGGCGAGGACGAGCGCTGGCGAGGAGAGGAGCGCTGGCGAGGAGAGGAGCGTTGGCGAGGAGAGGAGCGCTGGCGAGGAGAGGAGCGCTGGCGAGGAGAAGCGTTGGCGAGGACGAGCGTTGGCGAGGACGAGCGTTGGCGAGGACGAGCGCTGACGAGGACGAGCGTTGGCGAGGAGAGGAGCGCTGGCGAGGAGAGGAGCGCTGGCGAGGAGAGGAGCGTTGGCGAGGAGAGGAGCGTTGGCGAGGAGGAGCGTTGGCGAGGACGAGCGTTGGCGAGGACGAGCGTTGGCGAGGACGAGCGTTGGCGAGGACGAGCGCTGGCGAGGACGAGCGTTGGCGAGGAGAGGAGCGCTGGCGAGGAGAGGACGAGTGCTGGCGAGGAGAGGACGAGTGCTGGCGAGGAGAGGACGAGTGCTGGCGAGGAGAGGACGAGTGCTGGCGAGGAGAGGACGAGTGCTGGCGAGGAGAGGACGAGTGCTGGCGAGGAGAGGACGAGTGCTGGCGAGGAGAGGACGAGTGCTGGCGAGGAGAGGACGAGTGCTGGCGAGGAGAGGACGAGTGCTGGCGAGGAGAGGACGAGTGCTGGCGAGGAGAGGACGAGTGCTGGCGAGGAGAGGACGAGTGCTGGCGAGGAGAGGACGAGTGCTGGCGAGGAGAGGACGAGTGCTGGCGAGGAGAGGACGAGTGCTGGCGAGGAGAGGACGAGTGCTGGCGAGGAGAGGACGAGTGCTGGCGTGGAGAGGACGAGTGCTGGCGAGGAGAGGACGAGTGCTGGCGAGGAGAGGACGAGTGCTGGCGAGGAGAGGACGAGTGCTGGCGAGGAGAGGACGAGTGCTGGCGAGGAGAGGACGAGTGCTGGCGAGGAGAGGACGAGTGCTGGCGAGGAGAGGACGAGTGCTGGCGAGGAGAGGACGAGTGCTGGCGAGGAGAGGACGAGCGCTGGCGAGGAGAGGACGAGCGCTGGCGAGGAGAGGACGAGCGCTGGCGAGGAGAGGACGAGTGCTGGCGAGGAGAGGACGAGTGCTGGCGAGGAGAGGACGAGCGCTGGCGAGGAGAGGACGAGCGCCTCCCGCGTGGACGAGCGCCTCCCGCGTGAAGTGAGCAGGGGCAAGCTACGAGCTTCTACCTCCCGCGTGCTTCTGCTGGTGCTGTGAAGCGACACCAGCGGTGGCAGCAGCGGTGGGAGAAGGAGAGAGGCCCACAATGACACTACACCTTACAGCAGCAATGGCAGCAGAAGCGAAGACCATCTGTGACACCAGCGGTGGCAGCAGGTGGGAGAAGGAGACACCAGCAATGGCAGCAGCAGCGAAGACCATCTGTGACACCAGCAGTGGCAGCAGAAGCGAAGACCATCTGTGACACCAGCGGTGGGAGCAGGTGGGAGCAGGTCCGCAATGACAGTACAGCTGGCAGCAGAGGCTAACAGCAGAAGGGAAGACCAGCAGTGACACCAGCGGTGGCAGCAGCGGTGGGAGAAGGAAAGAGGCCCGCAATGCCACTACAGCTGACAGCAGCAGTGGCTGGCAGTAGAAGAGAAGACCAGCAGTGACACCAGCGGTGGAAGCAGCGGTGGGAGAAGGAGAGAGGCCCGCAATGCCACTACAGCTGACAGCAGCAGTGGCTGGCAGCAGAATAGAAGACCAGCAGTGACACCAGCGGTGGCAGCAGCGGTGGGAGAAGGAAAGAGGCCCGCAATGCCACTACAGCTGACAGCAGCAGTGGCTGGCAGTAGAAGAGAAGACCAGCAGTGACACCAGCGGTGGAAGCAGCGGTGGGAGAAAGAGAGAGGCCCGCAATGCCACTACAGCTGACAGCAGCAGTGGCTGGCAGCAGAATAGAAGACCAGCAGTGACACCAGCGGTGGCAGCAGCGGTGGGAGAAGGAGAGAGGCCCGCAATGACACTACAGCTGACAGCAGCAGTGGCTGGCAGCAGAAGAGAAGACCAGCAGTGACACCAGCGGTGGCAGCAGCGGTGGTAGAAGGAGAGAGGCCCGCAATGACACTACAGCTGACAGCAGCAGTGGCTGGCAGCAGAAGAGAAGACCAGCAGTGACACCAGCGGTGGCAGCAGCGGTGGGAGAAGGAGAGAGGCCCGCAATGACACTACAGCTGACAGCAGCAGTGGCTGGCAGCAGAAGAGAAGACCAGCAGTGACACCAGCGGTGGCAGCAGCGGTTGGAGAAGGAGAGAGGCCCGCAATGACACTACAGCTGACAGCAGCAGTGGCTGGCAGCAGAAGAGAAGACCAGCAGTGACACCAGCGGTGGCAGCAGCGGTGGGAGCAGCGGTGGCAGCAGAAGGGAAGGCTAGCAGTGGGAGCAGATGCTAGCAGCGAAGGCTAGCAGTGGGAGCAGATGAGAAGAGAAGACCAGTAGTGGGAGCAGACGAGAAGAGAAGACCAGCAGTGGGAGCAGACGAGAAGACCAGTAGTGGGAGCAGATGCTAGCAGGGATGGCTAGCAGTGGGAGCAGATGCTAGCAGCGAAGGCTAGCAGTGGGAGCGGATGAGAAGAGAGGACCAGTAGTGGGAGCAGACGAGAAGAGAAGACCAGCAGTGGGAGCAGACGAGAAGACCAGTAGTGGGAGCAGATGCTAGCAGGGATGGCTAGCAGTGGGAGCAGACGAGAAGAGAAGACCAGCAGTGGGAGCAGACGAGAAGAGAAGACCAGCAGTGGGAGCAGATGCTAGCAGCGAAGGCTAGCAGTGGGAGCAGATGAGAAGAGAAGACCAGTAGTGGGAGCAGACGAGAAGAGAAGACCAGCAGTGGGAGCAGACGAGAAGACCAGTAGTGGGAGCAGATGCTAGCAGGGAGGCTAGCACTGGGAGCAGATGCTAGCAGGGAGGCTAGCAGTGGGAGCAGATGAGAAGAGAAGACCAGTAGTGGGAGCAGACGAGAAGAGAAGACCAGCAGTGGGAGCAGACGAGAAGACCAGTAGTGGGAGCAGATGCTAGCAGGGAGGCTAGCACTGGGAGCAGATGCTAGCAGGGAAGCTCGAAGCTCAAAACTCCGCAAATGGTTAGTTTTGAGTGACATCTCAAAACTCACGCCTCCTCCTTCCTCACTTCAGATTTGCTGCAGTGAGCAAAACTTGGGTTTTGAGAGCAAAACGTCTCAAAACTCACACTTGTTGTGGTTGTTGTTATTGTTATTGTTTTCTCCTGTTGAGCAGCAGAAGGAGGAGCAGCACCTTCTAGTGAGGCGCTTTGACCCCCTGGGGGGCAAAGGATCAACACTAGAGGAGCAGCAAGAGGAGGAGCAGCACCTTCCAGTGAGGCGCTTTGACCCCCTGGGGGGCAAAGGATCAACACACGAGGAGCAGCAAGAGGAGAAGCAGCACCTTCCAGTGAGGCGCTTTGACCCCCTGGGGGGCAAAGGATCAACACACGAGGAGCAGCGGGAGGTGGAGCGGCGCCTTCAAGTGAGGCGCCTTCAATATATAATTTCTGTGCCGCCCCTCTTCTAGGTACAGGGGCAACACCAAGGCGGGAGCAACACGGGGACGCAGCAGCTAGGACCCGTTGTAAGCTGCAGTCTTGTTTGCTTTCTTGTGTCGTCTCATGCCTAATGTTGTTATGTGTGTGTCTTCTTGTCTAAGCCGTCACGAAGACTTCACGACGCCTCCAGCTCCCTCGGTAAGTGCTCTCCAAGTTTCTGCTTTCTGTTTTCCACATGCACTAATGTCGTTGTTGCTTCCCGTTTCAGACAGCCGCGAGACTTCACGACGCCTCCAGCTCCCTCGGTAAGTGCTCTCCAAGTTTCTGCTTTCTGTTTTCCACATGTACTAATGTCGTTGTTGCTTCCCGTTTCAGACAGCCGCGAGACTTCACGACGCCTCCAGCCCCCTCGGTAAGTGCTCTCCAAGTTTCTGCTTTCTGTTTTCTACATGTACTAATGTCGTTGTTGCTTCCCGTTTCAGACAGCCGCGAGACTTCACGACGCCTCCAGCCCCCTCGGTAAGTGCTCTCCAAGTTTCTGCTTTCTGTTTTCTACATGTACTAATGTCGTTGTTGCTTCCCGTTTCAGACAGCCGCGAGACTTCACGACGCCTCCAGCCCCCTCGGTAAGTGCTCTCCAAGTTTCTGCTTTCTGTTTTCCACATGTACTAATGTCGTTGTTGCTTCCCGTTTCAGACAGCCGCGAGACTTCACGACGCCTCCAGCCCCCTCGGTAAGTGCTCTCCAAGTTTCTGCTTTCTGTTTTCCACATGTACTAATGTCGTTGTTGCTTCCCGTTTCAGACAGCCGCGAGACTTCACGACGCCTCCAGCTCCAAGGGAGAAGTTCCAGCATTGGAGCACTCGATCGCGGGTGGAGCAGAGGAGGCGTGGAGGAGAGGAGGCGTGGAGGAGAGGAGGCGTGGAGGAGAGGAGGCGTGGAGGAGAGGAGGCGTGGAGGAGAGGAGGCGCGGAGGAGAGGAGGCGCTAAGGAGAATTCCCTGCCATTGAACTGCCGGTGAGCATCTTCTTTCCTTCCTTCGTTTTCTTGATCCTTTGTTTGTTGCGCTGTTCGCTTGGCTTTGACGTTGAATCAGTTTTTGGCTCTGGGTGCAATCGCTGGGTGCTCATTAGCTTTTCCTTCCTTCCCATTCTGCAGGAGATGCACCTTTGGGGACGGAGCATCAGACGAGGAGGAGCAGTGGAGATGCGTCAGAGGAGGAGGAGCAGAGGAGAGCAGAGCTGCAGTGGCCCCCACCGCTGCTGGCCTTATGGAGGGGGGAAGGCGCCAGTATTGACAGGAGCAAGGTGGAGCTGTTGCTGCCTGCTGCTAATGCCTTGAGCTGTAGCTGCTGCTACCAAGTGATGGGACGGCTACTGCTACCTCCCGCGCGCCTACCTCTCTCCCTTGTGCTGCTGCTGGGGCTACGAAACTGCTGCGTTGGAGGTGGAGAGGTGCTGCTGTGTTGGCAGCAGCAGCGGCAGCAGTGGGACCACCAGCAATACCAGAGAACTGCAGCAGCAACAGGTGCTACCTCCCGCGCTCCTTCCTCCCTCCAGTGTGCTGCTGCTGCTGGTGTGATGTGATAGGATGAGAGGTGAAGTGGAGTGGAGCAGCAAAGGAGATGGCCAGCAACAAAAGGAGAGGCAGCAGCACAAGAGAAGGCCATAGGTGACAGCAGCAGTGGGAGCAGCTGATGCTGCCTCACTCCCGTTTGCTACTGCAGAAGAGCAGAGGAGACGACTGGCAGCTGCTGGGAGCAGAAGAGAAGGCCAGCTGCTATCTCCCTCGCTCCTACCTCCCGCCCATGAGCTGCATCAGAGGAGGGGCAGAGGAGATGCATCAGAGGAGGGGCAGAGGAGATGCATCAGAGGAGGAGGAGCAGCGGAGATGCATCAGAGGAGGAGGAGCAGATGAGATGCATCAGAGGAGGAGGAGATGGAGCATAGGTGGAGCAAAGGAGGTGGAGAAGCAGAGGAGTTGGCTCAGCTGAGGAGCAGCAGAGGAGAGGAAGGAGAGGCACGGAGGAGAGAAGTCAGCAGCCGACGAGTCGGAGCAGCAGAGGAGATGGAGCAGCAGAGGAGAGGAAGGAGAGGCACGGAGGAGAGAAGGAACGGAGGGAAGAAGGCCAAAGGAGCAGAGGAGCAGAGAACGGTGCAGCTGCGATTCCCCCCAACGCTGCTGGCTGCACGGAGGAGAGAAGGCACGGAGGGTAGAAGGCATGGAGGGGATAAGGTACGGAGGGGAGAAGGCACGGCGCGGAGAAGGCACACAGGCACGGCTGTGAAATTGACACCAGCAAGCTGCGAGCTGTTACTGCCTCCCGCATGCTGCTGCTGGTGCTGTGAAGTGATGGGACGGCAGCTGCTACCTTCCTCGCTCCTACCTCCCTCCCGCGCGCTGCTGCTGGTGCTGTGAAGTGATGGTACAGCGAACAGAAGAGAGGCCTGCAGTGGCACCAGCGGTGGCAGCAGCAGTGGGAGCAGAAGAGAGGCCCGCAGTGACATACTGGTTTCAGCAGCCGAGGCAGCAGAAGGGAATGCAAGCAGTGGTATCAGCGGTGGCAGCAGCAGTGGGAGCAGAAGAGAGGCCCGCAGTGACATACTGGTTTCAGCAGCCGAGGCAGCAGAAGGGAATGCAAGCAGTGGTATCAGCGGTGGCAGCAGCAGTGGGAGCAGAAGAGAGGCCCGCAGTGACATACTGGTTTCAGCAGCCGAGGCAGCAGAAGGGAATGCAAGCAGTGGTACCAGCGGTGGCAGCAGCAGTGGGAGCAGAAGAGAGGCCCGCAGTGACATACTGGTTTCAGCAGCCGAGGCAGCAGAAGGGAATGCAAGCAGTGGTACCAGCGGTGGCAGCAGCAGTGGGAGCAGAAGAGAAGGCCACCCTTCTCGTGTGCTACTGCAGAGGAGCAGAGGAGCAGCTGTGGGAGAAATGATGCTGCCTCCCTCCCGTATGCAGAAGAGAAGGCCACTGCAGGAGAGGTGATGAGCAGATGAATAGAGCAGCAGAGAAGGGGCCAGAGTTGGCAGCAGCAAGGTGCGCTCTGTACCTACCTTTAGCTGCCTTGTGCTGCCTCGCTCCTACCTCCCTCCCATGTGCTGCTGCTGCTGTGAAGTGGTGGAGTGGTGCTGCTGCTGGAAGGGGATTGGTGCTGCTGCTGCGTTGGGAGGTGGAGGTGGTGCTGCTGCTGCTGCATTGGAGGTGGCACCCACAGTGACACCAGCGGTGGGAGTAGGGGAGAGGCGTGCGGTGACACCAGCAGTGGCAGCAGCAGTGGAGGGGGAGTGGTGCTGCACTGGAGGGGGAGTGGTGCCGACGTCAAGACATAATGTGCGGACACTAACATTTGAGTCGGCTACAACACTTCACCTCGTAAATTCAGATTCTACCTTCTACGTCATCAGATTTTATGGTTAACATCTCTTTTTATGCGTAAGCAACTCCATAAGCTTGTAATGCCCAGCATTCCATCTCCTCAAACCTTTGACCACCAAAATGAGACTTACCACCATGAGGTTGCTGTGTAACTAAGCTATAACGGCCGATAGCTTAGTTACACAGCATCTTCTTTGTGGTAAGTCCCATTGTGATGGTCAAAGACCAAGGGAGATGGAATACTCGACATTTCCAGCTTTTGGAACTGCTTTCACATTACAAGAGATGTTAACTGCTGAATCTGATGACGTAGTACGTGGAATAAGATTTTACGGGGCTGATGTTCACGGCCTACCTCTCTCCCTTGAGCTGCTGCAAGTGCTACGAAACTGCTGCTTTGGAGGTGGAGAGGTGCTGCTGTGTTGGCAGCAGCAGCAGCGGCAGCAGTGGGACCACCAGCAATACCAGAAACCTGCAGCCCCGACAGGTGCTACCTCCCTCGCTCCTACCTCTCTTCCTTGTGCTGCTGCTGGGGCTACGAAACTGCTGCGTTGGAGGTGGGGAGGTGCTGCTGTGTTGGCAGCAGCAGCGGCAGCAGTGGGACCATCAGCAATACCAGAAACCTGCAGCAGCGACAGGTGTGATGTGATTGGATGAGAGGTGAAGGGGAGTGGAGCAGCAAAGGAGATGGCCAGCAACAAAAGGAGAGGCAGCATCAGAAGAGAAGTCCATTGGTGACACCAGCGGTGGCAGCAGCAGTGGGAGCAGCAGTGGCAGCAGCAGTAGGAGCAGCAGTGGGAGCAGATGATGCTTCCTCACTCCCGCGTGCTACTGCAGAAGAGCAGAGTGTCAGAATATATTTGTGTAACTGCCTGTAGCTGTAGTTTAGTGTAGTTATTATTAACTTTTGGTGGTGCACCTCTTGTTCTTGTTCTCTTGCCTATATGTTCCTTGTTTGCTATAGTGAAACTCTCACTTCTTCTTGCTAAACTCTCTCGACTCCCTTTGGCCTAGGCTACTAAGCCTAGGCCCTACTCCTACTATTCAACATGGTATCAGAGGGCGGCATGTCTGCCGCCTTCCTGTGTATGGGCCCACCACCCGCTTCCGCTGCCGTACTGTCCGCCGCGCGCCCCGTGGTGCGCGGCGGCGAAACCCTAATTTCTGATTGAACACCCTAATTTCTACTCCTGCACACCCTCCCCCCCAGCGGCAGCTGCAGCAGTGGGAATGAAAGGAGGAGGAGGGGAAGGGAAGCACACCACCCATCACCCCCACACCCGCCACCCCCATACCCTCCCCCCCACGGCTGCAGGGAGACGAAGGAGGAGGGGGTGGGCGGGGAGAAAGCCGCAGAGCGGATACAGAGGGTCGGCGCGGGTAGGGCAGGGGCGGCTGCAGCGAGTGCAGGCACGGGGTGAGGCAGAGGCGGCTGCACCGAGTGCAGGAGCGGGGGCGGCTGCTCCAAGGGCAGGCGCTGGGTGGTGCAGGGGCGGCTGCACCGAGTGCTGGCGCGGGTGAGGCAGGGGCACCGTCGCGGGCGCCAGGGGCGGGTCCGCGGCGGCTCAGGGCACCGCCGCGGGCGCCAGGGGCGTGTCTGCGGCGGCTCAGGGCACCGTCGCGGGCGCCAGGGGCGGGTCCGCGGCGGCTCAGGGCACCGTCGCGGGCGCCAGAGGCGGGTCCGCGGCGGCTCAGGTCACCGTCGCGGGCGCCAGGGGCGGGTCCGCGGCGGCTCAAGGCACCGTCGCGGGCGCCAGGGGCGGTTCCGCGGCGGCTCAGGGCACCGTCGCGCACCACGGGGCACGCGACGGGCAGTTCAGGGCACCGTCGCGTGCCACGGGGCGCACGACGGGCAGGGCACCGTCGCGTGCCACGGGGCGCGCGACGGGCAGAAAAGATGTCACGCGCCACCCGGGCGCGGGACAGGACGAAAATCGCCACGCGCCCGAGGCGCGCGACCGGAAAAACAGTAGCGGAAGCGTGAGGCGGGCCCACAGGCCTGGACTTAACAGTCTCTGATTCCATGTCAGAAGTAGTAGGAGTACGGCCTAGGCTTAGTAGCCTAGGCCACAGTAGGACTAGTAACGAGGAGCCAAGTACGAGCTAGGATTGTGTGCAGGAACAGAATTGAGAAGGAATGATTGAACTAGCAAGCAGCAGGATACAAATAGCAAACCCTAAGGGGCTGTACTCACTATAGAGTACCCCACTGCAGGCTACACAAACAACATATTCTGACACAGAGGAGACGACTGGCAACTGCTGGGAGCAGAAGAGAAGGCCAGCTGCTATCTCCCTCGCTCCTACCCCCCGCCCATGAGCTGCATCCGAGGAGGAGGAGCAGACGAGATGCATCAGACGAGGAGGAGGAGATGCATCAGAGGAGGAGGAGCAGAGGAGATGCATCAGAGGAGGAGGAGCAGAGGAGATGCATCAGAGGAGGAGGAGCAGGGGAGATGCATCAGAGGAGGAGGAGCAGAGGACATGCATCAGAGGAGGAGGAGCGAAGAATATGCATCAGAGGAGGAGGAGCAGAGGAGATGCATCAGAGAAGGAGGTGCATCAGAGAAGGAGGTGCATCAGAGAAGGAGGTGCATCAGAGAAGGAGATGCATCAGAGAAGGAGATGCATCAGAGAAGGAGGTGCATCAGAGAAGGAGATGCATCAGAGAAGGAGGTGCATCAGAGAAGGAGATGCATCAGAGAAGGAGGTGCATCAGAGAAGGAGGTGCATCAGAGAAGGAGGAGCAGAGGAGATGAGGAGATGGAGCATCAGAGAAGGAGGTGTATCAGAGGAGGAGGAGCAGAGCAGAGGAGAGAAGGAGATGCATCAGAGGAGAAGGAGATGAAGTATTGGTGGAGCAGAGGAGAGGAGGAGATGGAGCATAGGTGGAGCAGAGGAGGTGGAGAAGCAGAGGAGTTGAGGAGCAGCTGAGGAGCAGCAGAAGAGGAGACGAGGAACAAATGAGCGATGGAGCGAAGAAGCACAGTGGTGGAGTAAATATGTGCTGCCAATGGCGATCCTCTTTCTTGCTGTATGTGTTCTGTTCGTTCAGATGCGTGGTTGCTGCCTTCGTTTCACAAGTCCTTCCTTTCTTGCCTTATTCATGCTCAAAGTCCTTTCTTTCTTGTCGTGTGAGATTGTGTCCTTTCTTAAGATGGGGTGTAAGTGGGGCTATGCACTCATCAGCTCTGTACCTGCCTCCTCCCATTTCACAGCAGCAGAGCAGACGGAGTAGCAGAGGAGACGAGCAGCAGAGGAGAGGCAAAGGAGGTGATGGAGGGAAGTGATGGGACGGCAGCTGTTACCTTCCTCGCTCCTACCTCCCTCTTACGTGCTGCTGCTGGTGCTGTGAAGTGATAGGACAGCGAGCAGAAGAGAGGCCCGCAGTGGGACCAGCGGTGGCAGCAGCAGTGGGAGCAGAAGGGAGGCCCGCAGTGGCAGAAGGGAATGCAAACTGTGGCACCAGCAGTGGCAGTAGAGTCAGCAGAAGAGAAGGCCTCCCTTCCCGTGTGCCACTGCAGAGGAGCAGAGGAGCAGCAGTGGGAGAAAATGATGCTGCCTCCCTCCCGTGTGCTACTGCAGAGGAGCAGAGGGGACGACTGGCAGCTGCTGGGAGGGGAGGCCACTGCAGGAGAGGTGATGAGCAGGTGAATAGAGCAGAGGAGCAGAGAAGGGGCCAGAGTTGGCAGCAGCAAGGTGCAAGCTGTACCTACCTTTTGCTGCCTTGTGCTGCCTCACTCCTACCTCCCTCGCATGTGCTGCTGCTGGTGCTGTGAAGTGGTCAAGTGGTGCTGCACTGGAGGGGTAGTGGTGCTGCAGTGGAGGGGGAGTGGTGCTCCTGTGGAGGGGGAGTGGTGCTGCAGTGGAGGGGGAGTGGTGCTGCAGTGGAGGGGGAGTGGTGCTGCATTGAAGGATCACGGTGGTGGATAACTCTTCACTGCCGACGGTGATTCTCTTTTTCACTTGAGTTGTTTTGTTTGTCGCCTTGGTTTTGCATTTGCTCTGAGTTCCTTCCTGGCACTGGATGCAATCAGTGCCTTGCACTGCACTCATCGTGTCTGATTCATTCTCCTCCCATTTCGCAGAAGGACGAATGGGCGAGGGAGCAGCAGACGAGACGGATCAGCAGTGGAGATGCAGAGGAGACGGCTGCTACAGGCGAGCAGAGCAGACGGCTGCTACAGGCGAGCAGGAAAGGCGGCTGGACTGGCATGAGCGGGCCAGCGAGCTGTACCTACCTTTACCTACCAGTAGCTGTGAAGGGGATGAAGCAGCTGTGAAGGGGACGAAGCAGCTGTGAAGGGGATGAAGCAGCAGCTGCCTCCCTCGCTCCTACCTCCCTCCCGCGTGCCGCTTGCTGGTGCTGTGAAGGGGATGAAGCTGCTGTGAAGGGGATGAAGCTGCTGTGAAGGGGATGAAGCAGCTGCTGCCTCCCTCGCTCGTACCTCCCTCCGCGTACTGCTGCTGGTGCTGTGAAGGGGATGAAGAAGCTGTGAAGGGGATGAAGCGGCTGTGAAGGGGATGAAGCTGCTGTGAAGGGGATGAAGCAGCTGTGAAGGGGATGAAGCAGCTGCTGCCTCCGTTGCTCCTCCCTCCCTCCCGCGTGCTGCTGCTGGTGCTGTGAAGGGGATGAAGAATCTGGGAAGGGGGTGAAAAAGCTGTGAAGGGGATGAAGCAGCTGTGAAGGGGGTGAAGCAGCTGTGAAGGGGATGAAGCAGGTGCTACCTCCCTCGCTCCTACCTCCCTCCCGCGTGCTGCTGCTGGTGCTGTGAAGTGATGGGACGGCGAGCACAAGAGAAGGCCAGCAGTGGCAGCAGCGGTGGCAGCAGCAGTGGGAGCAGAAGAGAGGCCCGCAGTGCCAGCAGAAGGGAATACCAGCAGTGGCACCAGCGGTCAGCAGAAGAGAAGCAGTGAAGACGACTGGCCACACTCCCCGTGTGCTACTCCAGAGGGCTTCGTTTGCTGATGAAGCAGATTGCAAGGAACACAGGTTGCAGCGAAGCAGAGTAGGGGGTGAAGCAGGTTGCAGGGAACACAGGTTGCAGCGAAGCAGGGTAGGGGGTGAAGCAGATTGCAGGGAACACAGGTGCAGCGAAGCAGAGTAGTGGGTGAAGCAGATTGCAGGGAACACAGGTTGCAGCGAAGCAGAGTAGTGGGTGAAGCAGATTGCAGGGAACACAGGTGCAGCGAAGCAGAGTAGTGGGTGAAGCAGATTGCAGGGAACACAGGTTGCAGCGAAGCAGGGTAGGAACACTCTCTTCTCTTGTGAGTTTCGAGAGACGTCTCGAAACTCACACTCAAAACTCTCCCTTCCTCCTCACCTGCCCCTGGGCAGTATCCAGTGTCCTTTTGTGTTCTGTCTCCCCCCCAACAGGGTCGCATAATAATTCTCACATGCCCCTGGGCAATACCCAGTATCCTTTTGTGTTCTGTCTCCCCCCCCCAACAGGGTCACATAATAATTTTCACCTGCCCCTGGGCAGTATCCAGTGTCCTTTTGTGTTCTGTCTACCCCCCCAACAGGGTCACAGACTACATAATAATTCTCACCTGCCCCTGGGCAGTATCCAGTATCCTTTTGTGTTCTGTCTCCCCCTCCAACAGGGTCCCGAGCGATGGTTCCCACCTCACCGCGGTGCTTGGGTGTAACGTTGGGAGCTTGCTCCTGGCGGCCAAGAGGAACCCCCCATGCATACCTACAGTGCATGGGTAGTACAATAGTACGATTAATTAATTATTTTCATACCTAGTGGACTATCAGTATCTAGTTCTCAATTAATAGACATGGAACTTTAGTAGACACCTTATACAACTGCTAGTAGATATAAGACTTTCTAGTAATTATGGAACTTCCTAGTGGTAGATGTAATACTTTCTAGTCGCTGTAGAACGTTCTGGTAGATTTTGAAATTTATAGTAGAGCTCACATACCGGTATAATTAATGATCAGTATGGATTTTCGTATTGTAAAGCAATTGTGCCCTTTCTTTCCACAAAACGCGCCGCGTTTCAGACACGCCAGAGTGAATGCGAGATCTCTGTCACTATAGCAAAATCGTTACGATTTGGAAGGTCTGTTAGAGGCTTTTCGTAAACGCCCCGCCATGCCTTGTCGGTGCTCATCTCCTCTCCGCGCACATTCTCATAAAATGAATTCATCGCGAGTATACAGATTCGCGCCGTAGTCACCGCTCCATGGGTTATCCTCGTTACAGGGATACACGCTGACGTCGGTGCGGACTCGTTACAAGAGTGCGACGCGGAAGCCGCTTGCGCGGCGATGGCAGCGAGAAAGGGCTCACGCTGCTGGTCGTCGGACGATACCGTCTGACTTGACGCTGCCGGTGAACGAATTCGTAAGATTCGGAAATATCAACGCTCGAGGTCTGGCCGTTTAAGAGTTATAGCGACGCGCGATTCTCGCCGGTTTTAGAAGCGCAATATCGGATCTCCGCTGTGAATCAACTAGGTTACGATGTTGCTGGCACATACCATTGGCACATGAATGCTAATCCATGTTAGAAATTGTTTTCCACGTTAGAAACGCCTCTCCCTTTCCCCCCTCTTCCTCCCCTCTCCCCCGCTCCCCTCCTCCCCTCCCCTCCTCCCATCCCCTTCCTCCCCCCCCCCTGCTTTTGCAGTATCCCCCGTTCTTTTCCTCCTCCCCTCGTGCGCGTAACGCTTCTCGCGCCCATCAACGGCGCGTTCACCTCCCTGCCGCCCGTCACGCGCCCGTCCTCACGCGCCGCGCCAGCGTCATGCACCGCGTGCTCGCCTTCCACACTCTCGGCAGAACTACCGGCAGGCTAACTGGTGCGTGCATGCTGTGCTGGTAGTGTGACTCTTTCCATCCCCCGCCCCAAAATCCTCCCTCTCTTCAGCCCCTCCTTCTCTCCCGACCCCAGCCACTCCCTCTCTTTCCATCCCCCGCCCCAAAATCCTCCCTCTCTTCAGCGCTGAACCTCCTTTATCCCCCACTCCGCCCCACTTCCTCTCGTGTGCATGCAGTTCACAAAAGGGTTACAATGTTGCTCTACATGCTCAAACATACTACTGGCACACGGAATGCTAAACATCAGAGGCACGTGTTTTAGGGTACCATGTCTACCATGTTACAATGTTTCTACGTTACAATGTTACAATGTTTACACCACGCCTTAAGTTCCTCCCCTCTCTCCCCCCTTCCTTCCTCCTCCCCGCCCCTTCATTTCCCCCTTTCCACTACTTTTGCAATATTCCCCATGCGTTTTCCCGCTCCCGTCTGTGCAAGTCTGTGGGCCTGTGTGGATTGTTCTCATTGCACACATACTGCTAAAGAAAGAGGAAACAATCGTTTGAAGGTTTCCTCCCTGCAATCACAGAATCTCTCGCAAAAGCCACAAACGCTCATCTCCTCACCGCTTCCCTCTCCCCCATTCCCCCGTCCCCCATCTTTCCCCCACATCCCCCCTGTTCTCCGATGCGTCGTCTCCATTCCTATGCTTGTCTCCCCCCCTGTTCTTATCGCGGATGTGCATGACGCTTCTCTCACCCCCCTGCCGCCCGTCACGCGCCGCTACCTCTCGCGCCGCGCCAGCGTCGTCATGCACCCACTGTGTGCAACCCGCTGAGGGGTCAATGTGACGAATTCTCGCTGCAAATGCAAATGCAAATGCAAATGCAAATGCAAATGCTCTCACAACACTTGGTTGATCCGGCTGGTCCCGCTGCTCACTCAAGAGCAAGCCGCGCCAGGGCTGCTCGCCTTTCACTCTCTCGGCCGAACGCTCACTGGTGCGTGCATGCTGTGAATGAGAATCAGAATGAGTACCCGTGAATGTGATTCGCTCGCACACGTATCGCATTCCTGGTTCCGTTAGGTTAGGACCTCACTCTTTTGCTGTGTGGCAGGTATACATTCACTGGCGCTTTATGCTCCTTCAATCCTCTCTCTCGCGTCTTCCATTTTCTCGCTCCTTCCATTCCTCAGCCCTCACTCTCTCCCCATCTCCGTCCCACAGCCCCTCCCTCTCCCACCGGGCCCGTTCGTCTTGCTCATACTGTTTTCGTCCCGTTGTCCCTTTGTCTATAGGGTGTGGCGAACCATGGGTGCTCGGTGCAAGAGGGGCGGGACACGGAAGAAGGGGCCCAGAAGAAGCGGTACTTTGAGGGCCGCCGGCGCGCCAGCAACATGGACCGCCATGGTGGGGCTTGTTTCCATCCTCGGCCTCTCCGTGGCTGCTGGCCTGGCATGCAAATCACTGCGCTCATCCCCCATGGGGTGCAGCCTGCAGGTAGGCTGAGAAGTGCTCATACTCTAAGCGCCTCAAGAATGGCCTCTCCATGGCGGCTGGCATGCAAACCACTGCGCTCATCCCCCATGGGGTGCAGCCTGCAGGTAGGCTGAGATGGGCTTATACTTCAAGCGCCTCAAGAATGGCCTCTCCATGGCGGCTGGCATGCAAACCACAACGTTTATCCCGCATGGGGTGCAGGTAGGATGAGATGTGCTACTGGGGGCATGGTTGCACTTTAGGCGGGAAAGTGCTTTTCTTTCCCTGCAACCTGCGGTGGGACATGGCACTGTTGGCAGCAAGGAGTGGCTTGAATGCTAGCAAAGGAACAACAACTAAACCAAGAGCGGTTCAGTAAGTTCAGAGGGACAGGACGAACACGTCTCTAAATTTTGACTCTGGTAGTCTGGAGTAGTCTAAGATGGGTCTTCTGCTCTGCAATGATCAGTCACCACACGATTCACACGTATGAGTGTGATGCATGCCTTGGTCACCTCCTCCCTTTTAAACAGGTGGATTGGGAAGCGTTACTCGTGACTCTCACTGCCCCATGGCTCTTCTCCTCTACTCTCACCTTGGAATCAAGCCCCTATCAGAAAGTGTCTTACCCACCACACACCAAATGATTGCGGCATTTTAGTTACCATGGGTAGTACGGTAGTAACGGTACGGTATCCCTGAAGCAAATGGATGAATTATTGCCGCTTACTGTGGCTGTTGTTTGCAGTGCCTATGTTTGTTTTTGTCCTCCAGCATGCACAATTATTTGCACAATTTTACGCATGCATGCATCTCTGCATACTTCCAATTATTCCTTGTTTTCTTAATGCAAGCCTAGCTTCATATACGAGTACACTCAACTTCATGTGGATGCAGAAGTGGTATGAGGAAGTTTGTACTGTACCTAGTGAGCTGCTCACCCGGAGTAGTAGTCCCACCTCCCTCTCTAATTGGCGAGATGATGCGCGACGACGGGGTAACTGTAATTCCTAGTTTCGCTAACTTTGCATTCTAGAACCCCGACCGCGGTGCCGTCGTGCTTCTACTATTTGTCACAACTCCCTTGAGTCTCCTCCCCTTCCCTCTCCTCCCTACTTCCCCCCCCTTTGGCCTGTGGTCCTATTTTTCCAGCCCTCGAGCACCACACATCCAGCGTTGCGGTCTGTCGTGGTGCCACGATGGATTCCTTCTTATCTAGAAGCATCATCCGCCAATCCAACAAGCCCCGAAACGTGACCGATCGAGACCCCACCCCCACCACAAGCCTGGTTCTGAAGGTTCGCACTGAACGTTCACCGTGAACGGCTCTTGAAAAATGAGGCCGCGCGTAGTATTTATTCTTGCATCAAACCGTCACCTCATTCAACAGCCACAGCTTCGCAACCCTCGGTGAACTCCTCCCCATACCCGTCCAACGCGTCTCTTTGCTCCGAGCCTCTCCGAGCGAGCCATGGCCGCGTTCAGGCCGTCGCTTCTGGCCGTTGTGCTGCTTGCCCTAGCGGCGTGTGCGTGCGACGCGCAGTACCTCGGCCGGCGAGTCGGTAAGCGTCCTGGCTCGCCCCCTGGTCCCGTTTCCTAGCGAATGCCTTTTCTTTCGACGCATCCTGTTTGATTTCTTCTTCTTGTTTTGCTGATGCTCTGATTGTGGCGCGTTTCAGGTAAAGTGACGTCAGAGATGCGAGCCTCGCAGGTCACGGGCAGCAGGGGCGACTATAACTCCACGGGCACCGTCGCCCTGGCCTTTTTCAAGTAAGTCCCCGCGACTTGGACGCGTCATTTCTGACACGACCGACGGAGTGCGTTACTTGTCACTCCAAGGGGACCTCTCGCGTCGCGCGCGGCCCGTTCTGCTCTTCTGCCTTGCGCGCCATGCCAGTGCGCCTGGCCTCCTTCCATTCCAAATAGCTCGTTTCGTCGTTACTTTTCCATCCATGAATATCAACTTCTGAATAACCAGACCGCTTTCATCAGCAGTGCTGCCACCGTCACTGCTCCTGCTAATGTGTCGCTCCCTCCCACGGTCATGCCATCATGCAGGTACGGCGAGACCTACAACATTCGCTACTCTGTGCACGTCTGGCGGCTTGACCGCCCCGAGATTCCCAAGAAGGCGACCGTGCACTACGGCACGCGCTTCACCACGGGCCCTGTTCAGATCGAGTTTCCCAGCGACAAATGGGTCAACATGACCAGCAACTACCAGCGCCCCAACCGCCCCAAGCTGTACACTTACGTGATTGCGGGCGTGTGGCACGACGTCGCGAAGGTCAAGGCTGCCAATGGAAAGTCTCTCGAGGTGACCATGAAGGCGATTATCGCAGCGCCGCGGCAGTACTACGCGCTTGTGACGGCCCCTTCCCACCCGGACGGTGCCATTCGCGCCCAGTTTCATCGTTCCCGCTAGCAGCTCTGCTATCGCTTTTGTGGCAACGTGGGCCGTGGCGGTGATGATGTCTGGTATGCATTGGGGATGTGAGTGATGGACCGTTGCGGGCAAGTTATGGGAGTTAATGTGGGTTGTAGAGTGAGTGAGGTGAGAGAGTCTAGCAGCAGGTGCACCAACTGATAGATGCTGCTTAGAACCATAATGTCAGATGGAAATAAAGCTTCAAGGGTTAGATGGAATCACACGTGTTATACATTAAATCAGAGAGCACTTCATTACTGTCATTCAACAAGCATCTTCTGGATGTGAATTTGACTCTGTATTTGCGCAAATGCATGAAGCAAGGTGTAGCCGTGGTTTCTGGTTTCGCAAGGATCATCGCAAATCGCAGTTTCGCAACGCAGCTTCGCAACTCCCAGTCGTTGGTGCCCCTTTTTTGGGTCGCCTCTAGCGGCGCAACTCACCATGGCGCTCCGTTGACGTGTGTGCGAGAGAACAGATATTTTGGGGCGTGCGCCTCTAGCGCGGGTCATCGTGAGTTGTGACGTGATGCCGCTCCACTACAAGGACCCCCTTTGGTCAGACATTTGACAAGACAACCCAATCTACAGACATTTACCTATTCACTCTCTTGTTCTGCGTCTCAACTCAACCATGGCTTCCAAGCCGTTCGTCCTTGTGCTTCTCGTCCTTTTGGCGTGCGCCTCTAGCGCTAGGGGCAAGTGGATCGGTACGTCGTCCCTTCTCGCCTGAACATTTCCGCGAGTGCCGCTTGCATCTTGCCCGTGCGCAGCTTTATTTCTCTTCTTTCTTCTTCCAGCTGGTAGTTCTCGTCACGAGTCGTTCGTTTTGCTTTGGATGTTAATTGCTCGTCGCAGGTCGCGTGTCGACGTTGTTAAATGGTGCGCAAGTCGTGGGCAGCACGGGCGATTTGAAGTCGACGGGCAGCCTGGCACTGGGGCTTTACAGGTGAGTGCTTCAATCTCGCCCCCGCCGTCATCGCCTCCTCGCATCAGTCGCTCGTACCGTCGCATTGGCCACCGTCGCATTGACCGCCGTCGCATTGGCCGTCGTCGCATTGACTGCCGAGCCATTGGCCGTCGTCTCAATGACCAATAATAAACGCTCCTCTGTCGCGCCGCGCGGCGCCTGCGCAGGTTCGGAAAGTCGTACTGGGTGCGCTACTCCGTGAAAGTCTCGCAGGCCGGCAATTCCGCCTTCCCCACCAAGGCCACCGTAAACGCCGGCAAATACGGCGCCAACGGCGCTGTACAGTACGAGCTTCCCACCAACTGGCAGAACCGAACCCTCACCCCGCAGCCCGTCGCCAAGGTCTACAATTACGTGCTGGAAGGCGTGGTGAAAAACGCGGAGAGCATCACCACGTCTTCGGGAAAGACTCTGAGTGTTCTCATGATGGATATTCTCAAGGCGCCGCGCACCTACTACGGGCTCGTCACGTCCCCCTCGTACCCCGACGGCGCCATTCGCGGGCAGCTCCATAAGGGCTGAGCGTGTTGTTGTTTTCGTGACCGCAAATGGTGTGCTTGCAGTGTGTGTTGGTGTTGTAACGAGTCGGCCAGTAGGGGGTTTTAGCTTTGTGTGTGCGATGCAGTAGGATGAGCTAGTAGAGTTGCGCCTGTGACATGGCCGCACCCGTGGCGTCTGCTTCAGCGTGCTTGTAAAGTTTCCTAATAATGCAATAAGCGTGCCTTTGTCGGTTCTCTGGTGTAATTCGGGTGCCATGTGTGTGGTTTGATATAGTGTGATGTTTGTGGCAATACCTGGCTCTCACAAGCATTTGTTTACTAGGTGGAAGGTTTAGCTCCATAACAAACTGCGTAGTCACATAATTTATATCCACCGAGAAAGTCTTTGAAGCGTATTTCCGAGTCCATACCACACTGCCTTGCCACCTGCAACAGTCGCAGTGGTCCCCGCCTCCCTCTTCTGCGAATCCAAAACTCATTGACGAGACGACGGTGGGGAGTAACCAGGATTCGTGCTTTCGCGAACCCTGCATCCTAGAGGCTCAACCATTGTACGGTCGTTTCCATCCACGGTGGTACTATTTGTGGAGGCCCACCCCATCTCGTCTCCACCTTAGGCCTGTGGTATTTTTTTTCGGCGCTGAGCGCCACGCACAGTCAACATTGCGGTTCGTCGTCGTGCGTGCCACGATGGATCCCATCTTATCTACAAGCATCACCCGCCAATCAAACAAGCTCCCCAAGCGTGGCTGCTTGATACACCCTCGCCACACACGTCTCCTCCTGAAGGTTCATTCTGAAAGTTCCCCTGAAGGCTCATCATAGAATAAGGCCGTCCGTATTATATAAACTCACGTTGTCTGAGGCTGATATCTGTCTCATCGTCATTCTGAGACAGATATCAGACCGGCTCCTTATTCAACAGTCACAGCTCTGCAACCCTCGTTGAGCCCCTCCAGGGCCAAGCTAAGGCATTTCCTCAAGCACCCTTTTCTCGTTTCCCTTATTCGGTTCTTCATCTCAACGATGATGGCCTTCAAGCCGCTTCTCGCCCTTGTGCTTCTCGCACTTGCGGCGTGCGCCTGCGCCGATGAGGAAGATTTCGGCCGGAGACTCGGTAAACCGCCCTTTCGCCTCGAACGTTTCCTCAAATGCCACTGGCATGCATCTTGCCGTGCGCTTTTGGCGCTCCTTACTTCAGCTGATATCTGTCGTCATGAGTCGTTCGCCTTGGTTCGCCAATGTTTGGGTTGCGTGTCGCAGGGCGCGCGTCGGCAAGAATGAATGGCGCCCGGGTCGTGCCGCGCAGAACAGGCGACACCAAGTCGACGGGTAATTTCGGTCTGGCGATTTTCAGGTGGGTGCTCTGTTTTGCCTTCACCGGCATTTTTCCCTTCGCCGACATCGCCTCCTCGCATCGCTCGCTCGTACCGTCGCATGTCGTCGCATTCGTCGCCGTCGCAATGACCACCCCGCGTATTCGGCACCGTCGCATTCCCATTCACACGCTCTTCTGTCGCGCGGCGCAGGACGGAAGACATCGTCTTCAACGTGCGTTACTCCGTGCACGTCACGCAGCGCGGCAAGGCCGCCTTCCCCACCCTGGCCTCCGTGAACGTCGGCAGGCACGGCACCAACGGCGCGGTTCAGATCAAGTTTCCCACAAACTGGCAGAACAAAACGGACAACTCGCAGCCCGTGCGCGGCACGAAGATATACAAATACGTGGTCGCGGGGGAGTGGAGGAACGCGTCGGGCATCACAGTGGCGTCGGGGAAGACTCTGGAGAAGGAGATGCGCGCTATTCTCAAGAAGCCCAACGCTTACTATGCGCTCGTCACGTCCCCCTCGCACCCCAACGGCGCCATTCGCGGGCAGCTTTATCGCAGCTGAGAGTGCTCGTCGCGGCAAAGAACGTACTCGCGGTGTGGTGGCTGGTTTCCGCCGTGGCATGCGATGGCGTTCAGTGTTGCGTTGGTTGGGTTGTGTTTTCGCATTGGGTGGGGCGTGTAGTTGGGAGGTGCTGGTAGCATTCTGCCTCTAAAATCTGTGTGTGCTTTTGCCCGTCGTAGCTTTAGCTTGGGGCGGTTGTGGTCGTGTAATAAGACAGATGCTTAAAAAATCTTGTGGGTGAGTGTAGCCTTGTACAGTATACTGGTATGTGCCTGCCACGGTTGTGCGGCTTGTGTTGTGTGGTGTGTGGGATGGGAAGGTTTGGTGTGTGTGTCGCTTATCCCACTGTTGATGTGGTAGTTTGCAGTGTGTGTTCGATTCTATGAGTGTGTGTCAGTTTCATCAGAGCATGCACAGGTGCATATGAGTGGGCTTTCTGCCCCTCCATTCTCATTTCAACCTGACCTGACACCAGCTTGGCTTCATTCACAATACATGAGCGTCATGCACTATTCAGTATCCCTCACCCTCATCCCACTAGCATCGCTCAACGCAGCTATCACGTGCCGTGTCGTGGGGAGCGTGTCTCGCACACTAGGCAGGTGGAACGGCGCTCGTTGTGTCCTCTCAAACAGCCATGGAGTCAAAACCCGCTTGAACTCATCGAAGCTAGTGGCTAGTAGCCCTTCCCAATCCACCTGCCGTGGTCCCATCAGGGGTGGAGTGTGGTGAAGAAGGATACAATGAGTCAGCCAGCAATTCAGATGCAGAAGGGGAGAGGTGAGCAATGGAGGCTCTACCAGCAGCATTAGGAAGCGAGAAGAGAAGAAGAGGTGCCAAAACGCAGCTCAAGCAGCGGCAATCGAATGGAGATTAAGGACAGAGGTGGTACAAGCGTCACCAGACTGGACTACTCACCAGGATATCTCGAGGAACATGCGTTGTGGTTTCCATGTCGGCAGCCATTGAGAGGCTGATGATGGACATCAGACCCACCATGGCTGACCCACGAGACAGCGGCATAAGTTGGAACCTGCGGGTCACAGAGAAGAGAATGTGGACAACTTTTGTTTAGACAGCGAGGTGTGCTGGGTAAATGAGCTGCAGGGACGGCGGCCGCCAATACTAAATGACCGCAAGCATCTGATCCTGGATGCGCTGGCGATACGCATGCACGCGGGCGGCAGGTGGACCTGCCAGTAGTAGGCGATGGCGAGGATCTGATCTTATATGCGCTAGTCAAATCCCTACGGGTCGGCGGCAGGCGGACCCACTAGGCGATTGCAATTATCTGATCCTGGACGCGCTGGCGATATGCCTTTGGGCAGTCTCTGAGAATTCTAATAAAAACACAAAAGGATACCCATGTGGGCGGGCGGGTGTCAGGAAAACCCACCAGTAGTAAGCGATGGCGATGATATGATCCTGGATGCGCTGGCAGTACGTGTGTGGTGATGTGGCCTTGGTGCGGTGGTCCAGTGCGGCCTCCATGAACCCCTGCCACGCCGCTGTGAGCTCCGAGTCAAACGCGTTCCACCGCGTTGCGTCCACCGTGGTGAATGTGTCAAAGTCCACTGCCAACGGGCTGGGGGGGTTGGCGAGTGGGGTGAGGGAGTGTGGCCGGGAAACGGGGGGGGGGCGTGTGATGTGAATGGGAGAGGGCAGAGGAGATGTGCATTCCACCGCGCCGAGTCCACTGTGGTCCACTGTTGGCAGTGTCAAAGTCCACTGCCAACATGCTGGGATGGAGTGGGGTGGAACGATGATGGGGTGGTGATGATGTGATTGGTAGAGGAGAGAGTGAATGGGTAAGGAGAAGAGGGCAAAGGGCTGGATTCGAGTATGCAGATGTATGTATGTGTGCATGTGTGTTGTGTGTATGTGCATGTGTGCATGTGTGCATGTGTGCATGGTGTGACTCACCGTTTTCGTAATCTAAACTCTGTGCCGGCCAAATCTTTCCTGCACAAGAGGGTGGGCGGGGAGGGGCAATAAGTGAGGATTGAGAGCCAGAACAGATGCATGCAGCGGGCAGGGGGTGTAAGGGGAAGGGTGTACATGAGAGCATGAAAGCATCTTGAGCGTGATGTGGTGTGCTGTAGCACGGCAGGCGCACTAACCCTGGGAATGCCCGGCTGTAGCATGGCAGCCGCACGTAAAAGTCCCGACCAATCACGTTGAAGAGCCCCTCGTGATCCTCCGCTGCCTCCAGCTGTTGGAATGTACAGAGAACGTTCACAGAGCATGCTCAGGGAATGTTCAGAGAGCATTGGTAATAGCAATTTAGTCCCAAGGTCAGACCAATGACACGGGGCATGGGGGCACGGCAGGCATGTGAGAGGGTGGTGCCGTTGAGTTGAGAGCACACCTTGGCGCCGAAGGTGGAGCGAGGCACGTCAAAGGGCTGGTGGGTGTTGGTGTCAAACGCCCTCTCTGCCTGCAGCAGGCCCTTTCTCGTGATATTCACTGCCCTGTGATGGGGACGGGGGGAGAGAAGGAAGGGCAGGGAGGGAAGGAAGAGGGCATGGAGGCGAGGGATGGGAGGCGGCATGAACCTAAAAGAAATAATAGCTGCCTTTGTTAATTTTCGGGAGGTTGTCATTAGTCGAATCAAGATCGCCTTGGCGTTAAACTCTCTCTCAGAACGCCACAGACCTTGCCTCGTGATGTTCACTACCCTGTGATGGAAGGGGATGAAGGGATGGAACAGGGGAGCGAAAAGGGTTTTTTTTTTCTTTTCTTCAAAACCAGCCAGGGAATGATGATGTGAGCTAGGACGACACGGCACAAGGCAACTCGCTCAAGACAGACTGGGAGGCCACTCACTTGGGATAGACGGCGAGGTAGCGAGCGGTGCCCATGACCCAGGTGAAGATGGGTGTGTCGGTGCGATACAGCATGTCGGTCGGCCAGCGCTGCCCCTTGGCGAAGGCCTTCCATGCGATGGGCTCCATGGCGTCTGACACCTGCCTCCACGCCACCAGCACCCGGAACACGTGCCTCCAGCTCGTCACCAGGTCAGACCGGTCCAAAATACTCCGCCCACCCCCGCTGCCGCCACCACCGCTGCTGCCACCGCTGCTGCTGCTTTGTCGGCTGCGGCCCGTGCGCTGCCCGCCTTGCCTCTCCTGAAGCGGTTGCTCCAGCTGCCCGCGTTGCCTCTCCTGAAGCGCCTGCTGCAGCTGCTGCTGCCAGTGCTCATCTGCCCCATCCGGGCCGTGGGTGCCGAAGAGCAGCGGGGCGATGCGCATCTGATCCGCTATGAGTAGCAGCGTGCGCCTCACCTGCTGCATCACGTCCAGTGATGCTAGTCCTGCCATGCGCAGCTGTATGTGGGAGGAGGGGGGTGGGAGGGAGACATGTGGGGGATGGGAGAGTTAAAAGGGATAAGCAGCAGTGTGTGCCTCGCCTGCTGCATCACATCCAGGGCTGCCAGCCCTGCCATGCGCAGCTGGAGGGAGGGAGGGAGGAAGAAATCAAGGGATGGGGGAAGGAGAGAAGGGAGTTGGAGGTGAGTGGTAATGGTAATGATAATAATAATGGTAATGGTAGTGATAATGGCAATGGTAATGGCAACGGTAATGGTAATGTTAGTGGTAAAGGTAATGGTAATGGTAATGGTAATGGTAGTGGTAATCGTAATGGTAATGATAATAGTAATGGTAATGACAGAGGTAATGGTAATTGTAATGGTAGTGGTAGTGGTAATGGTAATGGTAATGGTAATGGTAATGGTAATGGCAAAGGTAATTGTAATGGTAATGGTAATGGTAATGGTAATGGTGATAGTAATGGTAATAATAATAGTAATGGTAATAATAATGGCAAAGGTAATGGTAATGGTAATGGTAATGGTAATGGTAATGGTAATGGTAATGGTAATGGTATTAGTAATGGTAGTGGTAATGGTAGTGGTAATGGTAATGGTAATGGCAAAGGTAATTGTAATGATAATAATAATGGTAATAGTAATGGTAATGGTAATGGTAGTGGTAATAGTAATGGTAATGGTAATGGCAAAGGTAATTGTAATGGTAATGGTAATGGTGATGTAGGCGGGCATGTAGCCCTGCTGCAAGCAAGCCTTGCATGCCCAGAGGTTGTCACATAGGTGTGCTAGAGTCGACTCAAGACACGCATCACAACCAGTATCACACTGCCTGTGCAATGTCACGCCACGCCACGCCACGCCACGCCATGCCACGTCATGCCATGCTATGCCATGCCATACCATACCATGCAATACCACACCAAGCCACCATTTCAAGCGCACCTGTTGGGTGTTGAGCAGCATGCCATCGGTGTCGTAGTGCGTGCGAGCACCAATCACGTCCGCCGCTTCCACCAGCTGCACTGCCGCCCTTGAAAGACGTGGCAGGTGCTGCCACGTGGCAGCTTGCAATTGGTCCTCGGGAATTGCCAGCGGCACGAAGCCCTGCAGGTCCTCTGGCTTCCCCCCCGTGGCCCACTTGCCCTGTCACACGTGGCACACGTGGCATGGGTGGCATGGGTGGCATGACAGGGAGGAGAGGGGAGCAGGTGGGAGGAGAGGGGAGGGGGGGAGGGGAGGAGAGGGGAGGAGAGGGGAGGAGAGGAGAGGAGGGGGGAGAGAGTTGAGGGAAGGGGAGGTGAGGGGAGGAGGAGACAATTATGTTGCAAGCTGAAGCTCTTTCACTTGCATGCATTATGCTTGCATGATTGTGCAATGCGTTGCGCTGCAATGAGCGTGGTGGGAAGGCAATGAGTCCGATGGGTGAAGAAAGGAGCCCGTGCTGCCCCCTCACAGATCGCCCCTCACGCCATCCCCAATGCCTCTCCCCCTCTCCCCCTCTCCCCCTCTCCTTCTCCCCGCCCCCCTCTCCTCCCCCATCCCTTGTCTCACCCGCCACTCCTCATCCAGGTCATCGTCGATGCGGAACGCAGAGAAGGGCTGGTCCAAGCGGGAGATGGTGTAGGCCAGCAGGTGGCGCTGGAAGAATGTCCTCTCGCGGTATGTCGTCTGCTCGTTCGGTTGGACGGGTGAGGAGAGCAGCTCATCGTACAGGCGCATCTGGTGGGGTGGGGTGCGGCCAGGGAGGGGAGCACATTGATTGTTGAGTCGTCTAAGAGGAAGCAACGGGTGTAGGCGAGCAAGTGGTGCTGAAGAAAGGTTCTCTTGCGATAGGAGGACTGCTCGCGGATGGCGGGAGACGACAGCAGCTCGTCATACAGCCGCATCTGGTGGGGTGCGGTGGGGTGGGGTGGGGTGGGGTGGGGTGGGGTGGGGCCAGGATGGAGAGTCGAGAAAGTGGCAGACGGTGAGTGCATGGCATGCGTAGTATGATATGGTATTGCATGGCATGGCATGGCAGGGCATGGCGTGGCGCAACATTGCTGCATGTGAGGGAGAGGGACGGATGGCTGACGGCAGCAGCATGGTCGCTGAGCACGTGGAGGCTGGGCTGGACGCCTTAGCGTGCATCATGTCCAGATTGCCCCGTCAGGGGGACGAGCTAGTTCATGCAGGTGAGAGCATGGCATGGCATGGCATGGCATGGTGTGGCAGGTCAGCGAGCTGGCACACAAGACTCGCGGCAGCAGCATGCTCCCCCAGCACATGCAGGCGGGACGCCTTGGCGTGCTTTGAGTCGACTCAAAACATGATCTCCAGCTCGCCCGGTCAGGGGGGTGTGCACGTGCATGCAGGTGAAAGCATGGCATGGGCATGGTATGTGCGAGCGAGGGAGGGGCAACACGAATGGCTTACCGCAGCAGCATGCTGCCCCAGCACGTGCAGGCTGGACGCCTTGGCGTGCATGATCTCGAGCTCGCCCGGCCAGCGGGGTGTGCACGTGCATTCAGGTGAGAGCATGGCATGAGCATGGTGTTGTTGGTGCATGTGAGGGAGAGGGAGAGCGAGAGGGGGCACATGTAATGTAACTCACAGCAGCAGCATGCTGCCCCAGCACGTGCAGGCTGGACGCCTTGGCGTGCATGATCTCCAGCTCGCCTGGGAACGCCTTGAGCCCCGCGTCTGCCATGCGAATCACTCCCCTGAGAGTGGCACAGCGAGACAGCATGCAGGCAGGGAAGGGGGCGCAGAGAGAAGGGCGTGCATGATCTCGAGCTCGCCTGGCAACGCCCTCAGCCCCGCATCTGCCATGCGAATCACTCCCCTGGCGAGGGAATGGGGAGACGAGACAAGGAGCTGGGGAGGAAAGGAGAGGAGTTTTTGGGATAGAAGTCGAGACGAGACAAGGTGCGGGGGAGGAGAGGGAGAGGGAGAGGGAGAGGGAGAGGGAGAGGGAGAACATAGAGAGCAGTTGGAGGGTGGAAGGAACTTGAGATGAGACGATGCGGGAGGAGGGGTGGAGGGGCGGAGGGGCGGAGGGGTGGGTTGTGGGTGGTGGGTGGTGGTGGTGGTGGGCGGGAGGTGGTGAGTGGTGAGTGGTGGGTGGTGGGTGGTGGTGGGTGGTGGGTGGTGGGTGGCGGGCAGTGGGCGCTCACCAATGATCTCCCAGCAGCCGCTTCTGCAGCACCAGGTTATGATGTGTCTCCGGTATCCTGCCAGGGAAGTGGATTTGGTAAGAGAGCGAGAGAGTTAGTGAGCGAGTGAGTGAGTACGCCAGAGTAAGCGAGTGAAAGTAGAGGGAGGGGCGGAAGGTAGGAAGCACAAGAATGGACGGACGGAGCACGAGAGACAAACGGACGGTCCATCGACTCGGGCGCTGATAGAAAGGGTCCGGGAAGGAAGACAGAGAGGCGGGGAGGCGGGCGGGCAGGCAGGGAGGGAGGCAGCGAGGGGGGTCGCGAGGATCAGATGAGGGCAGAGAAGCACAGAGCAAAGAAGAGCAGAGCAAGCAGAGTGCATACTGTGCGAGCTCGAGTGAGAGCAGAAAGTCCTTCTCAACCTGGTCGGTCTCCCCCAGCAGGCGATGAGTCTACTTTTGAGTCGACTCAAAAGAAGAAGAGCAGAGCAAGCAGAGCACATACTGCGCGAGTTCAAGCGAGAGAAGAAAGTCCCTCTCAGCCTGGTCGGTCTCCCCCAGCAGGCGGTGCAGCCGCCCCTTCTCCTTGCGCACATCCGCATCCCCGGCAGAGAAGCAAAGAGCAAAGAAGAGCAGAGAAGAGTACATACTGTCCGAGCTGAAGTGAGAGCAGGAAGTCCCTCTCAGCCTGGTCCGTCTCCCCCAGCAGGCGGTGCAGCCGCCCCTTCTCCTTGCGCACATCCGCATCCCCCGGGAGCAGCTCCACCGCCCGCGCCAGGTATGGCTGTGCCGGCCGGAACTGGTTCGACCGCACAAATGCAATTCCCTGGGGGGGAGTGAGCGGGAGGGGAGGTGTGAGCAGGGGTTAAGGTTTTGAGTCGTCTCAAATATCCCCCTCGCCAGGTACGGCTGTGCTGGTCGAACAGGTTTGACCATACGAATGCCACTCCCTGGTGTGGAAAGGGGAAAGTGGTGAAAGTGGAGAAAGTGGAGAAAGAGGGGGAGGAGGAGGAGACTGGGGAGGAGGGGAAAGCCACGGGTGTAGCGGGAAGGCAGTAGGGAAGGCGGCTGGGAGAAGCGGTGCTGAGAGGCAGAGGAGGAGAAGGCATGGCTGAAGCGAAACAGTGGCTGGAGTGGGTTGACCTAGCAGTCCACCTGGCAGTCCACCTGGCAGTCCACCCACCTGGCAGTCCACCTGGCAGTCCACCTGGCAGTCCATCCACCTGGCCGTCCACCTGGCAGTCCACCTGGCGGGCTGCGCTGGGCTGAGCTGGGCTGCTTCACGCAAGCCTCACCACAGCTCGGTTGAGGTCGGCGTCGTTCGGCAGCATGTGCAGCGCAGGCAGGAGGTCTTTGAGGGCGTCCTTGAAGCGGTACAGGTTGAACGCGCTCAGCCCTGCTCCAGAGAGGGGAAGAAGGTGGGGGGAACGGGGAAAAAGGCGGAGGGGCACACACTCAGCCGTGCTCCAGGGGCCAAGAGGGGGAGGGATGGGGGTGGAAGTTTTGACAGTAAAGTGGCAGCATGGTGGCGGTGGGGAGGTAAATTGGCAGCATGGTGGCGGAGGGGAGGTCTATGTGGTGGGGAGAAGAGGAAGGCAGAGCAGGTGAAGGGAGAGGGCGGTGCGAGTTGGGACAGGGCAGCGCTTAAGCAGGCAGTGGCAGTGCTGATGCACGTTCTTCTTGGCACTCACACACACACCACACCACGCACCTCACCACACCACACCACCTTGCAGCGCACCACAGCACACCCATTCTCTGCTCGCCCGTACACCATGCCTCCCCTCTCCCCACTCGCCACGCACCTCGTCGTTTGAGCGCCCCTGCATCGCCGGGCAGCAGCTCCAGGGCGCGGCTGAACGCCTCGAACGCCCTCTCATGCTGCCCCAGCACCTCGCGCTCCGCCCCCACCTCCATCCACAGCTCTGCATCGTCCGGATTGGCGCTCACTGCCTGTGAGGGAGGAGGGGCGCAGTGGAGAGGCCCGAGAGCACGGCTTTTGAGGCGCCTTAGAAGCTGAATGGCTCAAACGCCTTCTTGGGTTGCCCTAGTGCATCGCGCTCCGCCCCCACCTCCATCCGCAGCTCTGCATCGTCCAGGTTGGCCCTCACTGCCTGTGGGGGAGGAGAGGCCAGAGAAGCACCCTTTGTGATGCGATGTTTTTGGGTCGCCTGGAAACTCGCCTCCTTGCGCAGCTCTGCGCTGCTGGGGTTGGCGCTCCCGGCCTGTGGGGGAGGAGGGACGAGAGAGCACGCATGCAAGGGCCCAAAGGAAGCACGCGACACGCTTCGCACGACATGCTTCGCTCGCACGACATGCTTCGCACGACATGCTTCGCACGACATGCTTCGCATGACACGTTTCACATGACACGCTTCACACGACACGTTTCACATGACACGTTTCACATGACACGTTTCACACGACACGCTTCGCACGACACGTTTCACATGACACGCTTCACACGACACGTTTCACACGACACGTTTCACACATGACACGTTTCACATGACACGCTTCACATGACACGTTTCACACCAGGCGCGCTCACCTGCTCGAAGTCTGCTACAGCCGGCTCGTGCATCTGTAGCAGCGACTTGGCCACGCCGCGCCCGTGCAACAGCCGCTGGTGCAGCCGCCGCAGCAGCCGCTCCGCCTGTGGGGACAGCGAAGGGGGCGGGTGCGAGCAGCGGAGGGAGGAGGCTTCAAGGGAGGAGGCTTCAAGGGAGGAGGCTTTTAAGAAATCGGCGTTATGGAACGGGAAGAAAAGGAGTTTCCTTTTTTAGGGCTGGTAAGAGCTGGAGATACTCCCTTGCTGCACCTAGGTACATCTGGCCTCTCACCTCGTTACATCTCGCACCTCACCTCGTGAAACTCGCCACGCACCTCGTTACACCTGTGCTCGCACCTCGTTACGACTGGGCTCGCACCTCGTCTCGTCTTGCCTCTCACCTCGTTATATCTGGCCTCGCACTTTGCTAGCGCACCTGTTTTCATCTTGCCTCGCGCCTCGTTTCATCACGCACCTCGTCGTATGTGGCGACGGCCTCTTCGAGCCGCTCGCCTTCCAGCTGGTCGCGTCCCTCGGCGATTAAAGCCATCATTCGCTCGCTCACGCGCCGCGCCACCTCCGCCTCGCTGCTTCCGCCGCCGCCGCTGCTGCTGCTGCTGCCGTCACTGCTTCCGCTGGTGCTGGTGGAGCTGTTATCGTCATCGACTTGCCCTCCGTCGTTGACGGCTGCATCAATCCGCGACAACTCCTTCGCCTCGCGCTCACGAGAACCAGCGGGAGTCGGCGAACACGTCTCCTCACTTCCTAGACAAAAACCACCGAACGGCGATTCTGGCGCAACTTCCGCCGCAACTGACGCTGCCGGATCCACCGCAGCGTTTGCCGCCGGATCTAACGCAGGAACGCTAGTGCTCTGAATGCCAGGCGCAGTGAGATTAATCGGACTACCTCCGTCGTCCAGCTGCTCCGTCAGCGGCAATCGCGTCGCGTGACTACCGGCGCATTCGAACGTGCCGATGAGGACAACCAATGCCGCCCAAGCTACTAGACTCCTGCTCAGTGACCGAGTCAAACCATCCAACGGGGACGCCATTGGCGGCCGAAACATAGAGCTTGAATCTCGATCAGACGCTTGCCGCGCGCATGGGCGAGAATTCGATTCGACTAGATTCGTTAAACAGGAAATTTTGAAGGAAGATAATAATCGTTCGAGCAACGTGTTTGGATGAGAACGGAAAGAGTACTGCATTAGTAGAAACGGGCAATGGTAAGAGTACTTTTTTTTTTTTTTTTTTTTTTTTTTTTTTTAAGAAAGGTTGTCTGATGCCCGAGCCCAACGAAAGCGAATCTGAATATACAGGGAGTCGGTTGAGCCGACTCCACGCTATGGCATGAGACTGCGATGCGATGCGAGTGACTGCAGCCAATTTCGTACAAACTAAGTAAGTTCTTTTAGACGTTGAGGGTGTCAAGTCAAGTTAGTGTCCGTCTGTTCCTGAGAATATGTATAAGAAATGGGTAGTCACCGACGACTTTCTGAGGAGTTCTCGTCAGTGTCGGCGTGGATGAGTGATGAGAATCGTGATGTTGCTGCTAGAGCTTTTGGTGTTCCAGGAAGTGGGTCGCTGTATATTGATTATAGAAAGTTGGAGAACGTTTTTGAAAGATTTGAAGCGGTACGATCAGAATATCGTATGGTGAAAGGGTATCATCCCTCTTCGTTCTTGTCGTCATTTCTCTTGCAGGGAGGATACTGTACTGTACAGTCAGAAGGTCAACTGGACGCACCACCAATCTGAGCTGAGCTCTGTTCACTCGCTTCGCTCCCACGCGCATGATGCCAGATTGCCTAGTGTGGGCCGCTGTCGTCGTCCGCCATCAGCTCTGCTGCTTCAACATGCGGTCTTGTCGCCACTCGCCCACTCAGCCGAGAATCCTCGATAGTGTTTAATGTGATTCATCTCGGAGACTCGAAAATCCATACGAGACTATACCTGAAATGGTTAAAAGTATAGCATGAGTTGCATTCATGTGCTGAATATATATTGCATAATATTTTTCAGTTAGAGGCCCTTAAAAAAGAAGGAGATATTACACGCTGTTGAACACGACGCCATGATGCCATTGTAGGTTGGAATGAAGTAACTAGATTTTGGAGAAAAAAAAAAAAAGCTTGATTATTATTTACTTCCCATGCAGAATCTAGTGGAGCAGTTTCACAGCTCCTAGTTTCTGTACGATAACGGAATGACCACGATGTTAGCTGGTGTGGTGGCTGCTCCCACAAGCTTCCCTTTCGATTGGCCGTCGTTGGATCCAAGGTGTTGAACACGTATGTGCCGTCGATTCTATCTGGGGTGGACTATTTTTCCGACAGCGATGATCTGGGAGATGTATCCACGCACTGCTGTCTTGCCATCGCGCCGCACCGTTCCAGCGATGCATGGCGAACCAGTCGTACACTCCTTAGTGGTCATGACAGCCGTCGATATCCTCCTTCGTGAACACCAACACCGATGTCATCGCCGTTCACTGGTTCCGCACCTTCGCCAGCCTAACCTCATGCGAGTTGCCCGCACCGCCACTCATTTGTTCATCGCATCGCAGCAGCATTTTCGTGAGTCATGATCCACCAGCAGTGTTCCTCCTTGCTCTGCTGTTTTCAGCTCAACTCTCACCAGCTGCACCTACCCACCCAACTTCACTCCACTCACCTCGTCCCTTCCCTCCAACGGCAGTTGGTCTTGGACTTCCAGAACATAAGCTCATTTTTGGAGCATTTCTCACAATCACCGCCTGTCCATCAGCTTGCGTTGCCTGCACCCTCCATCCTCGTCTCCATCTCGTTTCTGTCTGCTGCGTAGCCAAATTCGGTGCGCTCCTCGCGTGCTCTTGGCTCCCTGCTGCCTCTCCTGCTACTGCCGCACCTAGCAAGACAAGCGCGTTACTGCAGCAGCCGATTCGTTAAACTTCGCTCGCTATTCGTGCTAGTAGCTTTATCAGGATTAACCAAATTAACCGCAGCACATGTTCGTGACACCGCCATGGCATCGCGAGTCATTCTCTCACAAGCGCGCGCGGCGGGGGCGAAGCACGCGCCGCTCTCCGACAACCTCATCGCGCATCTCCTCAGGCCGCTGAAAAACCCGCCCGCCACACCATCCCCTGCAGCCACCAACGTCGCATCTGCCGCTTCAAAATTTACGTCCGCCGCTGATCCCTCCAGCTTTTCCTCCCCGCAACCACCGACCCCAACTCCCCCCGCGCTCCCCGCAACCTCCAGTGACCTCGATCGCCCATACCGCAGCCAGTTCAGTCGCAGGCCCGCATCATCCGCTATCTCACCGGCCGTCGTTCCTCTGCTCCTGAACCTCCAACCTGCTCCGCAGCCCACCTTCGTGGGCTCAATTCTCGACACGTGCGTGGCTCCTCCCGTCGATGACGCTGTTCCCGTCGTCTCGTGGGCCAATGTCTTGCCCGCGAGCGACGGAGTTGTTGCCCCGGGGGAACAGCTCCCGGCGGAAGCTACCGATTCCGCCCCGCTTGTCCTCCCGCTCCCCGTGCTGTCAGCAGCCGCTGCTAGCCCCTCTGCTGGTCCCTACCGCCGCCGCCCCGTCTCCGCCGTGGATTCTCCCGCTGCTACTAAGGCGGGGAGCGTGGCCGCGGCAGCACCGAGGGGCGTTCAGGCGATCGTAGACGACATTCTCAGCGGCCGCTTCAAGGACTCGCACCGGGAATCATGGCGCGCTGCCAATGCTACCAATGCTTCCGCTACCGCGCCCCGTTCCGCCGTTGAACCCGCCGCCGCGCCACCCGCCGCGACTGTTGCCGCTGTTACGGCAGCCCTTCGCGCACCCCCCTCTCCGAAACCGAACCCCGCCCCCTCTCCCACCGCGAAGTCCGCATCCGCAGCGGCTGAGGCCGCCGACTTCCCCCCATTGCCCAGCGGCGTCATCCTCCCCGACGTATTCCCCCTCATGCCCTCCCCAATCGCCTCTCCGAAAGCCGCGCCATACCTTTCCGCCCTCACTGATTGCGCGCACCCTCCGTCCGCCACCTCCTCCGCTCCCGCAGTCGCCGGTTTCACTAGCGCGTCAAAACAAGTGGCGTTCACCATCGGTTCCCCCTTAGACGAGTTCTTCTCCCCCGATGCCTCCCCGCCCGCCCAGCTCTCCGCTGTCTCTTACGCCTTGGATCAGGGCGATTCCCTCCCGATGTTGTCTGCCACGTCAGCTTCTGCTGCCGCGGGTGCTGCGGCGGTGTACCACCATCCGCATTTCCTGGAGTCGCAGGACAACAGCAAGAGTCCATCTGCGCGTCGCAGCAGCAAGGGCGGCAAGCAGGCCAAGGCTGGTGAGGCCAAGCCTGCTGCTCGCTCTGCTGACCGCAACGGGGGCAAGCGCAGCAAGGCAGGAGGTTCGGCTGAGGCTGATGATTGGGTGCGGCAGAAGCTGGAGCAGCCGCAGGCCTCCGTGGGCAATGGCCGTGGCTTGGATGCGAAGAGGGCTGGTGGGAAAACTGCCACAACAGTTGCTATTGGTGCTCCTGGGGGCGTGGTTCGCACTCTGGAGCTTTATCTGCCTTATTCGACCGCAGCCACTAATCCAACCACTAATGGCCCTGTGATAGGTGCTGTGGCACCTGCTGGGCCTCGTGTGCCCGACGGCACCCGTGGGTTCACTTTTGGCCGCGGGAAGAGTCTCGTCCGCTGAATGAGGGCGCGCCGTGCCACATACGATGGACCTCTATATGTGCTAAAATGTGTGAATTTTGTGCTTCAACATATTTTTAGGATCTGTGAGGTAGATAGAACCTCTGAAGCATTTGTTTACTCCAGGTGCTGTGTCAGCATGCTTGGCCTATATATTATCTTAGGAGAATAAGCTGGCAACTGTTCGAAAGTGTCTCAGAATTATTACTAATACCAACTCCTGCAATAATTGTTTCCGTCCATTTGTCAGATTCGTGATGGAAATAAACTAGTCGTGTTAGCCCGATAAGGCGCTTCCTTCGACTTCGGCGGTGTAGTTTGGGTGGTTTGGTGGACCCGTTGACCTGGCTGACTCCGCCAAGGAATCTGCGTCAGCTCTGCTTCCTTGCTCCCCCCCCACCCCCCGCTGGGTAGAGGTCGGTCGGACTCACAAGCGCACATCAAGATCACGGACCGCGCGACGCCTTTCCAAACTGAAATTATTGGGCCATTATCAGCCCCCATTCTGAATTCCACATCTGCTCGACAATTATTGGAGGCTCACTCGCACACACAGCATGTGGTGTGGTGAGTCCCCCCCACGCGAACCACACCAGAACAGGATGTCTTACAAAACACGGCCGTCTTCCCCCACCTGCCTCTGCCCTTGTTCCCTTGATACTCGGACACAAACTGGTATAAGGGCGTATCCCTGGGTGGTGGCAGGGCTACTGTAGCAGGCACTGTTGGTGGCATGCGGGAAAACCGCATGCCACCAACATTTTCTCCGAGGCGCGCGCCACACGAATTTGGTGACATTTTGGGGACATTGCCCAATCACGAACCTGTATTTGGGCACCAGTTTCCTGACACCAACCTGACGTCCTATGTGTTGGTGGCAGGCTGCCATCTACAGTTGCCCTGCCACCACCCCAGGAATACGCCCTAATCCCTTCGCTGATGCAAGATTGTTGAACCTGAGGGTCTAACAACACACCGCAGTCTTCTCATCAGATCTTCCCTATTCCTTGTTATATACTAGGCTGCAATCGACGAGAACCTCGCAACTGCTGTGTGGTCCTGCTTCCAAGAATTGCCTTGGCCTCGAGTTGCTTCTCGCAGACATTCCCCTGCCTTCATCGTCCAGCAAAACAAGCGCCTGCAGCAAATTAGCCCCAGCATCGACCGTATCGTAAAATGGGGCAGTTTAGAGACTGGTTGCTCTCTCTTTTCAGAAAGAAAGACCCGGGTCCCAGTCGCATTTTATTCGTGAATGACGCCGAGGGGAACGACGAGTTCGGGTTCAGCAGCAACCGCATCTACACCACCAAGTACACCTGGTACACCTTTCTCCCCCGCGGCCTCTTCGAGCAATTCCGCCGCGTCGCCAACTTGTATTTTCTCTTCCACGCGTGCGTGTCGCTCACGCCGCTCTCTTCCATCAGCCCCATGGCGACGGTCCCGCCGCTCGTGTTCGTTATCGGTCTCGCCATGGCTAAGGAGCTATGGGAGGATATTAAACGCGGGAGCTCCGATTACGAGACGAATAAGCGGAAAGCAACGGTCATACGGCCGGACGGCACGGAGGCGACGCGGCGATGGCGCGATCTGCGCGTGGGGGAGCTGATCCGCGTGCCGCACGACGCCTTCCTGCCCGCCGACATCATCTGCGTCGCGACGAGCGGCGACGGCGGCGCGTGCTACGTGGAAACAATGAATCTGGACGGCGAGACGAACCTCAAGATGCGCAGCGCGGTCTTCGAGACGCACGCGATGAGCGCGGCGGAACTCGCGCGGGTGCGCGGGCGCGTCGAATGCGAGCATCCGAACGCGTCCATCTACACGTTCGCGGGGAAAATGCTGCTTAGAACGAGTACCGAGGGTGCTATTAGCGGGAGGAGTGATAGTAGCGCGGACATCGAGTCTTCCGAAGGCAGCCAGTCTGGTGACGCGGCGCCGATTTTCATCACTCCGGCGAATATTCTCCTGCGCGGTTCGCGGCTGCGCAACACCAAGTGGGCGGTGGGGATTGTCGTATACACCGGCCGCGAGACCAAGATCATGATGAACTCCACCGACCCGCCGTCCAAACGAAGCTTCGTGGAAAAGCGACTGGATTTCGTGATCATGTTCGAGCTGGTGGTGCTGGTGGGGCTGGCGACGTTCTCCTCCGTGATGTACGGCGTGTATCTCGGCAACTACATGCCGCAGCAATGGTACCTGCGGCCCGAGGATTACACCGGCGTGACGGGCGTGGCTAAGGCGATGTATAACTGGCAGCAGCCGGCTTTGGCGGGATTCATGCAGTTTTTCACGGCGCTCGTGCTATACGGGTATTTTGTGCCTATATCGCTGTATGTGACTATGGAGTTGGTGAAGCTAGTGCAGGCTGCGACGATCGCGCTCGACCTGCATATGTATTACGAGGAGAAGGATATCCCCACTACAGCGCGCACCTCTAACCTTAACGAGGAGCTCGGTATGGTGCACACCGTTTTGTCGGATAAAACGGGCACGTTAACTCGCAACCAGATGGATTTCTTCAAGTGCTCTATAGCGGGGATAGCGTACGGCACGGGAGTGACGGAGGTAGAGAAAGCGGCGGCAGAGAGAATGGGCCAGCCAATCCCGGACGAGGATGAGGAGACGGAGGGGGAGGAGGGGGTATACACCCCGCTAAAGCCCTTGGAAAAGGGGTACAACATGAAGGACCCCCGGCTGGACGATCTGAAATGGCGGACGCAGCCGACAGCCGAGGAGATTAGGAGGTTCCTCGAGGTAATGTCGGTGTGCCACACCGTGATCGCAGACACGGGCGACGCGGCGGATGCGGCGGGAGGTGCGGGGAAGGAGGGCGGCGCCGGTGGTGGCGGGGCAGGCGCGGGGGGTGGCGCTGGAGGTGGTGCGGCGGAGGGGTGGGAGGCGGGCGCAGCGGGGCACGTAGGCGACGGTGAAAGCAGCAGCGACGACGACGACGAATACGAGGCCGCCATGTGGCGCGACGACGGCGGCATGGTGAGCGTGGGCGGCAGCATGCGCAGCCTGGGCGGCAGCATGTCGAGCTACCACACGGCCGACGCGCGCAGCGCGCAAGACTCGTTCCACTCCCTGGGTTCATCCGAAGGCGCCAGGCAAGGGGCAATGAGGGCGGAGCCGGGGAGCGATCACGACATGACCGGGGGAGGCGCGGGGGAAGTCTCGGGGGTAGGATCGGTGGGCGCGGATCCCGACGCGGTGCGGTACCTGGCGGAGTCCCCCGACGAGGCGGCGTTCGTGGTGGCGGGGAAGCGCATGGGGATGGTGTTCGCGGGGCGGCAGGGGCGCGAGGTGCGCGTGCAGGAGTTCGCGGAGGGGTGGGTGCTAAAGGACGAGCGGCGCTACACGCTGCTGCACACCATCGAATTCACCAGCCACAGGTAGGGCGCGCGCGTGCGTGTGTAAGGCACGGGTATGGCGCGTGTGCTAGGCGCAGGGTGCGCTGTTTGCGCAGGCTCCGTCATCCCCCTTGCCGTCGCACCTGCACCGTCCTCACCATACCCGCATGTTCCCCCCTTTCCAATCACCCTCCCCATACAGGAAGCGCATGAGCGTGATCGTGCGCACGCCAGAGGGAAATCTTGTCCTTTTGTGCAAGGGCGCGGACAACATCATCATGGACCGCCTGGGCGGCAGTGTCGAGGCGCAGCGGCACCGGCCAATCACGGAGCAGCACATGCGCACGTACGCAGAAGCGGGGCTGCGCACGCTGGCGATCGCGTGGAAGGAGATTGGCGAGGAGGAGTATGCCAGCTGGCAGGTGCGGATTGGGCGGGCGGAGGGGAGAGAGGAACGGGGTGCACAAGTGCGTGCATGTGCCTCATTCGCCTCTCACACGTGACATGATAAAGCATGCAAATGAAGCATGGCTTGCACATGACATGCCACACACATGCCATGTGACATATGACACGTGGTTGCACCATCTCACATCCCGCTGCGTTCCATGGCATGGCAGGCGCGGTGGGAGCGCGCCAAGGGCAACGTGGCGGACGTGGCAGCGCAGGCAGCGGAGCTGGAGGGCCTGGCGGACGAGATGGAGAGGGGGCTCATCCTGCTGGGCGCCACAGCCATCGAGGACAAGCTGCAGGTGCGCGCTTGGTGTGTGTGTCAGGTGCTTGCATGTTAGGTGTGAGAGGTGACTCATCCCGCTGGGGGCCACGGCTATCGAAGACAAGCTGCAGGTGTGAGCGAGGATGCGGGTGTGCGTGGTGTGCGTGTGAGGTGGTTGCTTGATGTCAGGCGCAGGCAGCGGAGCTGGAGGCGCTGGCGGACGAGATGGAGCGGGGGCTCGTCCTGCTGGGGGGCACCGCGATCGAAGACAAGCTGCAGGTGCGCGCTTGGGGTGCATAGGTGGGTGGTGTGTGTGTGTCAAGTGCTTGGGTGTCAGGTGAGCAGAAGCTGTTGTTGAGAGTTAGAGTAAAATCTCTTACCCTCTACCACCCTCTCCCCATGACAGGTGGGGGTACCACAGGCCATCGAGGCCATGGCAGCAGCGGGCATCCGGCTGTGGGTGCTGACAGGGGACAAGCTCGAGACGGCCGTCAACATCGGCTTCGCATGCCGCCTGCTGCGCCCCGGCATGCAGCAACACGTGGTGTTCCTCGAGGATAATGACAGGCTGACTGCTGATGCGGCCGCTGCTGGCGCGGACCCTGCAGAGGTGAGAGTGGTGTTGCCTTGCTGAATGCTGCATTTGCCCCTTTGAAGATGGAACTGCGACCCGGCATGCAGCAGCTCGTTGCCTTTCTCGAGGATAATGACAGGCTGGCTGCTGATGCCGCAGCTGCTGATGCCGACCCTGCAGAGGTAAGGCACTGTGGGGGGGATGGGGTGTGTGTCTCAGGCATGCAGCAGCACGTGGTGTTCCTCCAAGACAATGACAGGCTGGCCGCTGATGCTGCTGCTGCTGGAGCCGATCCCACAGAGGTGAGATGCTGTGGGGTGCTGTGGGGTGCTGGGGCCTGGGACGGGGGGCGTGGCATGCTGCTTGCTGCTTGCTGCTTGCTGTTTGCTGCTTGCTGCGTGCTGCTTGCTGCGTGCTGCTTGCTGCATTTGTCACTCGCCCAGCAACGGCCTAGCCTCACACATGCAGAAGCACCTCAGGCCTAACCTCTGCTGCTAATGCTTAGCGGCTGAGCTTTACCAACACCTTCCCCCCCCAATCTTCTCCTCCTTCCCCTAACCTCCTTCCCCTTTTCCAGTTCGCAGCCAGCGCCATCCGCGCGCAGATCCTCTCCGCCAAGTCCGCCGCCATGGCGCCGGGCGCCTCGCACGCCGCGCCGCACGCGCTCATCATCGACGGCAAGGCGCTCGCCCACGTGCTGGCGGACGCCGCCCTGCGCAGCGACTTCCTCCGCGCCGCGCTCGCGTGCGCGTCCGTCATCTGCTGCCGCGTGTCGCCCAAGCAGAAGGCGCAAGTCACGGAGCTCGTAGGCTCGGAAGGCGGGATGATAACCCTAGGAATCGGCGATGGCGCGAACGACGTGGGGATGATTCAGAAGGCGCATATTGGCGTGGGGATTGCGGGGGAGGAGGGGCAGCAGGCGGTAATGGCTGCTGACTTCGCAATCGGGCAGTTTCGGTTTGTAGAGCGGTTGCTGCTGGTGCACGGCGCGTGGAGCTACACCCGAATTACATACATGATAAAATATTTCTTATACAAGTGTCACACATTCGCCTTCACCATCTTTTTCTTCAACGGGCTCGCGCTGTTTTCGGGCAGCGCGGTGTACGTTGATTGGCTGCTCGTGCTGTTCCAAGTGCTGTTTTCATCGCTGCCCGTGGCAGCGGTGGGAGCGTTCGATCAAGACGTGAAGGCAATCTACCACCTCAGATACCCGCGCCTCTACGCCCAGGTGAGCGCCTCTACGCCCAGGTGAGCGCCTCTACGCCCAGGTGAGCGCCTCTACGCCCAGGTGAGCGCCTCTACGCCCAGGTGAGCGCCTCTACGCCCAGGTGAGCGCCTCTACGCCCAGGTGAGCGCCTCTACGCCCAGGTGAGCGCCTCTACGCCCAGGTGAGCGCCTCTACGCCCAGGTGAGCGCCTCTACCCCAGGTGAGCACGCGTCTCCACTTGCTCTTCCCCCTCTCTTCTCTCTCCTCTCTCTTCTCCCTTCTCCCTTCTCTCCTCTCCCTTCTCCCTTTTCCCGTCTCCCTCAACCCTCGAGCACTCCAAGCCAGCCCTTTTGTCTCCCACCTGCTCCCTTTCACCCCTCCCTCTTACCACTCTTCTGACTTGTGCCAACTCTCAAACGCCAACTGATCTCCCCTGACCACCCCACTTTCACTTTCCCCACCACCAGAGCCAGCGCAACTGGCTCTTCACGGTGGGGGAGATCGGCATGGCGATGGGCAAGGGCATGGTGCAGGCGACTATTCTCCTCGCACCCCCCTTCCTGCTGCTAAACTCCCCACAAACTAATCACCTTGACCCCCCCACACACCCCCCTGCCCCACCACCAGAGCCAGCGCAACCGTCTGTTTACCGTGGGGGCGATCGGCATGGCGATGGGCAAGGGCATGGTGCAGGCGGCCATTCTCTTTGCGGTCTCCTTCCTGCCGCTGCTGCTCTCCTCCTCCGGGGCCGACGGGCGCGTGCTGGACCTCACAGCGCAGGGCTCCATTCTCTTCACTGCCCTCGTGCTGGCTGTCAACCTCGAGCTCGCCATCACCATCCAGGTCAGCCCCTTTTTCCCCTCGACTCAATTGTCCACGTAGAACAAGTCACCTCGCCACACCATTCACGCCACCTGCAGCACGGCACCAGCCGCTTCTCCACTCCCCACCCACACCCAGTGCCTCACGCCACTTGTCGTACCTGCAAGCCCAGCGCCTGTGTACCCCGCTTCCCCGCCTCCTCTCCCAGTCACTCACTGCCCACATTCGGCACCCGCCAAATCACTATCCCTCCACCACCCCTTCCCACCCCCACCAGTACTGGACGCTCATACACCACATGGCCATATGGGGCTCCATTGCCCTCTGGTTCCTCTGGTGGCTTGTGTGAAACTCATTCAGCACCCTCCTCCCCTCTCACCACCCCTTCCCACCCCCAACAGTACTGGACAATAATGCACCACATGGCGGTATGGGGCTCCATCGCCCTCTGGTTCATCTTCCTCCCCGTCGTAAGCTATCTACCCTCCACGCTCTCAGCCTCTTTCTACGGCATGGCGCCCATGCTGCTGCCGCGCCCCGCCTACTACCTCATAGTGCTGCTGGCCACAGTGGCGACCCTGCTGCCTGGCTTTGCAGCAGCCAGCATCACGCGGTATCTGGCGCCCACTGATGTGGAGGTGGTGCAGGAGGTGCAGCAGCAGGACCATAAGAGACGGCTTACTCGCCTCGCCACCATGCGGAGCAGCAGGAGGAGATAAAGGTGTAGTGTGGCAGTATCGTGCGGCGGTATGGAGAAGTGTAAATGACGGCTTCACTCACAGGCAGACTGGTGGTTTCACAGGGAGAGTCAGGTCACGTGGGCGTGGAAAAACGCCTTAGCGACGTGGGTACGTGGTGGTGGATTCAGTTTCTGCAACGTACGTCGCTCACACGAGCTGCCGTGAGAATCCGCCACTTGTATCGATTTCAGGAGCTGACAAGCCAAGATTAGCTCTCTAGCGCCAAGCGCCACAATAAATCCCTGTAAAGTCCCCGTTTCAATGTAATAAAACAAGTCAGTGTTAGGCAGTCGGCTATTTCGAATGTCAAGCTAAAAATGGCTACAACAATGATGGGTTCTAGTATATATTGTGCCTGGATAAGCCAGGCGAGGGCTGATAAACACCATCGGTTTAGACACAAAGCGTGTCCCTGTCTCTTGTAAAGGGCCTCTGAGATAGTCTTCTCTGCTGCTGCTCTCTCTTTCATTCCGTGCTATGCACACACGAATCAGGCGTGCGACGGTTCTGCGACTCAATCGCGCTGTTCTTGCCCCATGAACGACAGCTTCGCATGCTCTGCGAATCGCCGTGCGACGTTGAGATGCTCCAACACCTGGCGGTCTTCGCGCGGCACCAGCACGACTTTCACGCCGTCAATCGCGGCCATGGCGTTGTTGATCTGCCCCATTACCAGCAGCCGCTGCTTCTGCCGCAGCAGCACCACCGCGTTCTGCAGTGCGCGCGCCGTTTGCACTAGATTCACGTAGTACTTGCGCCCCCCCGCCTCCCCCGCGCGCGCATCCCCCCCGGCCGGGCTGCCCGCAGCGACGGCGGCTGGCCGGAGCCAAAAGGAGGAGGCGAGGGGGGAGGCATCGGCGTGCAGCAGGTGCGCGGCGCGGTTGACGAGTGAGGCTGATTCCTGCAGCAGCTGCATGGTCTCCTGCACGTTGTATTGCAGCGGTCCTTGAGGCTTTCTGCGCGTGCGGAGCGGGAGGAGCGCATTGGGAGAAGTGGGATTAGCTTCCGTTTGAAGGAAGACGAAAAGTACGATTTCTTACGGTTCTCCGAACCTACAAGTCATGCCAAAATTTACTACAGCTAGGTTGGTACCTTAGCTCGCGGCGGTAGGGGACGGCGCTGGTGGTCTGGAAGCCTGAGTCGGAGATTATCTCGGGTGTCGCGACAAGGAGCACCAGCGCCAACGCCGCCACGTTCGTGCATACGCGACGCGCGTCCATGGCGGGCTGGCAGAGACGCCGATGCTATGGAGAGGATACTTTCTATACTACTATTATGTGACTTCTGCGTCGAGCCAACAAGCGTCGATAAGAGTTCTGGGTTGTCTGCCGTTGCTGATGCTTGCTCCGCTACCTCTAAAGGCGAAGTGAAAACGATCGCGTCTGGTGATTGCTACACAATTGCTTGAGACGGAGCTAATGCTTCGCTTTTCGCCACATTCACCCTAAGGACGTCTGTAATCTGTTGCAACAGTGTCGTTCAACTGAAATGTGGGCCGTGTGTTTCGGTGAATGGAGTGAAGGGCAAGAAATGGAAAAAGCAGTGAAAGAACAAGTCGGTGGTACTTGAGAGGGCGCTGACTCGCAGAACTCATATGGGGGAGGAGAGGAGGGCAATTTGCTGTGTGAGTGGAATTTGAAAATTGAGCGCGTGCGGTTCGGTGTTTTGAGGTGGAAGGAAAAATGCGGTCCGGAGGGAAGGAGGAAACCGCGAAAAGGTCGATTAACCGAGGCCTGTGATTGGTGGATTTCGACGACTGCACACTGGGCGACCAACTGGCGACGAGCGACTTTCGTCGAACTGAGAGGAGAGTTTCCGTTATTCTTCGCGACGCACAAACGGTCGCTCTCGGCGATTGACTCGCTGCCACTAAGTGCTTCGCTAATAGCTGCACCATTGCGTGCCAAAGAGATTTTGTACACTCTAGTTTAGAACTATGTACATGTACCACTCATGCTTTTGGTTCGAATGCAACCTAAGTCATTGAAATACGAGCCCAGAGCAGGGACAGTACAATCGCCAGAAGCATAGCCCAGACAATGACAAGCGTCGGCATGCGGCTGCTCCGACCCATCAAACCCTGCCAGCCACAGATAAAATTCCTCAATCAGCGACAGTTAGCAAAACTAGCACATACCATATAAAACTAGTTCATGACCTCACCTTAGTAAAAGGGTACAGATGCAGAAGAACCCACACAGAGAAGAACACTTGGCCGACAAGTTGACCTGCACGCCAGAAACAATATTACACATGAGAGGCACAGCAAAGCACTAGCAACGGAGCCAAAGCGGCACATGCAGGGGCTGCAACCGCCTGGACGGACAGGTCAAGCGTACCGATCTGGTCGGCATTGGAGGTGGGCGCCTTGATGGGGTGGCCGTATCCGCTGATGGTGGAGTCGGTGGACTGCCAGTTGTTGATGGCGTGCGCCACTCCCGCCAGTATGGCAAATGCATTCACAATGATGATGGTGAGCGGGATGAGGAACAGCCACGTCCACTGCACACGGGGTGGGGCAACAGGAGGGGAATGGGAAAGAGAGGAAAGGGGAGGAGTAGTGAGTTAAAACCAGGGTGCACATTCAACGCGGTTCGGCTTGAGATGTTGGGAAGGGGGTTTGGAGAAAAACAGTGATTGGCTCACGAGGGGCGACAAAAAAATGGTTCCGCTAGAGCTTCGGGCATTTCGTAGGTGGCGGGAGGGGGTGAAATGGCGGGAGTGGGTGAAACCGAATGGCGGGAGGGATGAAACAGATTGGCGGGAGGGGGGGGAAACGAAATTGCGGGGGAGGGGGGAAACAAATTTGCGGGGGAGGGGGGAAACGAATTTCGACGGGGAGGGGGAAATGAAATTGCGGGGGCGTGGGGAAACGAAATTGCGGGGGAGGGGGGAAACGAATTTCGACTTGAAGGGGTTGAAAGCACACCTCGTAACCCACTCAGTCAAGGGATAACCTTTGATGCACATTCAGCTGAATGTGCACCCCGGTTTTAAGAGTTGCTCAAGAACAATGACAAAAAACGTGAAAACAAGGCGCGCAATGAAAGCCTGCTGCAGCACTAACAGTTATACAGCTTACGGCATGTGGCTTAGAGCTGAGAACCTACCCTGACGGTGTAGAGCTCAGCTAGCTCATCTTCCATGTCCTGCGAGGCCTTAGAGGTGAGCGTGAAATGCACCTCCACTCCCGCCACCACCTTCAGCAGCCCCTGCCATGGTGAGAGAGTCATGGCGGCGGGGGTGGGAGGGATGTGAGCAGAGGGGAGGGAGGGGCTTCAGATGCTGAACGAGATGGGGATTGGGGAGGGTTACCTGAAGAAGCTTGGCAATCTTGACAGGCAGAGAGAGGATCCATGGCGGGGGATTGGCAGGGAAGAAGGGAGCACAAATGCAGCATACAATCTTTAACAGCAATACACACATAATTTCACGCGTGCATGGCTAGCACATGTAGCGAAGAAGGAGAATGTTGTAGCACAGCAATTATTCCAGCATATAGTTCAAGAGATGGTAGCAAAACTTGGCTGATGTTTTGAGTGCACCACATCACCATGCTACAACGCGTCTAACAGGCTGTATGACCGCAACACAATCCACTGCACCGCATTACCTGCATGACGGCAGCAAAGTGTGCAGAGGTGCCTCCAATCACCCAGAACTGCTCGTTGCGCCACCACTCCTCCAACGACACCCCTGCCCATTTCAACGGCAAATAGAGTTTAGCAGCACAACAGGGTTGACTGGTGGCCTCACACGTGACTAGGGAAACAAGAAACAGCTAAGATAAATGATTTGCAGCACTCTGAGTGGCAGAGAAGTGCATGGCGGGAACATTTGTGCGCTCACCGCTCCAGCGAATCTCAAGCAGAGCCGTGGCGAAGATGGAGAGGAAGAGTGCGAGGAAGTAGAGCACTGCCCAGTTGTCAATCTGTGTGCATACACACGGGGAACCACGAGGTCCCGCAGGGGGCACAAACAAGGGCGGACAGGGGGGCGCACATGGACGGGCACAGGGAAGATCAAGCAGAGCAGTGGCAAAGATGGAGAGGAAGAGCGCCAGGAAGTAGAGCACCGGCCAATTGTCAATCTGCCACCACGCCGAGGGGTGATCGTGCATGCGCCGGGGGAGAGCATAGGCAGGGGATTTGCAGGTGCAGGAATGCAAGCCATCGTATCACACTCAGAGTGTGAAAAACATGAGTGGACTATGCAGTGCCCAATCACTGAGCGCAACACGCAGTGGCAGCACACTGACATTGGGCACGATGAACTGGCCGGAGAAGAGGCTGATGGCGGGCAGGAAGCAGTAGACTGTGAGCGCGATGGACGTGAACGGGTACAGCGCCGTGTTCATGTAGCTGCGATGGAGGAAGAGAGGGGAGGGGAGGGGAGGAGGGGGCATGTTGCAACAGAGGTTGGTCACCAGGGATTGTGAAAACGCACAATGATCCTGCTGAGATAGGACAAGAGGCTTGACGTAGCGACGGGGAGGGGAGGAGGGGTGACGCGATCGGTACAAGGGGGAAAGGAAGGGAAGAAGGCGAGGGGAACGGACGAGGGGAGGCATGGAGGGCGTGGGGAGGCATGGAGGGCGTGGGGAGGCATGGAGGGCGTGGGGAGGCATGGAGGGCGTGGGGAGGCATGGAGGGCGTGGGGAGGCATGGAGGGCGTGGGGAGGCATGGAGGGCGTGGGGAGGCATGGAGGGCGTGGGGAGGCATGGAGGGCGTGGGGAGGCATGGAGGGCGTGGGGAGGCATGGAGGGCGTGGGGAGGCATGGAGGGCGTGGGGAGGCATGGAGGGCGTGGGGAGGCATGGAGGGCGTGGGGAGGCATGGAGGGCGTGGGGAGGCATGGAGGGCGTGGGGAGGCATGGAGGGCGTGGGGAGGCATGGAGGGCGTGGGGAGGCATGGAGGGCGTGGGGAGGCATGGAGGGCGTGGGGAGGCATGGAGGGCGTGGGGAGGCATGGAGGGCGTGGGGAGGCATGGAGGGCGTGGGGAGGCATGGAGGGCGTGGGGAGGCATGGAGGGCGTGGGGAGGCATGGAGGGCGTGGGGAGGCATGGAGGGCGTGGGGAGGCATGGAGGGCGTGGGGAGGCATGGAGGGCGTGGGGAGGCATGGAGGGCGTGGGGAGGCTCACGCGATGCGCTGGATGGGTTTGAGGTGGGAGCAGCAGTCGGCCCACACGGGGTTGTGCTGCGAGAAGAATATCTCCACCGACCCCGTCGCCCACCGCAGCACCTGCGCCAGCCGGTCCGTCATGTTGATGGGTGCTGAGCCCTGGTGGAGAGGGAGTTGCAGAGGAGAGATGGGGGGCGATCAGAGGAGGAGAGAGGAGAAGGGGAAAATGATAGGATCATAAGTCGATCCATCGTGTTTACTGGGATGGAAGCCTGAATGCACATATGGCGCGAGGAGAGAGCTACAGAGGGGGCTCAATTCATGGCTGACCTTGAAGGCGGGGCGGGGCGGCATGCAGTAGACAGAGCGCCAGCCACGTGTGTGCATCTTGTACCCCGTTACTATGTCCTCTGTTACACTGCCGTACACCCAGCCGCACTGCCCAACCCAACGGGTGGGGGGGAATATCATGGCAGTTGGGAGGGCAGAGCCGACGAAGTATAAGAAGAACACATCAATACGAGGATAACGGTTTGGGATGAGCGAGGAAGTTTGGGGTGGCAGAAGAGAGTGGAGTAGAGTGCATATGTGCTGTGCACATAGAGCAGTTCCCTGCACACCACACATACAGTGGCACTCCATGCAGAGCCTTGAATGCGGAGACTTGCACATTGCGACTTACACTGGTGCCCCACTCGGTGTTGTCCTCATACCCACATGATATCACCAGGATGACGTCACTCAGCACCTCATGCGGGTCCTCTGTGGCCTGGTTTTCCACATGCATGGCACATGCATAACATGGCATGGCAGGAAGGTGAATGACAGAGGAGGGGGCAGACATATGAGCGTGGTAGGGCAGGGCAGCACATCTCTGCAGTACGGCAGTGTGCTGCCAGCAGACTGTCCACACTACAGCGCATGGCAGAACACACCGGAGAAAGAATGGAACAAGGAAGGCAGGATAGTATGGATGGAGCAAGATGGCATGGTACGCACCATGCCCCCCCCCACGCCATCAAAGACGGTCATGATGAAGTTATGGCACAGCCCAAACCGCTTCACATGCCACCGAGTCGGCAGCAACGCCGCCTCCTCCCCCTCCTCCCTCCCCCTCTCCCCCCCGCTCCCCTCCCCCCCATGCTCCCCCATCCGCTCCCCTCTCCCCTCCTCCATCCCCCCCATTGACAACCCCCCTTGCTCCCCCTCCCCCCGCCTCCCCCCTCTGCGCCCAAACCACCGGCGCTTCACCCTCCCGCCATACGTGAACGCGCCTGCCCCGTCTTCCCCCAGCCCAACCTGCTGTGTTCCCCCAACAGCAGCTCTGCCGGCAGCGAGATGGGAGGGCAGGCGCACGGGGGAGGGGCGGCCGGAGAGCCACGAGGGGCAGAGGGAGCAGCACGTGCGGCGCTTGGTGGGGGTCTTGGGGGGCGGGTCGAAGCCATAGAGCGCCTGAGGGGAATAAGAGGTGGAGGGGGGAGGAGAATGGAGAGGGCGAGGGGGAGAGGAGGGGGGGATACAGGATGACGATCAGCAGGAGTGCAGAGGGAGCAGCAGGTGGGGCGCTTGAACATGGTTCTGGGGATGGGTCAAAGCCGTAGAGCGCCTGGGGTGGAGGCGATGGGGAAGGGAGGGGAGGATAGAGGAGGATGCGCAGAAGTGGGGATCGGTGTGGTGCATGGATGGGAGGAACAAAATCAAAGTTACTCGCTGAAATTGGCGGCAAATAAAAACTGATTTGTGCCTGGACACGGAATCCAGGCACTCATGATGACACCTGATTTGGCACCTGAACACACGCCTGGCACGCCAATCGTCTCACCTGGCATGTCAGTTGTGTGACCCGTCAAGTCAAGTCTCACCTGGCGTCGGAAGACACACCCCGTGCCCACATACATGGGGCCTTGCTGCCCGTCCAGCCCCTTCATGTTCACCTGCATGCCACATTAGGCGGGATAATGACAAGCGCGTCGAGACAAGTCTCCTTAGTGGTGTTGATAGGAGATCGCTCCAGTGGTGTTAGAGTGTGTCGCTAGTTGCAACTATAAATGTGCTCATGGAAAGTTTGGCTTGTGGTGGTGACACGCATGTGGTGCGCAATCCTTGCGCTGTAAGCGGCTAACTTTACAGCATGCCTCACAGCACGCATCCCGACAAGTCGAACAGCAGCACAGACCATATCGTACAAGCACGTGGGTGCGGCTCACATCGTAGAAGACGGTGTTGTGGTTGGCGTAGCGGTCGCTCTTATCCACGCCATCAAAGCGCTGCGGGAACTGCACAAAGCACACCCGCCCGCCCTTCAGCGGGTCCGCTAGGAAGCAGATGGCCTGGGGAGCGGAGGGCGAGGGGAGGGAGGTGGGTGGGAGGGGAAGGGGGGACTTGGATCGACTCCAAGGGCACCTCGTTTTTAGGGAACTGCACAAAGCACACGCCCGCCGTTCAGGGGGTCTGCCAGGAAGCAGATGGCCTGGGGAGCGGAGGGTGAGGGGAGGGAACTTTTAGGCGGACTCAAAGAGCACCTCGTTTCAAAAGAAGAGTTACGCAGGCAGATATGTGCGCTGCGCTGAGATGGCATCGTGATTGGAGCACGCATTATACGACTGGGAATCAACTGAGCCTCGAGCTCGGGCAAGCACAGTGGCTGACCTGGTCCATTGCATCGCACATGGGGCTGCAGCTTATGGATGGCACCCCATCTCGCGGATGGCGCATGAGTTGACGTAGTGGCCGCAGTCGAGGTTGAGGATGAAGGGCGCGTTGGGACAGCGGCTCGGAGGCACAGGGTAAACATCCCACCCGGCCCACCTTACGGATACAACAGGAGTGCAACTTTCAGGACGTGTCAAGGAGGCAAGGCGCTCACCTCGCGGATGGCGGCGGAGTTGTTGACGTAGTGGTCGCAGTCTAGGTTGAGGATGAAGGGCGCGTTGGTCAGCAGCGCTGATGCCCTCATCTGATGTGCACACCGCCATGTGGTTGGGCAGGGGTGCCCACGGGGGTGGGGATGGGGACGACGGTCGGGGAGAGGTGGGTGGGTGAGCGGATGGGTGGATGGTTGGGTGGGGTGAAAATGTTGTGAGATTGGGAACGGGAAGGGATGGGGGGAGACGGTGGGAAGTGGTGGCACAAGGCAAGGCATGGAGGGAATGAGTGCTGGTGGGGTGCCTGACTGACTTGCCTTGCAAGAGGATCCACTATCCCTGTCCCACTCATGCACGCACCAAACTTCTTAAGCTTCATTCCCACACCGCACTTCCAGACCGCACTCACACATTGCATGCACCCACACACCACACGCACTCACCATGGCATTCATGGCTCCGGCCTTCTTGTTGTGGTCGTAGTTTGGGCGCTTCTCCCGCGACACATACACCTGCCGTGCGGTGCATAGGGAGCCGGAAGGGAGAGGGAGAGGAGCGTGGCAAGGCCCGATGTTAATGGGACGAGCAGAGAGTCATGAGGCCAGCGGAGAAACGAGCAGGTAAACAGGAGACAAGGGGAGAAGGTAGGGAACGAGTGTGCTTACCAGGTAGGGAAGTGGGTCGCCATTGACATCCTTGGTCTCTCCGTTGGGCTGCAGAAAAACCTGACAGGTAGGAGTCAGGGAGAATGCAGGAGAGTGGGGTAAGGTAGGGATGGAAAGAGAGAGACAAGCAGAACGGCAAGACTGCAGCAGCCCAATATCACACAGGCCTTGTCTCATCTGCGTTCGTATTTACCCGCACGCACCACCACTCACTCCCCACTAGAACCATGCGTGCGTGCTGCACACCTGGATCATGCCGACGTGGTCGGAGCGGTCGTTGCCGGGCCACGCGGTGCCATCTGGCATGGTCCACCCGTCTCGAGGGCTGTCCTGTGCCTTCACCACCAGCGCGTTCATGCGCACCTTGAACTCATCGTACTCGCGCTGGAGGGGGGGGGGGGGGGAGGGGAGGGGGGGAGAAGCATCAAAAGCATGAGGCATGGTCCACCCCACCCGTCTCGAGGGCTGTCCTGTGCCTTCACCACCAGTGCGTTCATGCGCACCTTGAGCTCGTCGTACTCACGCTGAGGAGAGAGGGGGGGGGAGGGTGTGTGTGCGGGGGGGTGGGGATAGGAAAATGGGGCTTTGAGGTGCATTTGAAACCCCAGCGCGTCCACGCGCACCTTGAACTCGTCATACTCTCGCTGAGGAGAGGGGGGGAGGGAGGAAGTGTGGGAAAGGAGCGGGGGTTGTTTGGGGTTAGAAAAATTTGGTCTTTATTTAAGGTGTATATCAATCAAATTACTACCAGCACATTCATGCACGGCTCACTGGCCAAACGGCACCCTTTCTGCCGCCACCACCACCCCAGCCGAACCCCCTTCTCCCCCCCACACCCCCGCGCTTCATTCTCCACCCATCTAACCCTTTTCTCCCCCCTCTCTCTCCTCCCTTCCTTCCCCGCCCTCTCACCTTCATCCTCCTTCGCTCCTTGACAAAGTCAGCGTTGACCTTCCCCAGCAGGTAGTCCACCCCGCCAGCGAAGTACATCTCGGGGGCGCGCGGCTCAATGGCGTGCTTGCGACAGAACGGCACCCAGAGGCGGCTGAAGTTGGCCGTTTCCATGAGCGCCTCGAATGTCAGCATGGACGCTCCATCGTCTGATAGATAGCACGCCACCCTGGGGATGGGAGCGGGCATACAGGATGGGGAGAAGGGTGGCAGAAGAGGGGGGAGGCGGGGAGCAATGATTAGCAGAGACTCGATTATCGGCACAGACGCACCATCATCCGACAGATATCCATAAAGGTCGCATGACTCTCCGCGTGATTCTCAGATTCCGCCTGCCACCTCACGAGAACCTCACTCTCATCCTCATCCACTTGCCAGCAGTCCTACCACCCACATGCGCACTCTACGGGTCCGCGTGGCGGCAGCTTACTTGTCAACGGGGTAGTCAGCAGCGAGCACGGAGAGGATCACGTTGGCCGTCACGAGAGGCGGCTCCTTGAAGGGGTCGGCCGTCGACACAAACACGTCCACTTGTGGCAGCTCGCACGGCCGCCCCTCCTGCTCGTACCTGTGTGGGAGTGAGGGGGATGTGAGGGACAGCGGCAGGGGCGTGGCAGCATGTAAGAGCGCATGGGTGGGTGGATTGTCACGAGGGGTGGCTCCTTGAAGGGGTCGACCGTCGACACAAACACGTCCACCTGGGGCAGCTCGCACGGCCGCCCCTCCTGCTCGTACCTGAGCACAAGAGAGAGGGGATGGGGCACAGACGAGCGGTTGCGGAATTGTCTAGAACCCCACGGGTCGTCTTCACAGGAAAAGGTGGGCTCTCTGACCAGGTTAGGTGATCAGGAGGTGCTGACAAAACATGCCTCTTGAGGCATCTTGTGGAACATTCTTTTTACTCGTAACTCAGGACAGCGTTCAGGTATCATATGAAAGAAGGCGATGCAATGAGCAATGATAGCATTAGTACAAGGGCCGGTTGCAGCTTTGACGAGAACAATGACCGAAACCCCAAACACAAAATGAAGAGGCACCTGAGGGAGAGGCGGTTGAGGAAGGTCTCTCGGGTGATGGGCGACCACTTGGGCAGCTGGTCAAATATCCAGGAGATTCCAAACCTGGCGCCAGGTGAAAACAACAGAGGAGAGAAAACGAAGCCAGGGGTAAGGGTTAAGGGAGCACAGAGAAAGGTTCAAAGCGGATGCAATGAACAAAGAAGATATGAAGGACCGGGGACCGATGGCACGGCAGGTCGGTCTGACCAAAATTCGCAGGCGATAATTGAGGGGTGTGACTGACCAGATCTCGCAGACGACGGAGGCGAGCCAGAGCAGGAAGGCGGAGTTGTTGGGGTTGGTGACTCGGAACTTGAAGAAGAGAATCATCACCACAAAGCGCACCACCACCGCGAACCTGCTCCCGTGTGCCGCATACACATGCCACACAAACAGCACGCACACACACATGGGGCGAAGGTGGCAGGGGGGAACAAACATTGAAAATCAATGCAAAGCCACAAGGAGCAAGAAAAGAGACACAAGGAAGCGTCGACAAGGTTGCGCACGAGGGAGCAAGGGATGTTTGAGGGCTACAGGGCGAGGTCCGTGCACTGTTGTGATGTGATGCTACCCACCTGTAGGGGTTGAGCATGCTGGACGGCACTGGCACCTTGCGCGACAAGGGGCGGCGTGTGTCGTCCACTCTGCGACGGCGGCGAAGCGGCAATAAGGTGTGAGTAAGTAAGTTAGCAGCAGATGCAGATGGAGGAGTGGCGCAGAGCAGGTAGAACTGGGCAATAACATGTGGAAACATCATCAAAGAATAAGGGGGAGCAGTGCGAGCGGACATAAATGGAGGGTTTAGAAGAGGAGAGGAGGGAGAGGGATGGACAAGAGCGTAACACAGGGGTGGGAAACGTGGCGTCCGCACATGAATGGCGAACCGTCAGCAGAAGCACCATCATTGGGGATCACACCCATCCCACCGCCGCCACCTCCCACCCCGCCTGCAGAGGCGTCCGCATCATGCACCGGGATAATGGCCGTGGAGGGGCCGCTCTCAGCCACACCACCAGCACCAGCAGCAGCAGCACCCACAGCAGCACCAGCAACACTTGCAGCAGAAACACCTGCAGCAGAAGCAGCCTCCCCACTAGGAGCCAAGGCGGACCACTGGCGGCGGGGGGTGAACCAGACGATGCTGCCATAGCCGTAGCTGGAGGGGCTGCCCGCACTGCCTGATGAGGGGCTCTCGTCCCCCCCTCCGCCCGGACAGGCCGCACCACCACCAATGCCCGCACTAGCGCCAGCAACACCAACACCTACGCCACCACCAGTGACGCCACCACCACCAGCACCACCACCAACAAGCCCTGCTGCTGGTGATGCGGACGCGTGGGATGCAGATGAAGGGGAGGACGACGAGGCTTCCAGTGCCAGGTGAGGGGCGGAGGAGGAGAGCGGCGAGGCGAGAGGCACGGACGACGGTGGGAGAGGGGAGGAAGTGAGGGTGTGGGGTGCGGGGAGGGCAGAGGGACTGGGGAGAGGGGGAGCAGGGGCGGCAATGGCGGGGGGGGCAGGCGCAGGGGCGTCGGGAATGGACTCCTCAAGATGGCGGATGACCTCCTCTGGTGGATCATCGTCCACTGGCGGACTGCCTGCTCGGACAAGATGCATGACACGGCAGACAGCAGCACGGGGACATGACATACGGTGGGATGGCATGGGAGCGAGAAACAATGAGGGAACATTCGTGGCTGAAAGGTCCGGATTCAGCAGTGCAAGCAGCGACGCGAGCAGGAGGGGAGGGGAAGGGAAGGAGCAAGGTGGAGAGGCACGAGTAACGTGCTTCACTCTGAAAATTAGTGGAACGAATCATGAGTACGGAGAGTAACAGGAGGGAGGAGGACGGGAAGGGGGGGGCCTCACCTGCGAGGCGGTGGTACTTGGAGAGGCACTGCGGGCAGCGGTTGCCCTCGTGTGCGCGGATGTACTCGTAGCAGGGGCGGCAGATGCGGTAGGCGCACTCGCACGGCACGAACTCGCGCCCCTCCGCGTCCACCCCGATAGCCTGCTGGCAGATGGCGCACGGCAGCTGCCCGTGTGACTCGGATGGGCCCGAGACGTCCTGTAGTCAGGGTTGGATGGGGAGGGGGAAGGGGTTGCTGATGAGACGTGTCTCAAGGCATGCTACGACCTCAGAGCCCTCTGCGTTCCACACCGATGGCCTGCTGGCAGATGGCGCATGGCAGCTGCAAGGGATGTTGAGACGGCATGGCACGAGCGACAATGGATGTTGAGATTGCATCAGTCAGAAACAACAGATGCAGGCACGAACGGCACGGAGAGCGTACGTCATCGATGACGATGGAGGCGGCCACTGAGAGCTCCTTGCGCATGCGACTCCCCGCCACCATCACGTTCTCCATCGCCACCTGATGCTGCTGCTGATGCTGCTGCGACTGCTGCTGCTGACGATGCTGCTGCTGCGGCTGCTGCTGACGATGCTGCTGCTCTTGCTAGTGTTGCTGCTGCTGCTCGTCCTGCTGATACTGCGATGAGCTCCTGCTTCTCGTGCTGCTGCTACAAATGGCTCGCAATGGGGTGGGTGCTGCAGTCGTCGCCTGGATCGCACAGCACGGCACAGCGTCAGTGCGACACAGTCGCGTACTGCTCACGCTCGTGCAGCTCTACCATTCGCGAGGCTCCATCTGGCTTCACGGAGAAAGGTGGTGCTCAACTGTCCGGCTCCAGTTTCTGTGGGCTCTCACTCGCTCCTAAAAACGGATAAACAACTGCTCCGGCACCATACAAGGAAGGCCTACTCGAGAGTTCCTCAGATTCTCGGGCAGCCTGAGACGCATTGCGACCGGCACAGCATAAGGAAGAAAAACCAAGGCGCTCGCTGTAACAACAAAACTCGCTCGATCGCGTCTTCCCATAACGATGGCGCGATTGCGACCGGATCAGGTGGACGATCGAGATGGACGGGACGACGAGATCCAACGGTGGAAGCTTGACGTGGAATCGCATGTTTCGACGATCCCCCTTGTCCTCGCGCACGGGATTTGCCCAGCGGATTGAAGGACGCGAAAGCCATCGAAAGCAGCGAAGGAATTGGAGCAAATGAGAAACGATTCAGTTGACACATTCGAGGTCAAGGAGACGAGACTCACTAGCTACCTATGGCGGACCGAGCTAACTGAGGAACAAGCAATGACGACAGGAGCGGTTCGAGGTGAGGTGACGGAGAAACCAAGAAAAGGGATGCTCCATCTGCATGGTAACTCAATGGTTACATATCCGCGTATTTGTAGGCCAGATACAAATGCATCGAGTTATCAATGATTCCAGAGTGAATCCAACAAATAGATGTTCAACTTAGCTTACCCTGTCGACTATAGTGAATCCTCTCCATTCTCCAATTCCCTCTCCATGCTCTTTCTCAAAATGATACTATCTCCTACTAAGAGCGTGTTCCTACGGCCCGCTATCAAGCCAACCTGTAGTAATCAGTCTCGCATCTAACACTCGCATGTCGCTGTAAGGCGACATTTTACTTCACTTATTTCTCTGCAAGCGCGGAAAATTGCGTGTAGTGTGGCAAGCGGCAACAGTAACAGCAGTTAATTATGGTTCTGCTGTAAAATCGTCGCATGTGAGCTCGGCTCTAAACAGATTGTCAGCCATGTCGTGCCCGGCATTGTTTCCGTCGCGCTCTGCCCGCAGCCCACCCGTAACGCTCTGCCCATGGCGAGCGCGCCAGCACCAGGGCCCAAAATTGGTTTTTGGCCACCCTGGAAAATCAGGGTCCGAACCGGGCCTACCCTGACTGCTAGGGTAAAAAACAAAATACCCGGACAAATTCAGGGTAGATAATCATTTAGTCTGTCTGTGGCAGGGTAAAATCACTAATAGTGGTTAGTGAAAACACTATTGATCACTTCTCACCGTAGCGAAGCCGAAGCACGCAGTATCGAGAGTAAAGACGAAAGGGCAGAAGTAATGCGAAGGGACAGACGGTTACGAGGAGCATCTTGACCGCCGGGCAGACAGCATCAGGCAGCAGCAGTGGCGAGGATTCTGCCCGAACAGTTCCGTAACCACCCGGAGTCGCACGGTTGGATTTCGCTGTAATAAGGGAATGTACCCCTTAGAGTACATGGCTAGCTAGGTCGTTTCGCATTCCCCTGTACTCTTATTTATATTCCTTGTACTGCATGTTTTTATTATCTCAAGCATTTACATTCACTCTGCTATTGAGGTCAAGGGCCCACCACCACTAGATTAGAAGTGTGCGAACCTTCCTGAGGAGATCCTGGTTACGATCAACTTCTGATCGCAGCATGGTATGAGAGCGACTCAGGAATCCTTCGCACCGCCATCTCCGAAATCTGCGACATTCGGAAAGTGGCGTCCGGCACACGATCACGTGTAAGAATGGCCGGAGGATCTGGAGGTCAGACGAATCTGACGGCTGAAGCGCAGCCCAACCCGGCTGCGACAAGCGAGGAAACGACGACGATCCCTTCCGTCGTCCTCGCACAACTGCTTCAGCGACTCACGAGCCTGGAGCAAGGACTCCAGACATTGCGGAACGGCGACGCGGGAACTTCCTCCCAACCCACTCAACCGGCGTCAAACGGCCAGAACTCCGCCCCACAAGGCTTCTCTCTTGACACAAATGGCTCAACACCCAAGACTCCCTGTCCCAGCGATGAAGCAATTCTATCTGCGCAATCAAGGTTTTTGAGCATATAAAAAATAAAGACAAGTGTGTGCTTTGACGGCAGAGACTTCTATACTTGGAGCTTCGAGCTGGAGCTGCTGCTGCAAAACGCGCAGATTTATCATTACTTCGACGGGAGCTACTCGGGCCCTACGGAGGACACTGACGACGCAAAGACCAAGTACTACAACGAGTCCCTGATGGCGTATGGGGTTCTCCTGCGGAATATGTCGCCGACGGAGCAATTGAGCATTCGCTCATACAAGACTTCTCCTGCTCCCGCCCTCAACGCCTGGCGCCACCTAAACGGTGTGTACCAACCCAAGGACTCCGTGTCGTCGAGCCGCCTGCTCCAGCAGCTACTGGAGACAAAGATGGCACCGGGAGAGAAGGCCAACAGCTACCTGAATCGTTGTCGAAGCTTACGCGATCAAATCGCGAAATTGGGGAGCACGATTTCTGAAGAAATCTTCGTCAACATCGTGCTCCAAGGGCTAGGCCCAGAGTGGCGGCCCTGCAAGGCGCTCCTTCGACAGCAGGGGGTCATCTCGGAGGCCGCTCTTTGCGCCGCCCTTCTCGTCGAACAAAGGGATATGGACCAGCAGCGACCAGCGCCGCGACGAGAAAGGGAGCGCCTCGCATTCTTCGCCGACAACACAGAAGAGCGACGGCCGCGGCGCCTCTACTGCAAAATCTGCAGAAATTTCGGGCACTTGGCGGATCGATGCAAGCATCGATCTCGTCCCCGCCAGACCAACCCGAGCAACTGGTCCGGCCGACAAGACGCGAGGAACGACACGCGTCCCGCCCAGGGGTATCAACCCCCACCGCGCAACTTGAATCCAACATCTCAGCAGCAGCAGCAGCCATCACAAACTGCCCCCGTTCGCAATGTCATGGGGAACATGACCATGACGAGCGGCTCTCGTCGCCCGCGCGCGCGCTCGCTGTCACCGGAGACGGCGCCTGACCCAATCGAGGCGTCCCCGAACAACAATCCGTTCAGCACGCGTCACGACTACAGCGATGACGACAACCAGGACTGGAATTTGCCAGTCCCGCTGCTTGAGAGCCCTCCGCACGTACCTGATATGCGGCCGGCACCGATCGATTGGATCGCGCGTGAACAATTTCTAAGGGTCGACACCCCGCACATCGTCACTCCGCGACTGGCGCTACTCGCGCGAAACGACAACAGGCGCTACAACAAGTGGTACCTGGACAGCTGCTGTGGGCAGCACATGGTGGGCTCCGAGCGTTACATATCCAACGCCGTCGCCACCCCCGAAGTCACTTACGTCACAGTGGCGAACAACACGCGGCTGCGCGCAAGCGCACAAGGCATCGTGGTGCTCAAGGCACGAGGGAGCCGAACGCACATCACACTTAACGACGTGTTGATTGTGCAGAACCTACGCTTTAATCTACTTTCGGCGGCGCAACTCCTGGATTGCGGAGTCCTTCTCAGCACCGACCCCGAGACGCGCGACATCCTGCTCCACTTCACGATGCCAAACAAAACGCGCAAGCAGATCGGACGGGCGCACGCCGAGAACGGCGTATACGTTCTCGATTTCGACATTCCCGACTGCAGCGGCGACTCGCAGGAGCTAATCGACCTCGTCCCCCTACGCTTCGAACACATCCTTCGCCGCGATTGGAAGCACCCCGATGGGCGCCCCTGGGTGCCGCACCACCCACACCCGCGCGAGCTGGCGCTACACGACCCCGATCCTGACGGCGTCTGCAGGGACTGCCACACACCGACGACCTCGACGAGCGCGATCGCCGGACATGGCCTTGCTGCCATTCGCGAAGCAGAGCGCGACGCACCGCCTGAGGAGGGCCTCTCCCAACTCGAGCTTGAGACAGCCACGCGGGTTGTCTTCGGCACACCGGAACACCCTCTCCCCGGACCCGCATCTCAGCATCTCCAAGGCATGCTCCGCGGCGTCGGCGTCGGCACCTTCGACGCCCATGGGAACCCTCGGCCCTACACCGAGAAGAAGGCGGCAGAGATATACGCTCACCGGCGCGATTCGAAGAAACGACTCTCACCTTCGGAAGAGGAGGCGTTGGCGCAACGCGAAGCCGAAGAGCTTCGTCAGAAGAGCCTCGCCGAGGCACGCGGAACGCTCGCCTGGGAGCAGGACGAGGAGAGCGCCTCCAATGAAGGGGGGTGGGGGAGCGCCAGCGGATGGGGAACGAGCAACACAAGCGGTTGGGGTGCCGCAACAAGCGGCTGGGGCGACGCAACCGGCGGATGGGGCGCCGCACAAGGCGGCGAGACGAGCGGCTGGGGAGCCTTCCGCGAGGAACAAAGGGGGGAAGCGGAAGCAGCACCTGCGCAAGCTGAGGATGAACCTCCTATTGTCCCTCTCGGACGCCCTCCGCGCCGCCCTGCATTAGGACCTCCGCCCCCTGACATCCCTTCAGGTAGTGACCCCTGGGACACCATCGACTGGGGTAGTGAACCACTCACCCCGCGCCGCACCGTCTACGGACCTGCCCCTGAACCGCGCGAACCGACACTTGTACTCGGCACGATCCCCGGAACCAACATCCCCTACTCCATCATCCGCGACAGAGAGTTTCTCGCCCTCATGCTAACAACGGCGAACGAGGAAGAAGAAGAGAATGAGGAAGCAGCTTCCACACCTGCACCGGCACCTGACGAAGACCCCGCAGCTGCACTTGCGC